ACATTTGCTAGCGCTATCGTTGGAGCCAATACGCGGCCTCAAATCACCGAGCCCAGCCACTTGTATTCAAGCACAGTTGATCTTATGCAGATCTACGGACAGGATCTTACTGAACCCTTTGACTTTGCAGGTCCCAGCCCGGATGACGTGGTTCTCAATGCTCAAAGCTCAGCTAAAGGTTTGGCTATTCGGAGAAAGATATAAATTGTTCCCTAATAGATAGGCAGGCTTCAAGTCGAAACAACTTGCGTCAAAGTCAGCAGGCGACAAGAAGAACCAAGGTGACCTGGCTGGTGGCATGAACAATCTTAGTGTCCAGGAGAAGGTGGCTGTCAAGAGCAAGAATTTGGATGTCTTGTCCGAGTACAATAAATCCCAGCGGAAGAGAGCAATGAACTTTGCGGTTATCGGTCAGTAGTCATCACCTACACCCTGGTGGACGCCGCTGACGGGGAGGTCAGGTCATGTTGATGCAGGAAAAAGCACACTTATGGGACGCTTACTGGCGGACCTGAAAGCTGTTGACCAGCGGACATTGGAGAAGTACCAGCGGGAAGCTGAGAAGATCGGTAAAGGATCTTTTGCCCTTGCATGGGTACTTGATCAGGGCACGGAGGAGAGAGCTCGCGGTGTCACGATTGACATTGCGACGAACAAGTTCGACACGGAGAATACTATCTTCACGATTGTGGATGCTCCAGGCCACAGAGATTTTGTTCCGAACATGATTGCTGGGGCCAGCCAGGCAGACTTCGCTGTGCTCGTTATCGACTCTAGCACCGGAAATTTCGAGTCAGGCTTGAGGGGCCAAACCAAGGAACACGCCTTGTTGGTACGGAGTATGGGTGTGCAAAGAATCATCGTTGCGGTGAACAAGATGGACGCGGTGGGATGGAGCCGGGATCGATTCGAGGAGATTGAACAACAGATCTCGTCATTTTTGACGACTGCCGGGTTTCAGGCGAAGAATATCGCCTTCGTCCCCTGCTCGGGCTTCAGAGGGGACAATGTCACTCGACGCAGCGATGACCCGAATGCCTCATGGTACACGGGCCGTACTTTGGTTGAAGAGCTGGAGGCAACCGAACCTTACAGCTATGCGTTGGACAAGCCATTGCGCATGACGATCAGCGATGTCTTCCGTGGCAGCGTGCAGAATCCTCTTTCGATCTCTGGTCGGATCGATGCCGGCAGCTTGCAAGTGGGCGACCAAATTTTGACAATGCCTAGCGGGGAGACGGCTACCATTCGAAGCCTGGAAGTGGACGGCGAGCCGAGCGACTGGGCCGTGGCTGGTCAGAACGTGGTTCTCAACCTGGCAAATATCGATCCTATTCACCTTCGGTCTGGCGATGTTATCTGCCGTCCATCGGCGCCCATCGCGAATATCACCTCTTTCACAGCAAAAGTACTCGCGTTCGATCATCTGATGCCTAGCATGGTAGATATCCACCGAGGACGACTCCACGTTCCAGGACGGATCAGCCGCTTGATCGCGACGCTCGATAAGGGATCTGGCTCGGTAATCAAGAAGAAGCCTAAGATTGTGCCGCCTGGTGCTGTGGCACGCATTGTGGTTGAGATGGACCAGGCGGTGCCTCTGGAAGCACCTACGAGAATTGTTCTACGATCCGGAGGCGACACGGTGGCCGCTGGCTTGCTTGAATAATGCCGAGTACATGATAGACGCAGTCCGAAGTATATAGATACCACTAGAATATTATGACTAGGGATTGCGTATTCTCTTGTAAATCGCTTGGTTGCTTTTGATGTTTTCCAAATTGCCACCAAGTATTGGGCTTATTCCATAGTGATCAAGACATACGATGCAATTCCTAGTAATGTTACTTCTCGAGTCTGATATTTGGCCCTTTGGAGACTAGTCTAGGTTCAGAGCTACTCCGTAGTGCTAAGAACATAAGCATGTAAGGCTAAGATATTGACAAGCTGTCCAGTTGGCATAAAATACGCAGTATCTGTACTCCGTAGAGTGTGATTATATCCTTCAGCCTGAGATTCGGGTGTACTGTTCTGGGGTTGACTCAATAATAGGTATTGCCAATGCCGTAACCATTGGATATTGTCCACGTATCCACAACTGCCAATTGAGTGAAGCAAAAGTGTCCTCTTCTAGCAATTTCGATCGATAGCTCCACATTTCCGTGGCACTGAGCCCTGATTTACCCTTTTGGGAATCGCCGTGAATGAACGCCTCGGGATTTGGCCGGCAGAACTCGGGCGGTGAAGGACCCTGCTGACTCAGTCTTCAGCCCGGGAGACCTGCAGCAGCCAATCGCAGGGCGAGAAGTAACCTTAAATGCAACACCTGCGAAAAGGCCAGCATGGCCGCTGCGATCTCTTTGCCGCCGCCAACCCATACAAGAAGAACAAAGCTGGCCGTGGCTTCCTGGACATTCTTCTTCCTCTTCTTTCTTCAACTCGTTCATTCGACAACCCCGGTCGTCTCTCGCTTGTTTCTCTTTTTCTCCTAACCCTTGATTATCTTGTCATTCTTCCTTTTACATTGTAAGGAAGTGTGTTTACTGGGACTTGGGGATTTTGGAACGTGTTTTGGGAGACAGACACGTATCCTCAGCCGCCTGGATTGAGACATCTTGACAGACTGTACACTTCTTTATCAGCCCCTATTGTAAAGGAGTCCCTTTTTACACCTCACATACTCACCATGTCGCGACTATCGAGTCGCAATGGCGCGGCCAAGCCGTTCACTGCTTGGACCACTGTCTTCTACCTCCTCCTTGTCTTCATTGCGCCACTGGCCTTTTTCGGAACTGCACACGCTGAGGAAGACTCAGTACAGGACAACTATGGCACTGGTACGTCTTGAATATTGTTTTCGTGAAGACATGAAGTTCTCGTTGCTAATTCGTGCTGCCAACAGTCATCGGTATCGATCTCGGAACAACATACTCTTGTGTCGGTGTGATGCAGAACGGAAAGGTTGAGATCATCGCCAACGACCAAGGAAACCGTATCACTCCTTCCTATGTCGCCTTCACTGATGAAGAGCGTCTGGTTGGTGACGCCGCCAAGAACCAATACGCCGCGAACCCTACCCGGACCATCTTTGACATCAAGTGAGTTTTGCCCGTCGGGTTTTCGATCCCCGAAGAGTTTGTGCTAACCTCTGCCAGGCGTCTGATTGGACGCAAGTTCGATGACAGGGATGTCCAGAAGGACGCCAAGAACTTCCCCTTCAAGATTGTCAACAAGGATGGCAAGCCTGTCGTTAAGGTCGAAGTCAACAAGTCCCCCAAGATCTTCACTCCCGAGGAGGTTTCCGCCATGGTCCTTGGAAAGATGAAGGAAATCGCTGAGGGCTACCTCGGAAAGAAAGTTACCCACGCCGTTGTTACTGTTCCCGCCTACTTCAACGACGCCCAGAGACAGGCTACCAAGGACGCTGGTACCATTGCCGGCCTGAACGTTCTCCGCGTCGTCAACGAGCCCACCGCCGCCGCTATCGCCTACGGTCTGGACAAGACTGGTGATGAGCGTATGGTCATCGTGTATGATCTTGGTGGTGGTACTTTCGATGTCTCCCTTCTGTCCATCGACAACGGCGTCTTCGAGGTCTTGGCTACTGCCGGTGACACCCACCTTGGTGGTGAGGACTTTGACCACCGTGTCATGGACTACTTCGTCAAGCAATACAACAAGAAGCACAACGTCGACGTCTCCAAGGATCTCAAGGCCATGGGTAAGCTCAAGCGCGAAGTCGAGAAGGCCAAGCGTACTCTGTCTTCCCAGATGTCCACTCGCATTGAAATCGAATCCTTCCACAACGGCGAGGACTTCTCGGAGACTCTCACTCGCGCCAAGTTTGAAGAACTCAACATGGATCTGTTCAAGAAGACCCTGAAGCCCGTCGAGCAGGTGCTCAAGGACGCCAAGGTCAAGAAGTCCGATGTCAACGACATTGTTCTGGTTGGTGGTTCCACTCGTATTCCCAAGGTCCAGACTCTTCTTGAGGAGTTCTTTGGTGGCAAGAAGGCCTCCAAGGGTATCAACCCCGATGAGGCTGTCGCTTTCGGTGCTGCCGTTCAGGGTGGTGTCCTCTCTGGTGAGGAAGGTACCGGCGATGTCGTTCTCATGGACGTCAACCCTCTTACCCTGGGTATTGAGACCACCGGTGGTGTCATGACCAAGCTCATCCCCCGCAACACCGTCATTCCTACCCGCAAGTCTCAGATCTTCTCGACTGCCGCTGACAACCAGCCCACCGTCCTGATCCAAGTTTGTAAGTATTTGCCATTGTGCTCGATTGAAGATATGGAGATATACTGACTGATGTCTCAGATGAGGGAGAACGTTCTCTGACCAAGGACAACAACCTTCTCGGCAAGTTCGAGCTGACTGGTATCCCTCCCGCTCCTCGTGGCGTGCCTCAGATTGAGGTCTCTTTCGACTTGGATGCCAACGGTATCCTGAAGGTTAGCGCCAGCGACAAGGGTACCGGCAAGGCCGAGTCCATCACCATTACCAACGACAAGGGTCGTCTGTCCCAGGAGGAGATCGACCGCATGGTCGCCGAGGCCGAGGAATTCGCCGAGGAGGACAAGGCTATCAAGGCCAAGATTGAGGCTCGCAACACGCTGGAGAACTATGCCTTCAGCCTGAAGAACCAGGTCAACGACGAGAACGGTCTTGGTGGCCAGATCGATGAGGATGACAAGCAGACTATCTTGGATGCTGTCAAGGAGGTGACCGACTGGCTGGAGGACAACGCCGCCACTGCCACCACCGAGGACTTTGAGGAGCAGAAGGAGCAACTGTCCAATGTGGCCTACCCCATCACCAGCAAGCTGTATGGCTCTGCTCCGGCTGATGAGGAGGAGGAGCCCAGCGGACATGACGAACTGTAAAATTACTTTAGAGGGATTTACGGAGTTTTGATATGTTAATTGATTCATTATGGATTTTCCTTTGGGAATAAGCCAGAGTCGCCTCGATGTATGACAAGAGGCCACATACATGATACCTCATTGATATGTACTTTTTTTTCCCCTAGATTATTCACGTACTATACAAAGCGGTTGCTCAATCGAGCCCAATAAATCCCGTACTTGCTTATGTAGAGTACTTCGACAGCGTGATGATATCCAGGCAGCTCAAGCGCTGTTCTGGATGTAATCCCGGACCACCTCGAGAACGACCTGGTGATCATGTTCCTGCCTCAACCCACTGACAACAATGACTCCCACGACACCATCAACGCCCCTGACCCGAACAGGGAACGCACCGCCGTGGATGGCATAATCATCCGCCGCACCCCCACTCGAGCTCTGGAGCGCGAACTTCTTCACAAACGCCTCCTCCACCTCGGACGCACTGAGCCCCGTGCTCGCCAGCATCTTATTCCGCATCAACCAGCTGGACACGCCCCACCGCAGCACGGTATTCCGCTTCCGCCTCACCCAGATTTCATTGTCGGCGACGGTGCCCGGTTCCGTCGCGCACTGGAAGATAACGTGTGGCTCGGAACCGCCGGTTAGAGAGATGGAGATCAGGGCTGGTTTGCGCTGGTCGGCGGGAGGGAGAGGATGCGGTCGCGGAGGGCGTGGCCGAGGGACCACGCTGTTGTGCAGGTGAAGGAGGGGAAGATTACTGCCGAGGAGGATTCTTGGGCCGCAAGCTCGCGGATCTGGCATTTCTTGTTAGTGTGGTCTTGTATGGTTGAGGGGTTGATGGTGGGTTGGGCTAGCATACGTCTGTGCTGGTTGGGCCGAGTGGTTTGTCCATTTTGGAGGGTTTATGTGTGTTTTAGGAGGAAGGCTGGGAAAGTGAGAAGGAAGGAAAATGAAGAATGAAGAATGAAGGGTACATATGCTGATGGTTCGGTGAGTCTATGGAGAATCTTCGTGGTTTCGATTGTCGCATATGGAAGGGATCTGAAATTAGGGAAGGTCCTCCCGCGGCGGGGTCTTCAATGACGTCGTCGGCGGAAGGGAGATAGTGTGTGTCGATATCTTCACTTGCGAGTTGAAGATACTATCTGACGAAGAGTATATGGAGATTTCGGTTTGAAATTTCAGTATACAGAGGATGGTAAAGATAATTGCTTCAAAGTATGCTGGTAGAACCCACCAATGTCTGTCCGGCTGCCGGCATGCATGGACAGCGCGGCTTCCCCTCATCTGCACACTGCAGGTCCTTGATCATCCTGTGATACACGCGAACTCCACTTCCATGACATCTTCGATCAATTTGATAGTAGAGGATACGGAATACTGATCGGATGCGCCGACAACTTACCAGAAGAGCATGTGATGAGTGCATATCTCGCAAGGTAAAGTGTAGCGGCTCCTCGCCTTGCGATACTTGCCTGAAGACGTCCAAAGAGGCGGACTGCACATACCTCAAACCGCCGGGACGGAGGGGACCAAAAGCCCGACGATTTACCAACAAGAGCAGGCCCGGCGGTGATGGATCGATCGGCTATGCTCATACGGAGGAAGCTGCTGCAAGAACCCGGTCGGTCGAGAATCGTCCGGTAAATGATGCTGACGGTCATGTTGATGCTGAGGGGGATGACTCTCTGTCTGCATCCGGCTGGAGAAATGAGACATGCATTCCCAAGGCGATACTGATCTATATCGTGCGCCTGTACCAGACTTTTTCGTACAGTGTTTGGCCGGTGATCCACGCAGATGCGCTTGTGCAACAGTTGGAGAACGGCACCTGCAATGAGCAGATACTTTGCTTAGTGCTGGCGCTGTGTGCCGCGACGATGGCACAGTTGCAGCTTGCTCCCATGGCTGGCGATGATGGCCACATGGTGGACAGTGGCCTGCTCAAATTGGAGTGTATGCGACTTCGGGAGCGGAGTGATTACAGAGAGAACCTTGACGTCAAGGGTGTACTTGTTTCGTTCTTTCTGCATGTGTATCATGCGAAGATTAATCAGCGGAAGTCGGCTATGCTTTTTATACAGGAGGCCATCGCGAGCGCGAGACTGTTAGGGTTGGACATGAACGAGCGGAATATGATCGTTACGGATGGTGTTGTTGCAAACGAGGAGATTGTGTTTCTGTTGCTGTGGGTGTCTGAGCGGTAGGTGACAGGTCTGTAAGCATAATGACAAGGTTTGGTGGTACTGATGCAGCACAGAGGATATGCCATGCATCTCGGTGTGAGGCCTTCATACACTGATCCAGTTCAGGTCCCAGATGCAGCACAACTGGCAATGAGCCCTCACGCGCGGGGGTTGCTCGAGCTTTTCAATCTTTTTGTCACATTCGACAAGATCCAGGCGCGACGATGCCGTAGTGGCAGTCTGGCTCAAGCTCTATCTGCAGCCAGTCTAGCTGAAACAGAAGCAGCACTGTCTCTACTAGCCTTCAACTCAGACGATCAGGCATGCACACGGCTGGCGGATTGTTACATCACCAGAGAATGGATGAGAACTATTGTCTGGCAAGAAGCACTGTCTCGGCATCTGTTATCCTCGACATCTACCACCGAGGTGATGACTTTTCGATTCCCTGTAGTTGTCGGACGTGATCTGTTGATGTCCCTGCAAGGACTGTCTGAGACAGACTTGCTGCCTTTGGGGCGGGACCAGGTGAGTCTCATGCAGACTACTGCAAGATATTGTGGAAAAAACGAGGGAATGACGCTGGATGTAGCTATTGAAATGTTTTGAGGTTACCAACTCTCTGGCAGATACCGTTCTCTATACTCCTCCAAGCTCGTTTTCGAGTGCCCTTCAGGTCGGGCCTCAGGACTTTCTACACGCATTGTATCAGAAGATTCTGCCCTTTCTGGAGCATGATCCGATGCTGAACTCAGTTCTTCGCGCGAAAACAGCCGAGGCTTTGGTGATGGCCCCTGCTCGTTTGAGTGTTGGGCTTATTGCGAGGCTAGATGTGGAAGAAGAGAGTATCTCAGAGCAAGCTGACCACGTTCATTGATCGAACTACCATTCTTATTCAGCAGTCAAAGACGAGAACGAAAGACAAAGATCACTCTGCAATCTGGAGGACGATTCTTCCTGAAATGTCACCTTTCTCCATTTCCTCGTACACCTGGGGCAGATCCCTGAATGGCCGTACTCTGATTTCTGGTTTGACCATTCCCCGACGGACCAACTCAACCGCTTCCATACATTCTTTGAGCGAGCCAACCAGATTGCCAGTGACCCTGAGCCCTTTGATGACAATGGTGCAGATGGGGGTCTCCAGCACAGGACGCCCTGGAGGAATGCCGACGCAGCTCAGTGTGCCACCGACGCGCAGCATGTCGCATGCATGGGCAAAAGCTCTTGCATTGCCAGCTGTTACAACCACGGCGTGTGCCCCCAGTCCGGTGATTTCGTGAACACGCTGCACAGGGTCGGTGGATTTGAAGTCGATGAACTCGACAGCACCGAGTCCGAGAACAAAGTCTCGTTTATCACCAGCGTCGACTCCGATAACCAGCGCGCCATGGGCTTTTGCGTATTGAACTGATGCAGTATCAGCTGGCTGTCGTGTGATCGACAAGAGAACGATCTTACCCGCAAGGTGCCCGAGGCCACCTCCAGCACCCACTACAACGAGCCAGTTTCCCGCTCTGATGTTGGCGTTGAGAACGGCCTAACATGTTAGAAGACCACGGAACGAAAGGGGGCTTGCAAACCTTGTAAGCCGTCACCCCAGCGCATAAGACGGGCCCAATGACCTTCGGGTCGATGTCGTCCGGCAGGATTGTCAGATAATCCGCGTCGAGGGCAATGTACATCTGGAAGCTCCCATCCTCGTGGTGCAGATGATTGCTGCTCTTGATGCAATATTGTTCGGTCCCGGCGAGGCAGAACTCGCATCGTCTGCAGATACGACTGGCGAAACGAATGCCTACGAGGTCTCCAACCTTCAAGTCAGGTCCGCAACCAGGACCTAGCGCCACAATCTGACCGACTCCTTCGTGTCCACCAACGTGAGGACGCTTGATGTTCGTAATGGGGTTTCCGTCGGCACCGGCTGCAGTTCCATTCTTGGTGTGGAGATCTGGATGCTTAGGAGAATGACTCCAGTTGGTACTGGACGAACTTACCACTCTGACAAACACCGGTATAGAGGACCTTTGCCAGCACCTCGTTTTGACCCGGGACAGGGACAGGATAGTTATCGTCAAATTCCACCTTGCCTCCAAGTTCGGAAACAAGAGCTACAGTCTGAGTCTGTGGGATTTGCATCGTTAAGATGTAGAGACAGGAGACTTGGATCAAGCTTCAGTCTTTCAATCTGGATACTCTCGCCTGGGTTATGAGCGTAATAAATAGTCTAGTCATATCGAATATGTAGCACAACATCATGTATAGGATCATAGCAATCAGGATCACTTTGTTGGCATTGTAGGCTATATTTCTCCAATTGGCTCTTTGTCCTGCGTCAAAGACACTCGACGTGCAAAGGAAGTCAGAGCCTGTCCTCCATCACAGTCGATGGTTTGTGTAACCTCGAGACCGAAGGCTGCAATTCTCCGAGTGATAGCAAACATGACAGTCGTCAGTGAGCTGTCATGTGCTGAGAATAGGGTGTCCGCCATCCACTCCGTCCTCCGTACAACGTTCTTCTCATTTCCCTGGGATCAGACTGCTATGTTATCCAATGATCAATGGGCTTGAGTCTTGACTCCTGACTCCTGACGAGTTCCTGTCTCGGTTCCCCGCATTAGAACAGGCTAATCTGCGCCCGCTAGTCACATCATTGGCAGGATCTGGATGTCTCACTTTCACCCCAGAGTTCGCCTCCGCGTCCTGCACTCCACACATCGTGTCTAAACATCAATTTCCCTCACGCCAACGTGGGCATTTCTCCGAGGCATTTCTCCGAGCATAGGACGTACCACGGTTTGATTGCATGACTCTGCCTCGACTAATGATGATCCTTCATTCATTCCTCTCTTCGTGGCTGATTGCTGAAAAGAGATCGAGAGATCGAGATGCTCTGCCGCTGCCGAAGATCCCCCGCTTATCGACACAACCTGCTGCTGACCTGAAGAAGCCGCTCATGCCTCCTTTCTGAGTCTTTGTATGTTGCCAAACTCCTTCACACGACAAATTTTGGCACCGTTGACTTCTGGACCAGAAATGACGATGCATCTAGATTCTTCATTTCCCTCCGTTTTAGATGCAGGAATACGATTGATGGAAATTCCAAGAGCGGCTAGCTTTTGCATAGTTACGGTTCTGGGCGAATCCGTACAGGGGACAACTCCGGCGGGATGAAGCCACTCTCCGCATTTTCGATAGTCTTCCTCGCCGAGACACTTTCGTTTAAACATCATTCGATTGGAGAGTGAATGGAGTCAACATCGCAATGTCGACTATAAAACCGGGGTTGCGGCAGTCTACAGGACACTTTTGACAACTCAAGCTGTCAAGCACGCAAGTTCCTGACCGACAATGAGATTCCTTAGCCTTCTCGGCCTCGCACCTCTGGCCCTGGCCGCGAGTGTCCCTCGGGCCACCATCCCAACCTACAATGCGGTGACCGTCTTCCAACCTCCGGCTGACTACAACGTCCCGCGCGTCCTGTACGCGCGCAACCTGGAGCTGCCCAACGGGGACCTTCTGGCCACCTGGGAGAACTACTCCAAGGAGCCCCCGCAGGTGTACTTCCCCGTCTACCGGTCCAAAGACCACGGACGGACCTGGAAGGAGCTCTCGCGGGTCCAAGACCAGGTGTATGGCTACGGACTTCGCTACCAGCCAGAGCTGTACAGACTTCCCGAGCGCATTGGGTCGTTCCCTGCCGGGACGATTCTGATGGCGGGCAGCGCCATTCCGACCGATCTGTCGTCGACGCACATTGAGCTGTATGCGTCGCGGGACTCTGGTGTGACGTGGAAGTTTGTGAGCCACATTGCTGCTGGCGGAAGGGCTGTTCCCGATAACGGGTTGACGCCTGTGTGGGAGCCTTTCCTGATGGCTCGGTAGGTCTCCATAGTCTCTCCATGGGGTGATAAGTCTTCCGGTCTAGTTCTAACAGTCTATGACAGTAATGGCAAGTTGATCTGCTACTATTCAGACCAGAGAGCCAACACCACCCACGGCCAGAAGATGGTTCACCAGGTTACGACGGACCTCAAGAACTGGGGTCCTGTCGTCGATGATGTGTACGTCTCCCTTCACCCCTACGTCTACCCTGAAACTCAATCGAAGACTGACCATAACAGTGCCTACCCAACCTACACCGACCGCCCCGGCATGCCCGTGGTCGCCAAGCTCCCCAATGGCAAGTACATCTACACCTACGAATACGGCTCCTTTTTTGGCACCAGCCAATACTCCTTCCCGGTCTACTACCGCATCTCCTCCGACCCGGAGAACTTCCTGTCGGCTCCTCACCAGCGCCTTGTCACGACCACGGGCTATGTCCCCACCTCGTCGCCTTATGTCGTCTGGTCCCCGTACGGCGGCGTCAACGGAACCATCATCGTGAGCGCATATTCCTCCAGCAGCGTGTTCGTCAACCAGGCTCTGGGAGAGGGCCCGTGGAGGGAGATCCCTACTGGTGAGCCGAACGCTTATACCCGGTCGCTGCGGGTTCTGAGTGAGGACCCGAAGATGCTCTTGATCAATGGCGCTGGTGTCTTGAATGGAGAGAACAACAAGGTTACTGTGACCTTGCTGAACCTGGAGGAAGCACTGCGTTAGTACTTGGTGGAGTTACTTAGCTGTATAGGATTTGATAGAGGTCAAGATCAAAAGATGAGAAGATGATAGGGTCAATGCAGTTTAGAAACAGTCAGATGAATTTTACTTATTCCTCTCTTGCACGAAGATATCTGCTTTATTTGCAGCATATCTGACTAACAGAAAGTAGTAGTATTTTATTCATATATAACAGCCATCAGGCCAGGCCCTTAGGCAGCACATGGGTTCCTACGCTAGTATATCACGTTGTCTATGGAATCATCATTATGACTTTTTAGCGCTGTGGTTAGTGGTCCCTGGAGCACTACTACTTTTTATTCTAATCCATATTGTGGTCATTGCATGTAGATGGCAGCCGTATGAGACCTCACTGCAGCTCGATCCTGCTGGATCCTCCGCGTACTCTGATCCCACAGTCACAAACTGATAAGATTCATTTGAAGCTAATGCAGACATGGTGCTTACTGATCCTGCTCAATTAGAGAGGTATACTAGGCTGAAATTAACCAATTGATATGACGCGTAGTCAACAGGCAACACCTTGTACACCTCATGCTATGATTCTTATATTGATGCTTACAACGCACGAACTTACGCTAAATCTAATTATCTGACTCGGGCTCGGAGTAATCAATCTGATGCTGGTCTATATAATAAGCAGCTATTACATGACGCTAACCTCTAGTCCTCCCAGGCAGACGATAGCATATACTGCCTAGCCGCTGCATCCCTGCCTCTCATTGCAGCGTAACCCGACTCATTGGATGACAGCTTGGTAGAAACAGGCCAAAGCTCAACGGTCTAGACTATCTACCCTGAATGAACCGGGGTCAACACTATCTCCGAGCAGGCATCGACCGATACGTCCATACCCTGCGCAACAACCAGAGAGTCGGCTCCAGGAATCTCGCCGGACCCGAATAGAAATGGCTTTTTGGGCCTTCCTGTTAAGGGTCCTGTCGACTATGAAAAACCATCCGGATATCATCCCAAGTTTTTCATTGAGATATCCTGGCAACTCGATCAAAATGCCAACCGGCGTGTCGTTCAGTCCCGATAAAATGCCAGACCTCTCGGGGAAGGTCATCCTAGTAACTGGCGGTTAGAACCTGCAGGGTACTCCCTCAGCTGGCAAACACCCTAACATATACCAGGAACAGCCGGCCTCGGCGCCGCGACGGTGCTCCATCTGACGAAACACTCGCAGCCGCCCGCACATATCTACATCAGCGGACGAAACGCAAAGCGCGCCGACGACCTCATCAAACAAGTATCTGCCTACTCGGCAACAACACGCGTCTCGTTCCTCCCATGCGACCTCGCGTCCCTCGCCTCCGTGGACGAAGCAGCAGAAACAATCCTCAGCCAGGAATCCCGTCTCGACATCCTCATGTGCAACGCAGGCATCATGGCGCAGCCTCCTTCACTCACAAAAGACGGCTACGAGGTGCAATTCGGGACCAACCACTTGGGCCACGCACTGCTAATCCGCAAGTGTCTCCCCCTGCTACAGCGGACAGCCGAGCAGCAGGAACAGTCGGACGCACGCATCATCCTCCTCACCTCGCTAGGCTTCCGAGGCCACCCCAGCGGCGGGATCGTCTTCTCGGACCTGAAAACCGTCCAGCATTTCCACGCCTTCGGCCTCGGCCCCTGGATCCGCTACGGTCAGAGCAAGCTCGCTAATATCCTGTATGCGCGCGAGCTGGCCCGGCGGTATCCCGCCATTACCTGTGTTTCTATCCACCCTGGAGTGGTGAGCACGGGGCTGGTCGAGAATCAGACCTGGGGGAATCGTGCGTTTATCTATGTGACTACTATTGGGAAGGTGATGAAGCCGGCGGAGGGGCGTATAATCAGCTTTGGGCGGCGACGGTGCGGAAAGAGGAGTTGGTGAATGGGGGGTTTTATGAGCCGGTGGGGGTTCTGGGGAAGCTCTATAGGGCTGCGGGTGATGATGCTTTGGCGGGGAGGTTGTGGGAGTGGACGGAGGGGCGTTGGGGAGTACTTGGATTAGATCTGAGGTTGTACAGTACAGTTTTTCTGGAACAAGGATGGAATGGCGTTCTATGCGCCAGTGTTTGGCCATCAGTTCAATGCATGTAAGAAAGAGGTTTCATGGTGAGGAGCACAGTGACGAGTATTGCTATATATATTTCATAACCAGGGGGAAAACCCCTCAGCATGCTGTGAGGAGTCATTATATATAAAAGCAATTTTCTTTATATATGTACAAAAAGGCTACAGATAAACCAGAGCAGCATTTGTTGATCTCTATAAATGTGTTGAACTATTGCCGGCCGCATTCTATTGGCATCTACCCCCCTGGGTCCGCCCTGAGCGTATCATTTGCGGGTACAACGAAAGATCATCAAGATTCATCAATTGCCATCTCGAGGTCAAAGAGACGCTTCCGAACAAAGAACTGCACGATCAAAGAAATCAAAACGATGACGACTCCATCTTTACATCTACGATGCATTGACCCGTCACGTCATCACGACCATGATTTGCCCATCACCAACCAACCATTCAACTCAAATCCCAACATCACTCACCAATCATTGTTCCTCGTCACTTAGAACTTACGGATCATTTAACTTCGCATCATCGATATCACGAGTCAGTCGATAAGAATAGCCGAGCGGGTCGGGACTCGGCTCCAAGCATGCTTGCTGACTCGCAAACGCAATAGACAAGCAATCAGCCGTCTCGACATGGCACTAAACCGCGTGGCATCAGAGTCAGTCACCTATCAGGATACGGGATCATCCGCAAGCTTTCCTGTTCAGCAATCTTCGTGGTTGCGGGTGTGACACTTGACTCTGACACCTCAGATCACGCAACGGCAGGGATGATTGGCATGCAATGCATCGACCTTCTTTATCCTGTCTTAGTTATAAGTCTCAACCTCGCCTCTTTTTCTGCACCTTGTCTCTGAGGCTAAGAGATACTGAGCAATATGGGCAAAAGACTTGGCTTGCTTCGGGCCATTTATCTGGTGTCGGCCAGTTGCATGGGCTCGTTTGCTTTTGCATTTGACACTGGGGTGATCAGTGCGTTGCTCCCTATCAATGAAAAAAGGGGAAAAAAAAAAAAGGCCAGCTGAATTGACAATTGAACAGGCGGCGTTCTGACGCTGGAATCGTTCCAAAAGGACTTTGGATATACTCAAGCGCAGAAAACCACCGTCAACTCGAATGCAGTCTCGATTCTTCAGGCTGGGGCGTTTTTCGGATGCTTCTTCACCACACCGGTAGCCTCGCGACTAGGCCGCCGGAGCGGACTGATCATCAGCTCGCTGGTGTTCACGCTCGGCACGATCCTGCAGGTCATCAACGCGCACACGCTGGGTACCTTTTACGCCGGCCGCGTGATTGCCGGGATTGGAATCGGGGCCGCGACGGTGCTGATCCCGATGTATGCGGCGGAGATGTCGCCCAAGGAGTTCCGCGGGCGGCTGGGGGCGTGTTTCCAGTGGTTCTTTGCCTGCGGCGTGATGGTCGCGTACTGGGTGACGTACGCGGTGTCCAAGGACCAGCCGTCAGCAACAAAACAGTGGCAGATCGCGCTGGGGCTGCAGTTGCTGCCGTCGACGCTGCTGCTGGCGGGGATGTGCACGGTCAAGGAGAGCGCCCGGTGGCTGGCGGCCAAGGGCCGGACCGACGCCGCGTGGGATTCGCTGCGGTGGGTGCGCGGCGGCGAGGAGACGGCCGAACTACGGCAGGAGTTTGACGAGATCCTGACGGGGCTCGAGGAGGAGGCGCGCGTGCGGGAGAACTGGACCTGGCGCGAGCTGCTGCTGCCGGCCAATCGGTACCGGATCTTCATTGCCGTCACGATCCAACTGTGTGCGCAGCTGACGGGCAACACCTCGCTGGCGTACTATGCGACGCAGATCTTCGCGGCGGTCGGCGCGGGCACCTCGGCCAAGCTGGTGACGGGCTTCTTCGGAGTGGTCAAGGTGGTCGGGGTCAGTGTCTTTCAGCTGTTTGTCATGGACCGGATCGGGCGAAGAGTGCCGTTCATGGTTGGGGCGGGCGCGATGGGCTCGTTTATGCTCATCATCGCGTGTGTACTGGCGACGCATCCAACGAAAGCGTCCACGGGGGCTGCAGAAACGGGAGCAACGCACGCGGGCATCGCCATGATCATTATGACTTATGCCGAGGCGTTCAGCTTCAATATGTCCTGGGGACCACTGCCATGGCTGTACGTGGGAGAAATCTTCTCCAGTCGCACGCGCGAGGTGGGAGTGACGGTGGGGGCCGCGTCGCAGTGGCTGTTCAACTTTATGATGTCGCAGGTGACGCCGCACGCGATTGAGAATATTGGATGGCGGATGTTTTTGATGTTTGCCATTTTCAACTATTCTATAATCCCATATTCGTGGTTCTTTTTGCGAGAGGTAAGTTTCCCATCGTTCCTCGATCCTCATTACGACTAACCACCCATAGACATCCCGCCATTCTCTGGAAGAAATGCAGAATGTGTTCGGGGGAGGGCCTCGGGAAAAGAGCACCGACGACGAGGCAGAGCCTTCAGTCAAGACATCTTGAGCCCTTTTTCGGTTCAGGAGGGTCTTGATTTGGAGGAACTGTCCTATGAATGAAGCTGCACGTAATGGAATGCGTTATACTTTGGCTGGAGTTTATAGTTCTGAACGTGGCGTAGTCGGTTTCACATGCACGCAGGCAGGCAGTAGCCGAAGACAAAGAGTCATGTTTTCTTCCTTGAATCAGCTCAATGGACTCGATTGAGACTCTACTCGTGTGACTGACAAGATCCTATCCATAAGGCTGAGTCTCACTGGAGACAGATCAGCAGAACAGATCGACATCCGATTCTTGACATTGGTATGGTTACTGCTCATTACTACCATCTGCTCGTGGACTACTCTGTTAAAAGAAAGGTAATACGAAGCCAAGTAAAACTAAGTAAGGACCGACCTTACTCTAGTCCTAGACTAAACCAGGGACGGAGCCATTTGAGGCATTTACATTGGTTCTTCCTCCCGGGCTTCCCTTCTCCGCAGTGGCAAACTTTTCTCGTCTCCGTCTTCCATAGGACCGTTTTCCGTTCCCCCGTCCGTGAACTTTATGAGGGGTGTTTCTTGACGATGCCGACCGATATTCAACAGGATTGACAAGGTTGCAGTGAGTGTCAAGTAGTCAAAAGTATCATACAATGCATGTCTATCAAAGAAGCAACTATAAGAGACGGGCACAGACGGGGCACAGACAGCCACAGACCTGGACAGACTCGAGGCGAAATGCAAAGACCACACTCTGGCCTTTGGTCCTTCCTATCCCAGTTTCCGGGCCGGTTCTACGAAAGTTCTGACTGGAAGGGACATTTCTCGACCAATCGCATGAATTATCCCCAGGACGGGGATTGTGCCGATTGCTACGGCCACGGCTCTTTGACCTTTTCTTAAACCTTCGGCCGGTGTCCCTGCCTGTCTCCTCTCAAGGATTGGAGCGTCATCTAGCCATGTGGCTGTGGCATTATTATATATCGCCTCGTGGGTCTGGTTTTGAGGCTTGAGTCTAGACAAGTGACAGTAGCCGATAGATACTTTCTATCTACCCCATATTCTCCAGTCTCACGGTTCCGAAACTCCAGAATTTTGCTCCCCCACAGAACCGTTATATCTCGTGTGCGTCCCACTACGTACTCTTCTTTCTCACCTGCAGCTCGCTCCCTTTCTTTACCTTTCTTATTCACCGAATACCCTCCGTTCTTTCACCGGCCTTTGTCCTTCCTTCTGTTCTCTTGTTTATGTTTTATTTTTATTGCCGCTTCAGTATGCAACTGTGACCAATGTCGACATCGGATCGCATCTCGCGACCCACCAATCCCGATGGCCTCGTGCTTGAGGCATGGGGCCAGGGCCTCATGCTGGGTTGCCTGCTGGTCATGGCCTCAGTGACCTTTGTCAACATGAAGAAGCATATCCTGCTCCACAAATTGATTCTGATCGAGTTGATCCTGGCCATGCCCAATGGGACCTTCATCTTCCCCAAAGACCCCGTGTACGGATGGTACCAGAGCGTCACGGCCGTCGGGCTGAATGTCTCGTGGAGCTTGCACAACGTCATCGCCTGGATGAAGAACCGCCCGTTCATGTCGCGAAAGGTGTCGCTGTTCTATATTGGGACCGTGATCCTGGCGCAGCCCTACTGGGTGCTGGAGATTTATGCCAATTTTGCCTATTTCAACAACTACAACAAGATCTTTTTAACGACGAGGCCGCTCGAGCCGATTTTCCGGTTTGTCTCTCCCCCCCATTTGCCTCCCAAGCGGAAAAGGTTGATAAACTGACAAGCTGACTGAGTTAGTGACCCCTGGTGGATCTTCACCACCTGCTCCCTCTTCTACACCATCAAACGCGAATACAACTTTGGCATCATCGAGCTCGTCAGCGTCTCCCCGCGGTTTGGCATCATGCTGGCGTCCATGTGTCTTTCTATTGCTTTCATGGTCGTCGATACCTGCAGCGTCCTCAACGTGTTTAGCCATTCGTCCTTGCCGACGGGGATTGAGCCATTCTGGAAGGTATTGTAGCATACTCAAGGACTTCCAAGCCAGAAATTACTAACAATTACAAGCTGTCGTTTATCTTCAAATGTCTTTGCGACACCGTCATCCTCGACGACTTCAAAACCGCCCTAGATCGCATGCGCGCCTACTGGCTTCGGAAACGGAACATGGGCGGCGAGATCCTGTTACATACCGGCGAGCATCACCATCAGCATCATCGTATGGAGGGCAGTGGACGGTTACGCCCGACGGATGAGGATATTGAAGCCCTGACTGGGAATGGGGGAGATAGGAGGAAATCGGAGTCACTCCCAAAGGTATATACACGAGAGCATGTCAGGGGATAGGAGTAGCATATAATCAGGATAATGATGTATATATATACATACATGACATAATTGAACATATTGACCTTATGCAGATATCTCTAGAATATATCCAGAGGTGCACATACCCCTCTCTCTATTTACTACGTACCTAGATCAGGCAGCTCCTCACGTGTCACCCTGCTGATCTATGCAAGACAATTAATTACGATAAATCTCAAACAAGATTAAGCATATGAAACAGAGGCCTGTCCGTCGGCAGAAGAGTCGACCATGACGAAATGCTGCTGTCGATCTTTCCCTCTGTACCTCCTGTACTTCTGAGCTTTCCAGTTGGCACACCCCGTTTGGGACTAGTGCTATTGGTGGATCTGCCAAGTGTTGTTCCTTGTGCCGCTGCAAATAAATGTTGATCTTTGAATTTTGATACTCTTCAATCGATCGATCCGACAATCTAATCAATGATTTCCAGGTTCCTGGTGAAACTGGCGTCTTGCTTGATCTAAATCTACGATCGCTGCATCTGCTTGCGCGTCAGGGCTATCAAAACCTGGCGATTCCGCTTGGCCTGCCAATCTCCATCGACTAGGATCCATCAACTGGCTCCAGTGGAGATCATGATTCCCGTGCAGGTCGACGATCTGATCTCTTGTTAATTTTCTGTTCGTCGCCCCTGTAGATCTCGCGATTCTCACCTCTGTCGTTCCACTGCTATATCTACTTGCTTTACTGTCACTCCCTGTTTGCTTTTTTTTTTTTTTTTCGTTTGTTCTGTCCAACCTTTGTCACTCTTTGTATACCATACATTCCTTCTCTCTATATATTTGCCGTTGAAATGCCAGGCCGAGGGTTACTCAGGCTCACAGCCGGGTGGGCCCTGGGCCTACTGTCACTCTGTGTGGCAGTAGATACCTGGCCGTACATGACCCTGCAGACCGCACCATACCAACCTCCGCAGATCCAAGTCACCAAGAGCGGCACCACCGACCCGGGCTACCTCTTTGTTGGCCCCCGTGGCAACAAGCCGGAAGGGACGGCGGCGTTGATCTACGACGAGGACGGCAACCTGGTCTACCAGGGCCCGGACGAGGTGACGGCCAATTTCCGGGTGCAGCGGCTGTTCAACCAGGACGTCATTACTTTCTGGGCCGGCAACATGACCGACCTAGGCTTTGGATACGGCACCGTCCACATTCTCGACAACAGCTACCGGGAGATCTACACGGTGACCCTGCAGGGAGCCTTTGTGACGCCGGACAACAGCGTCCCGGACTCGTTCATTGACCTGCACGAGAGTCACATCTCGGACCGCAATACGTTGCTGGTCACGGCCTACAATGTCACCCAGCAGTCGCTGACGTCGATCGGGGGACGCCGGAGGATTACATGCTGGACAGTTTGTTTTTTGAGATTGATATTGCTACCAATGAGATTGTGCATTCGTGGAGTGCCTTGGAGCATGTTGACCAGATTGCTTTGACCGACTCGAAGCAGGGGATTGACGTCGATCATGGAACGCGTGAGCAGCCGTGGGATGCGTATCATATCAACTCGGTGGAACTGTTTGACGAGGGGTATCTCGTTTCTCTGCGTCACTACTGGTCTGGGTATTATGTCCATGCTAATGGGACTGTCATGTGGCAATTTAGTGTACTCCCTGGCCCCCTGCCCCCCCGCCCCCTTTTTCTTTTTTAGATACTGACCTGACCGATGATAGGGCGAACTGGGCAAGGGTGACTTTAAACTAGACCAGGCCGGGGTCTTCTCCTGGCAGCACGACATGCGCATCTACAACAAGACAGAAACCGGCATGATCCTGAGTCTGTTCAACAACGCCAACACCCCTACTGAGACTGTTGCGGCGTCGACGGGTTTGAGTTATGCAGTGGATCTTGTAAACCGCACGGCGAAGACACTTCACACGCTGAGCGACAGCAAGGACGTCATCCACAGCGTTAGTCAAGGCAACTACCAACAGCTGAGCCCGTCGGGGCACGTCGTGCTGGGCTATGGGTCGATTGCCAAGATCAAAGAGTTTGACGCCAACAACAAGCAGGTCCTCACGGCGCAGTTTGGCACCGACAACGAGGTGGCCTCGTACCGGGGGTATAAGTGTGCCTGGAAGGCGACGCCGTTTTGGGCGCCGGCGGTCGTGGTCCGGCGGGTGTCGGATGATTCTGCGCAGGTGTTTATGAGCTGGAACGGGGCAACTGAGTATGACAATTGGGCTGTCATGGCGGCAGACGCACCGGATTCCGTCAATCCCTCCATTGTTACTATTTTTAAGCGCACTGGCTTTGAGACGTCTGGTACGGTTCGGGGGTTGAAGACAAAGTATCTCCAGGTGGTTGCTCGTCGGGGAGATATTCCTTTGGGCTTGTCGCCTATTGTCAGTTTTTAGCACGCCAATGTCTGCATCTGTCACTGTACATATACATCACATTTCACATACTATTCATAGACAGCATAGCGTGGACTATAGATTTGTTACTCAACGCTTTTTCCTGACCGTACAAGAACTCGGGTACATCGTTGCACTACGGATGCACCACATACACAGCCTACATTGTACCACAGAGTTAAACATGAATATCACTTGGCTAAAACCTCTAGATATATAAACCCCCCGAACATTCACCTATCTCAGCCTAAGCTAATCACAAACACAACAACAACAACAACAAGAACAAGAACAGAACCGGACCAGAAACTCAAACCGAAAAATGCATCTCAACCTCTTCAGCCTCGCTCTCTGCCTCTCCCCCTGGCCTTAGCCCTAACTCTCCCCCTCAACCCATCCTCACCAAACCAACCATCAACCCAGCTAGTATGAAAATAAAAATCAGACCAACGAACCAAACCCTCGGCCACGCCCTCATCCACAACACCTGCCAGTCCCCAATCTACCTCTGGTCCGTCGGCTCAACCATCTCCCCCGAGTTCACCATTCCCCAAACACCACCTACGCGGAGGCCTATCGCCGGGACCCGGCAAGCGGCGGCATCGCGCTGAAGATCACGCGCGTGGCGGATGGGCTGTATGCCGCAGCGCCGCAGATGGTGTTTGCGTATAATCTTATGGGAGAGCAGGTTTGGTATGATCTGTCGGATGTTTTTGGGGATCCGTTTTCGGGGAGTCCTGTTCGGGTTGAGTATCGGGGGCTGGCTGGGGAGGAGGACGATGAGGACAAGAAAAAGATTGAGTGGGAGGAGGGGGTGTCTCCTGGGGGAAGTATGGTTAGGGTTGCGGGTGCGGAGGGGATTTAGTTCTGACGGTTTGTTAGATCTATCCTTGGAGGATACTTATGGAGATGGGAGATGAGATATGGAGGTGACGTGTGTGAAAGGAGAGGGTGGTGGTAGGATATGCTGGTTGTGGGGAGGTGGAGTGGATGAGGGGGATATGGTAATGCTATGTCCTATTTGCTTTCTTGCTTTGCAGTAGTAATTCAATGCGTTTTCTTATTTTCTATGTTACCTGGATGCTATTGAATGTGTGAAAAGGTGTAGTTGTGTACTCTGTCTGGGACTGTTGGAGTATATAGTCCGTCCCCAGTCTCCACATTAACCTCGGCATTTATCTCAGTACAGACAGTTGGAGTACCTCTCTAGTAGAGCATACATTCCTGGTACATAATGCTGAAGTACACATGTCGTTGTACAGTAACATCGTCTACAGACTGTATTTGACCCGAAGAATAATCAAGAAAGCTATCTATTCGCTCGTTTGGCCGAGATATCTTCTTACTCTTTTATGGACGTTGGATATTCGGCCAGAAGGCCGAGGCTGACCGCTGAATAAATAATTGGAGATCCCCATGAATATTTCCCCGCACTTTGCCATCTCCCTCCCTTCTTTCACAACAATTAATTCATCGAGACAACTACTCTCTGTATTGCTACAATGGCTTCAATACGTGTTGCGCCCTCTGCCGCCAATAGAGCCCTCAATCTCCTCCGCACAGTGCAATACACCCATCCTCCCTCCTGTCCCTGCCACTCCAACCCCAATCATCACCACCATCACCTGCAATCCAACCATGTCCGCCGTCTGGCCACCCCCGTGGATCCCTCGCGCCAGAAAGAGTACGCCTTTGAAATGGCCGCCTCGAGTATCCGGTTTGGCCCTGGCGCGACGAGGGAAGTCGGCATGGATTTCGCCAATATGAAGGCCAAGCGCGTGTGTATCGTGACCGACCAGAACGTGGCCAAGCTGGATGCCATGAAACAAGCGGTCGAGGGACTCACAAAAGAGGGCATTGAGTTCACCGTTTATGACAAGGTGCGGGTCGAGCCAAAAGATAGCTCGTAAGTGCCAGACTTTTCATTTCTCGAGAGTCAGGAACGAACGGCTAACTCCAGCAGAGTGAAAGATGCCATCGCGTTTGCAAAGCCGTATAACCCCGATGCTTTTCTGGCTGTCGGCGGCGGCTCGGTCATTGACACGGCCAAGCTGATGAATCTCTACACCGTCTTCCCCGAGGCCGACTTTCTCGACTTTGTCAACGCCCCCCTGGGCAAAGGACTCCCCGTCACAAAGGCCCTGCGGCCCCTGGTCGCCGTCCCAACCACTGCCGGCACCGGTTCGGAGACAACAGGAACCGCCATCTTCGATCTCGTGTCGAAAAAGGCCAAAACCGGCATCGCCCACCGCAATCTCAAACCCACACTGGGCATCTGCGACCCCCTCAACACCCGCACCATGCCCTCGGCCGTCCACGCTTCGTCGGGCCTTGACGTCCTCTGCCACTCGCTCGAGTCCTGGACCGCCATCCCCTACAACGAGCGCACCCCGCGCCCCACCAACCCCATCAACCGCCCGGCCTACCAGGGCGCCAACCCTATTTCCGACATTTTCTCCCTGCAGGCCCTGCGCAGCACCGTCAAGTACCTCCCCCGCGCCGTCCGCGACCCCGACGACTTTGAGGCCCAGTCCCAGATGCTCCTGGCCGCCACCCTGGCCGGCGTCGGGTTCGGGAATGCCGGCGTCCATTTATGCCATGGCATGAGCTACCCCATCTCCAGCCAGAACCCGGGGTATAAACATGCGGGGTATGACGTCGACCACCCGATTATTCCTCATGGTGTGTCCGTGGCCGTCACCGCGCCCGCTGTCTTCCGTTTCACGGCAGCGTCGAATCCCGACCGGCATCTGGCTGCCGCGGAGGCGTTTGGCGTGGATATCTCGAATGTCAAGCGCGAGAGTGCAGGCGAGGTCCTCGGCGAGGCGCTGGCCAAGTTTTTGGCCGAGCTGGGCGACCAGCCGCGTGGACTGAGGGATCTGGGTTTCAAGCATTCGGATCTTGAGTCGTTGGTTGAGGGGACGATCCCGCAGAAGCGCGTGTTGATGCTGGCGCCGAATCTCAGTGGCGAGTTGGAAAGAGAGAGGGAGGAGTTGAGGGGTTTACTCGAGCAGTCGATGGAATTTTAGTGTTTACTCGTATATAAACAATGTGAACATTCTATTGAAACGCCAACCGTACTCCCATGATATGCAGTGAAACTATATATACATGAATACTTCTATATTGCTATCCTCCCCAGATAATCCTCAACCCAATCACCCCCATCGAAGACGCCACCCGGTCCAGCCAGGTGACAGGCAAAGCCTCGCTCGACGCACTCGACACACCGCGCTGGAAGTCAGACACCACGCGGAACCCTCCTTGTCGTCGCCGACCAACCCGAAGCCAAACCAGCAGGCTCTGCAACGCAGCCACCATATCCTCCGCCCCTGCAGGAGGAGCCCGGGGCCAGTATCCCCTCGACCACTGGACCCAATTACCCCCCTCAACTCCTGGACCAACCGAACCAGTCGGCCCTTCGTCGCCCGCACCCTGGCGACCAACCCCTCGTCCACCTCCTCGCCCTCACCCTCCACCGGGTGGTTCTCTCCCTCCGGCAATGCCTCCGCAAAATACCTCGGACACCGCACAACCTCCATCCAAATCCGCTCACAAACATCCACCACGCGCGCATCGCGCCCCGCCTTGCGCACATCCTCGGCGCGGATCCTCCCCGCAAACCGCAGCCATTCGTCCTCGTCTAGGAAACACGCGCGCCCCTCGTAGATGGCGGTTGCGACGAGGAAGCCGCGGAAGGCGATGTAGCAGCCGCGCGCGAAGCCGGGTCCTTCCGCACTAGCACCGGCGGTAGCTGGTGGTTGTTCGCTGGTGGCGCTGGTGGGAGTGTGTTGTTGTTGTTGGTCGTCGTTGTCGTCGGTGAAGTGCAGACCCGGCCCCCTCGCGAGCATAATCCTCCTTACACCATCAACGTGCACGACGAACGCGTCCGGCGAGGTCCGCGCGTACATCTCGTACACCGCGAGCATCATGATGGTAGCTAAAAGCGGGGCGGAGAGTGCGGCGGGGAGTGCAATGCCGCAACAACGTGTGTGAGTGCGTGCGCGTACAGCTGGCGGCTGCGCCGGGTGTACTGCGCTGGATCGGGGGAGAACTGCGCGGTGTAGATGGATGTGAGACAGGCGAGGGTGGCGGCGAGGTAGGGGCTGCACCGGAGGCGTAGGAGGAGGCGACGTGCGCGAGGAAGTCGGGGCGGTTGTGCGCGCGGAAGAGGTTGGAGGTGTAGAGCGTGGGAAAGGCGGAGTGGAGGAAAGAGGCAAAGAGGTGTGGTTGTTGGAGTTGCATTTGCATTTGAAGCTGCATTTGGTGGAGGCAGGTTTGGGTTTGGGCGGCGGAGGAGGGGTCCTCTGAGCGCGTTTGGCGCATCATTGCGATCGCGTTGTTGCGAACGGCGGCTGCTGCCGCTGCTGCCGCATCTGTGGTTGTCTCTGGACGTCTGCGAGACTGGGACCGCGACTGATGCCGTCGTTGGAGGGCTGGTCCTTCATCTTGGAAGCGAAAGGTGCGGCGGTAGCCTGGACACGGGCGGCCGTATTTCCGGCATTGCGAGCATTGGGGGACGGCCTCGTCGCACTGTTTTGTCAGTCGTTTGACGATAGAGTAGGAGGAGAGGGACACCGACCTTGATCCGTCTTTCGCGGCACAGCGAGCAGCCTGTGCTATGGGGGACTCCGACCATCGTATCTTACAGTCACGGCCAGCGTGGACAAACGTTGACAAGAATCTACCGACTCAAACAGGAAACGCTTGCAAGACAACAAAGAAAGGAACGAGTTGAAGCAGTGTGTTGAAGGAGTGTGTGTGTGAGTTTGATGAATTCAATCTCATAGAGACGAGGACCTTTTCTATCATCCCAACAGCCTAAACAGGATGCAAAAGGACCCAATCGGCCGAACTAAGTATGAGCACCACGTCGAATGACGAACATCCAGACTGGCAATCGCCAGTCTGAGGACAGACCGTTAACCTTTTTTTGGATCTGCATCTCGACCGGCTGTTGAGCTATGATGATCCTGCAAGGGCCACGAGAGTGCCATGCTATGGCCCATGGCCCCCACGATTTTTGACGTCGTCTTGAGTAGACTCGTCTAGTATACTCCGTCGAATATGCTGAAGCTGAGCAGCTAGCTGACTCGTTGCTGCCATGGTCTTTTGGCGACGCTGGTATAATTATCCATCACGAACGAATAGCTGCCCGGCAAGCATGGGGCCGTGACACGGTGTCAGAGAATCAAGATGAGGTCAAGTCAAACTCTCAAACGGTAGCTTGAGGAATCCGAAGTCAACAGTGTCGGCTAGTGATTAAAATAGCATCATCCTCGTAGTGGATGCACCATGATTGGCGCGTTTCTCGGCGCGGCTCTCGTTAGACGGGATATACGAGCCTGCATCGATGCTCTGCTGATCTGTGCTTTGCCTTTTTTGGATATCCACTCGTGAAACAATCGCCAAAAGAGCTAGAGGAGTCAGTTACAGAATTGAATGATACGATGTGACCCACTTGACTCGTGTTCGTCAGTATCCTGAAAAGCCCTCCTTCGTATGGATGGCCCTATTTGTGGAGGATGATGGGGAGAGTGCTTACCCTCTAATATTAACAGTCTGCACTTGGCCATATTGACTAGAATAGCAACACTATGATGAATTGATGATATGGCCCGTACCCCACATATCTTCATCCTTTCATTCTGTCTAGTGAGCCGCATCAGGAAATGATTTGGTCGGTCATTCTCTTGGTCAAACTCAAAAAGAGATACCAAGTTAGGAAATGGAGAGCTTTGTCGAAAGGATAATGACACGCGTCCACTCGGTATACAAGTACTGAAGTACTCCGTACATCAGGTACATCGATCTCATTCTCTTCTCATCTCATCTCATCAAGTCTCCAAGAGACATGATATTCAGCGGCAAACTCGACAATAACAAACATCAGATGACACCAGATAAAAAGCAAAGAAAGAAAATCTACCTATTCTCAAAGATGATAGCCATAACATCCACGAATCACAGAGACACCGTCCCGCAACCCCGCAGTCTCACAATGTACTCACCTTAGGCAGATTAACCAGTCTGTCGATGATTGGTACGGGGAAGAGGTACACACATGAGCTGCAATCATTTATGTTGCTATTGTCTCGGGGTGTGCCTCTCGTTATTGGGTTCAGTATACTGGTGGCGTTCCCTAACCCAATGGCTGTCAATGCATCACTCTGGCTAATGCATTCCTTGACAGAGTCAATTGATTCACGGTCTCATTGACGTGGTTATATATGAAGCTTCCAAGTTCTACCCACTGGTTTTCTTCATTACAATCCTTCCAGTCAACCGGCCACGATCATGCCTTCGGCCAAGCAGCCCCCTCCCAAAGTCCTCGTGCCGGAAAAGCTCTCGCCAGATGGATTGGCTCTCCTGCGTGCGTCGCTCGAGGTAGACGAGCGAAAGGATCTCGATGCGGATGAACTTCTCCAAATCATTCCCGAATATGAAGCTCTGGTCGTCCGGTCCGAAACCAAAGTCACGGCCAATCTCCTTCGAGCAGCCAAACAACTCAAGGTAGTTGCCAGAGCGGGAGTAGGAGTGGACAATGTGGGTGAGTTAGCCCCTAGCCCCCCAGACATGATTCATGGCACACTGACAAGTCACGGCACAGATGTCGAGGAAGCCACCAAGCTCGGCATCGTCGTCGTCAACTCGCCGTCAGGCAACATCGGGGCTGCCGCAGAACACACCATTGCCCTCCTGATGGCCATGGCGCGCAACATCCCCGAGGCCTGCAGCAGTCTGAAGAGCGGCAAATGGGAACGGAGCAAGTTTGTCGGAGTCGAGGTGAAGGGCAAGGCCTTGTCAATCATCGGGTTGGGAAAAGGTGAGCTTCTGCCATCTGAGGGACGAGCCTTGAACACATCATCACAACTACTTGTACTTGTTTACTACGAATGGGTCGAGTTTATGGGCTGACTGAACAGTCGGCTTGACGGTTGCACGACTTGCCAAAGGGCTAGGAATGAACGTCAATGCGCTCGATCCGTATGCGTCCCCTGCCGTCGCGGCGTCGGCGTCTGTCACGCTGGTCTCGTCGCTGTCGGAACTGCTGACCACGGCGGACTTTCTCACCATCCACACGCCACTGATCGCGTCGACCAAGGGGATGATCTCGACGGCCGAGCTCGCGCAGATGAAGCCCGGTTCCCGCATCCTCAACGTCGCCCGCGGCGGCACCATCGACGAAGCCGCTCTGCTCGTGGCCCTGGAGTCAGGCCACCTGGCCGCAGCCGCCATCGACGTCTTCACGTCCGAACCTCCCGAGCCCGACTCGACTGCCGCTCGACTGATCGCCCATCCCCGCGCGGTCGTCACTCCGCACCTAGGCGCCTCCACAGTGGAAGCACAGGAAAACGTATCCATCGACGTCTGCGAGCAGGTCCTCCAGATCCTAAACGGCTCCCTCCCACGCAGCGCAGTCAACGCGCCTCTCATCCTGCCCGACGAATACCGCAAGCTGCAGCCATTTGTCCGGCTCGTCGAAAAGATGGGCAGTCTGTACACGCAGCACTACGCCTCGAGCGTGGGCGGGTCCATGACGCGCAACACCTTTGACCTCATCTACCACGGCGAGGTGGCAGGCATCAGCAACACGCGGCCGCTGTTCGCCGCGCTGATCAAGGGCCTCCTGGCCCCGATCAGCAGCTCCGAGGGCATCAACATCAACATCGTCAATGCGGAGCTGGTCGCGCGCGAACGCGGCATCTTCGTCAACGAGCAGCACTCGCGCGATCCGGCGGATCATTCGTACTCGTCTCTTGTGACGCTTGTAGCGAGGCCGCCTTCGCGCGCTTCGTCCCGTGCGCCTGCGCCGGAAGCTACCTCTCAGTCTGGACCAAACCCGCAAGACCAGCGCATCATCTCCGGAACGTGCAGCGGCGACCAGCCGTTGATTAATCGGCTGGGCCGGTTTGAGACCTCGTTTGTCCCAGAGGGAACGCTGCTCATCTGCGAGAACTACGATTCTCCGGGGAAGATTGGGGCGGTGGGGAGTCTCTTAGGGCAGGAGGGGGTCAACATCAATTTTATGACGGTGGCTCCGGTTTCAAGGAAGTTTGCATTCGCATCTGGGGAGACGGACGATGGAGGTTCTAAGCACGAGGCGTTGATGATCCTGGGGATTGACAAGGTGGTGGACCAGCGAGTGGCCGATGGGCTGGTCAAGGGGGAGGAGTCTTGAGTGCTAGTGTCATTTCTCTTTGACAGGGCTATCCTGAATGGCAAGATTGTCCTGTGATCAGTACGGTTAATCTATTTCTGCTGCTTGCAGATGACTTGTGACCTGTCCGTGTCGATCACAGTCCCCGCATTATGCATATCACATCCGCAGTCTAGTCCATACATACATACCAGAGGTACTCCGTAGATAGATAAACAATGGCATTCCCTCAATCCATTTCACATCAGTTGCATCAAAATAATCACATCATCATCATAAATATAATAATCATACCATCAAAATGAAAACACCGCTAATCCTTACCCTACTATCAACAACACTCACCTCCGCAACAGCGTCAACCCTCCAAACCCCCTCGACCCCCCATCAACAACAACAACAACAACAACATGAAATCAGGAAACCCCATAATCCCAGGCTGGTACGCCGACCCGGAAGCCCGCATCTTCGACTCCAACTATTGGATCTTCCCAACCTACTCCGCCGCCTACGAAACCCAAACCTTCTTCGACGCCTTTTTCTCCCCCGACCTCCTCACCTGGACCAAACACCCCCGCATTTTGGACTTCGGGGGGATCCCCTGGTCCACGAATCGGGCTGCGTGGGCGCCGAGTGTGATTCGTCGGCCTGCTTCGCCCAAACCCAATGACAGTAGTAGTAGTAGTAGCAGTAGTGCTGCAGGGCAAGGGGAGCATGGGCATGAGTATGATTACTTCATGTACTTCTCCGCCGGCGACGGGGCAGGGATCGGGGTTGCGAAATCAACAACGGGACGGCCTGAGGGTCCCTATGCGGATGTTCTGGGAAAACCGCTAGTCCCGACCACGGTGTTTGGGGCGGAGCCGATCGACGCGCAGGTGTTTATTGATGATGATGAGCGTGTGTGGTTGTATTTCGGGGGGTGGAGCCATGCGGTGGTGGTGGAGTTGGAGAGTGATATGGTGAGTTTGAAGGGGGAGTATTTGGAAATAACCCCCAAAGGGTATGTTGAGGGGCCGTGGATGATGAAGAGGGAGGGGTGTATTATTTTATGTTTAGTGTGGGAGGGTAAGTTGCATTTCATTTTCTTCCTTGGATGGAAGCATAGCAAGCTGATGGTGGTGGCAGATGGGGAGATGACTCCTACGGGGTGAGTTATGTTACCGGGGAGTCGCCTACGGGTCCGTTTACCACAGAGCCTGTCAAGATCCTCTCTGGGAATGCGACGGTCGGCACCGGGACGGGCCATAATAGTGTGATTACACCAGATGGAAAGGAGTACTATATCGTCTACCATCGGCGGCCGGTGAATGACACCGAGCGCGATCACCGCGTGGTCTGTATTGATCGGATGGAGTTTGATGCTGACGGGAATATCCTGCCTGTGGTGATTACGACCGAGGGAGTAGATGCAAGGGCATTGAATCAGCCAAAGGCTGTCTAGCGTACATCCTTGAGCTTCATTGAGTATGAATAATCAATAGTGCTATCGTATAGCTACCCTTCAACGCCAAACTCCAGTAATGCATGGGTATCATATCAAAACATCGAGCTGCGCTTTTTATGCAACTTTGAATCGTCCGACAACCGTCGAAACCCAAAGAAACTACTCTTTTTCGGCTGCAGCTGCCCCTGTCCCTGTGCCTGACCCTGTGGCCTCGGCGGCTGCAGGGAATGTATCGTCGAGTGCGGTCGAGGCGGGGGCGCAGAGCCAGGCGCATGCGGCCGCGGAGTCGCAACTGGGCCCGGCATTAGATGCAACATGGACGGTGCCTGCTGATGGTAGTAGTATCGCGGATCCGGCCGCGGAGGGGGACGCGGTTGCTGCTGTTGCTGCCGAGGAGGCGGTTGAGGACGCGGCGACTGCGCAGGAGGACGCGCAAGGTTCACACTGCTGGCGCGCACCTGCTGCTCCTCGCGGCCGTAGATCTTCTGCAGTCGGCGGGTCTCCTTATCAATCTCGGCCTGGCGCTTGCGGCGAGCCTTCTCCTCTTCTTCCAGCCTTTTCTTGGTCCGTTTTTCCTCCTCCTTGCGTGACAGTTCTTGCTTCTTCTTCTGTTGCTGCGTTGGAGCTGGGGCTGGGGCTGGCGTTGCGCTTGGTCGCGCAACTTGAGTCTCTGCTGGACGCGAGGGTGCAGGCTGTTTGCCGTTGGTTTTTGTATTCGACACTGCCGCCGTAGGCTTCTGATTCTGCAAGCCAGTACCATTCTGTACTATTGTGCTGGCACTGACATTGACAGTACTGCCCGTCGGACCAGCCACCGGCTTCCTTCCCACCTCATCCCTTACAATCCGAAAGGCATCCTTCATCGGGGTAAAGTAGACATCGCGGATGGTCACCGCTCCCAGCAAGAGCACAATCTCCAGCCCCTTGAAATCCTCCATCTCAACCCGGTACAGGTTCGGCTCGTATAGCGTCAGCTCGCGTAGCGCCTTGAAGATCGACAGCGTGATATCCGGCTCCTTGCTCTTCGCTTTTCCCTCGGCCAACGTCGATGTCTTCCCAGACAGCAGACACGTTAGATCCTTGGACAACTTGCTATCCTTGCGCCAGCTGAACCGGAGTTTCGGGGTCGTGTCCGCCAGGGCCGGGTCGGTCTGCGTGCGGTCGAGCGTTGAGGTCGACGGCTGCCGGAAAGTGTGCTGCGGCATCTCGAATTCCCACGTTGCGGGCGTATTCCACGTCTTGTGCTTGTAGCGGATCGTCACCTGCTGGTCGGGGTTGTACAACCGGACGATGAACTGCGAGGGGAGAATGGGTTCTGGAGGAGGTGTGACCCCGCCGTTCAGGCGGATCGCCTCAGCGGATAGACTGGGTTGTGTCCATTCCGGGATGATTAGAATCTCACCATAGACGACGTCTGGCACGAAAGGATCACAGAGCGCGACGGCATAGCGGTTCTTGGAGGAGGGGGAGGCGGGATCGGGGTAGCGGAGGGTGTAGGCGGGCTCGGGGTCGTCGCCGTACTGGCAGAGATAAATAGTCCACAGGTGTTTTTGTTGGTTATTCGGTCTGAGATAGAAGGCTGTCGTTGTCGTCAGCAGTCAGTCAGTCAGCAGTCAAGTCTTCAAGCCATCTTTGGTGAGTGAGTGAATGACGTACTTGGAAGGTTCTCGTCAAGCATTGTGCATGGATATCGCTACTGCGTGAACATTCAATGAGAACCGCCGGTGTGCAGTGGTTGGGACAATCCAGCCATTGATTAATGGCCACGCGTTGAAATATACCAAAGAGGAAGTGGAAGTGTCGTTTCGGAGGTGCCTGGTGATAAGCCTGAGGCTTGCTTCTCTGGGGTATTGCCCGCTATTGCGCCACTGGATCCGCACCTAAAAATAGCGCTGTCCATCTTCTTTTCCTGCCTCCCAATAGCTTGTAGATACATACGCAGTTGTCAATGGCTTACCGAACGTTCCAAGTCGTCAAATAGGCAGCTATATATTTACAACTCTATCTCGCTCTTGTCTGCAGATCTCCTACTATCCAGAAGCATTAACTGAACGATGATAGGCTGGTTGTCTATACTGCCGTCTCACCATCGTCCATTCGTGTATCATATCTATCATTGAAATAGGCACAACTCAACTCAATTTGATGGACGGCGATCCAGCTAATTGCACAAATCAACAGCTTATATACTATCTGACAGGTCCACTAACCATGGAGCTGAATTGAACCTAGGACTGTTCAATTCTAGCCGTCAGAAGCATTCTGACGATTCAACAAGAAAGCACCAGCAGATGGATTAACAAGCCTGCTCACAAATACGATTGTGATAAGACGGATCTACATACGAAACAAGCTATCAATCTCGTTGCCTTGAGCACTGCCTCGAAGTCGGGGTTAAGTCTGCCTCGTGGCTCAGTCTACCACTACAGAACAGGATCGTTCAATTGGCTATTCTATCGTACTCTGCCTCTTAGCTCAGATTGGGGCAATCTATGTGAAAGTGAAGGCTGATGCACCTACCCTTGTTTATGGTTTACTGGAGTTATAGTGAGCCTAGCCCGGATTCTGAAGGACTGACATGAACTTGAATGTATTGATGGAGGATCTCGCTATTGAGCGAATGGCTCGGGATGGAGTACATGATCTTCACACGCTGGTTCTCGACTGGTTGTATCTTCCTGGCCCGGCGGATCTCGAATCACCGCCTCAAGAGCAATGCATTTCATCATCGGGTTGCGGTATAGCGAGATCGTTGGACGCGTAGCCTGGGAAATTAGTGTCTGCTCAGTCTCTGGCCTTAGTCTGTCAAGCACGTACCGTGTGAAAAGAACGCCGATCCAATGGATTGAGCCCGCTGGCCATGATAGTGTATCTAGAACCGGTCAGTCTTGTCCAACCTGCGGAGTGAAATCCTGACCTTTGCGGTAGATGAATTGTGCTCTTTAGTCTCCTGTTCCAGGTCCTCATCGGCCCTCCAATGTTCGAACGCAGCCTCTGCTGGTACCATGGCTTTTGTCTATATCCAACGTCCCTGGCGTACATCAGTAACATCTCGCTCACTTGAATGGGAAGGGATGAACTTATTCGGCGAGCGCGTGCGTCTCACATATGTTGAACAGGCTCGCATGGCCCTCATGAAAGAAGTGAAGCAAACCCTATACTCTGTAAGCCATACACCAGTGGATCCTGACGTACCTGAAGTCGAGTCTCGAGTCGAGTTGAGGTTGATAGACTTGAATGCTTTTGTCAAACCGCCAGTTGCCATGCCTGATCGAGATTAGCTGTCGTCTTTTAGAGGAAGGGTTCGAGACTTAGGGAAGATCATGTATATTGAGCGTTGTTATCTCGCCGATTGAGCAAATATATCCCATCTTGAAGAGTTGATTGCATCCTGTTTCCGTTAGCTATTGAGGGTTGGGGTCACTTACTAGACTTAAGCTTATCGAATATCCAGAAGATCGATCACAGATTATACAGAACCCTGAGAACCAGACGTTAGTATTTGCTTGCCTTTCTGGACGGCCTCACCTGTTCGATACTGCTTGGTAGAGTAAAGCATGAACCGATATTATCTGCTGAGACGATCAGGAAAAGGTTCTGGCTGATCTGATTGCAAAAGCACGCAGCAGTCGATATTCTTATAGACGACGACTCATAAAGAAGTACTTGACTTGAACGCAGCCTTTGTCGCTGTCTTGTTCTTGCGTCCGTTTGTTCTATTCTGGTCGACTCGGCGAGCTTTGTACTTTTGTCTCTGAGCGCATAATGGCTATTGTTCGAGTGTTGCAAGTATGTCTCCAATCCACGGAAATCTTCCTTGAAGAATCGCACCGAGTCCAATCATCGATGTGATCCCGAACCTTGTTCCCTGTCGGGGGATTGGATGTGAAACGGGCGCCTTTGTTGCATCCGTTATTGAGATCCCCAGCTTTGTTCTATCAACCGCCAACATTGAGATCGACTCTTTATTTCCCTCCTCTACAATCAAATGAAACATCTGAACCAATGGATTGCCTTCTATTTTGCATCTATTTTCGTCTAGATCTATCTTCAGTCCAATCATGCAGCAGCCAACTCTGCCAAGTACAAGTCCAACGTCTCAGACTCTGACACCCTCGACCTCCTTGCCCTCCGGAACTGTGGCATGCTCTCGCTCGGCTGTGCTCAGTTGCAAGCCCTGGTCATCCCATCCTTGTGTGCCAAGCTTGTACAGTGTCTTTTGTCTCTCACGGTCTAGCATCGGGCCGTCCTTACCACGGCGATGGCGCGACTCCACTGTCTCAACCATTGTCGCATTGTCGCCGTCTAATGGGTAGCCTTCCAGGTCATCTTTGTGTGTCTCGTCGGAGAAGACGAAGCTGCGGTATTCGGTGTTGCTCCAACCGGTTCCTTACAAGTGTCAGTCACATTATTCTGGCCACCGGAAAGCTGAGAAGACGAGGACAGGACATACCCTGGTAAACACTACTATCCTCCCAGTCCTCCGTGAAATAGTGCAGGAAACCACCATGGGTGACGACAACGATCTCCTTCTCCGGCCTCTCCTTCAACCAGCGCCGCGCCTCACGCGCCCGGCTCTTGATCGCCTCGTTGGTTGGCGCATAGCGACCAGTCTGAATACCGTCAGTCTCCCTTCCCCATCACAAATCGAAAGAAACAAACCAACCTTGCTATTCCATCCCTCCTGCACTAAACTCATATCCACGGGGATTCCCTGCTTCTCCATCTCCTTCCGCAGAACCTCTGGGTCACTCCCCGTATCGCAGGGAACGTCACTGGTTTCTTGCACATCTGGCAGCAGCACGATCTTCATATCCTTGTGTTTCTCGAACACGGGCTGGAAGCTCTGGTATGCGGTGTAGATGGTCCGTCGGAGGGGCGACGCGGTGATCAGCTCGATCCGATCATGGAAGGGGAATTTGTCGCGAAGGATGCGACATTGTTCGTTTCCGAGGTCGGTCAGGGAAGGATCGTGGATGACGTGGTTTGCTGTGCTGAGGTTGTGGACGCCCTGATGGTGTGGTAAGTTTCGTGTACGCAGAGAGATGTCTACAATGAGAAACATACCTGCGCGTGGCGAACACAGTGGACAATTGGCGGCATTTTGGAGTCTCTAATGTGATATCTAGAGAGGTACAAGTTAGAATATAGAAGCGTGGGGTAGCGGGGCAGTCAAGACAAATCCTAGCATTCACACGTACCTATCGCGAGTAAGGAGAAAAGGAAAGATTCTTCAAATGTATGACAGAAAATGAGGGAAGACTGTAAAATCTGAAGTTGAGGAACTTGGAGAATAAATCAGTCAGTCACTGTTGGTTGCGACTGGTTGAGTCAATCCCGGAGGACAGCGCACCGTGGGGGTGATGTTGAATATGACTGGACAACAGCGGGACTCAAGACTTACATCCAGAATCTCTATTCGAAGCGTATAGATCGTCTATGTACGAGAAGAAAAATTCAACAGGATAGTGAAGAAATAGGCAAATCACCCCAAAGATCAGAGCGAGAGCAATCATGGCAAATCCCGCCTTTCCATGGCAGCAACGTCATTTGTCGGGGGAAACTTGTCCGAAGACTGGCAGGCAGGTTTGGCGAATCGCCTCACAAGACATGAGCAATGGAAAGAGAAAAATGAGACTGTAATGGGCAACGTATAGGCCCTCCATGAATATGATCATATTATATACAGCACGTCCTCTATGGCTGGATCCCGAAACCACCTAAATACGTCCTATCCTCCATGCACCATGGCCATGAGTGGCGCTTGCAGCGATGTGCGGTATATCACACAAACCAACCTTGCAGAGGGTATTATCTAGCAAGCGAGCATAAGAGTTTGCCTGGCAAATCAAGCAACTCCAAAACCCCGAGCATTCTCAAGAGCTTTGTTAAGCTTCTCTTCCAAGACACTCTTTGATGAGTATTCCGGCAAAAGTAGTCGACCAAAACAGGTCAAACTGGTCGGAAGGCGCTGGAGAAATGTCAGTCTGATAATGTAGCCGAAAAGGAGCCGAGTAAACTTACAGCATCACCCACACCGTTTCTCTGAATGACAAACATGATGCTCGCAATACCGTTCACAGGAACACGATCACTGGCCGTGACAAACTCCAAGAGCTGCGCCTTCTTCTCTGCAGAAAAGCCCTTCACAATGCTCCAGAAATCTCGGATGACTCGGTGATGGGGGCCGAAGCCACCTTCGTATCTGGCATGGCGTTCCAGTTCTCCCAGGTCGATTTCCTGAATTCCTTCGACGACCGTCTTGAAAGCTTCTGGCGTAAAGATTGACAGGGCTGCTCGGTCAAGACAGGTATAGAATCCCCGCGCAAACGCCTCAAACTGGGGTCTGATCGACTTATCAGTAAGCCAGAATATGTAATCTTTGACGAACTGAGCACGGTTCTCATTCGTAACAAGGGAGGCCTCCTCAACTGGAGGCGTCGGGACGCAATGGTCAAGAGGCTCTGATGTGCTCCGATGCGACGGTCCGCAGTCGAGGAAACCAGCATGGACCGCAGCCATGGAGCAGGGAGGACTCAGATCTGCGGGATCAGCATGCCGAGATAGCTCCGACCAGTTCGTTGCAAGTTCCAACGACTTGCCGCGGTCCCTTGCCCGTAAGGGCCATACAGTGTCTCTGTCAACCTTCTCCATGTCAACCGTTTCGACGGCCCCAAAGGCTTCGAAAGTGAACTCATATGTTCGCATGAAGACATCTCCCACATCGCCCTCCTGCCATGACAATAATAACTCAAGTCCTTTCGCAAGCTCCGGCCAGCCATCTCGGATATGCTCCAAGTGTTTTACTTTGAGTCCGAGCAGCTTGCGGTAGAAGGCGACCGGAAAGTTAACCGGCAATGTCAAACCGTTATAGATTGCAAGCGACATGAGCAAGCCCAGGAGCTCGAATTTGTAGAGGGGTTCCAACGAACAAGGCTGAAACCACGAGATACGGGTTCGCGCGTCCATTGTGAACATACCGTACGATGGATCCAGAGCTTCTGCCATGACGACTCGGAAAAACTCTTGCTGGACACCGCCGTGATCGAGGCCTTCTTCACCTTCGTCCATCCCCATCTGCACTTTCAGTGGACGCATCAGCTCTCTTCTCTCCCGCCGCCAGAGTTGGTTAAGAGCATCGGTGAGCACGTTATCACGACGCACCATGAGAACCAGGTACGTAGACATGGATGTCTTCATTTGTGACAACAGCATAACATCATCTTGTATCGGGATCGGTCCAAATGCGGTCTGGTTCACGTGTCTCGAGGTTGTCATGGCAGCTTCGTAGTACTTGGACATGGCAGCGTAGTTCAGGGCGCGGAAATAAATGACGAGTGCTGAAGGAGGAAAAAGGAACGAATAAGAAAGCAGATGTAACGTTTTGTTATTGGTCAACCTTCCCATCCATTCCACAGGCATATCCAGCGGCTCCAACCGCTCGCAGAGGAACGGGGTGTGGAAATCTTCCGGGATCAACCCCAGGCGGTTGCGCTGCTTGTACATCCGTGACAGAATCTCCACGACGCCTCCAGCGGAGCTGCTCCGTGACATCTCAGGATTACCGTCCCATTCTCTCAGGAAAAGAGTCCGAAGCCATTCAGCGATAATAGCGGCTGCAGATGGTGGGAGTTCGGCTTCATCTGACTCGTCCGTTCCTGCTCTTACAAGGCTGTAATGGTCGCTCAGGTTGTTCATCAGAAGATCCAGGGTACTGTCTTGTCGCTTCTTGGAGAAATCTTGGAGGCAAGGATGACGCGCTTTCGATATCTCATAAAAAGCCAAGCGCGCGGTAAGAGCACGCACCAGCCGGTTGATCAACCGCAAAGCCAGCTCGTGCTCAAGCTTGTCAGTGAGCTCGACAATGGACTGTGCCTTTGCTGGAGAGAGTTTTTCCATGTCTGCACTCGAAGCCACGGTGCCAAGGGCGCGCATTTGAAGGACCGAACGCCATGTGTGCGCATCAACTTGGGGAAGACTGCTGGTGAGGGCAAAGAAGGCAACGGTTGCAATATCTGCCGCATTGGCATCAGCCAAATGTTCGTGGCCTTCGAAATCAGATGTTCGCCGACCGATGATTGGCATAGATGACGGCCCGGTTGAAGTCGAGTTGGTTGACGAACGGCGTGATAGACGACCAGGCACGTAGAGCTCTTTTGGTGGCATAAACAGCGTCTCCACTGCGCGCCACAGGCTATGGAGAGCAATATCCCAGGGACAGAAAGTGAACAGCTTGCTCAGCGATGGTTGTAGCTGCTGCAAATCAAGCTTCGAATTTGAGTAATCCTGCTCCGGGCCAGCCGTCTCGTCTCGGAATGAGCGAAGAATTTGCTTGGTAGAACCCAGTGCGTAGAATACACTCTGGGCAAGGAATATATACATTCGACGCTGGCGCGATGTTGCAAACTGCCATTCCGGATTCTCAAAGTTCCCTGTAGATTCCATGTAACGCAGCTCGTCCCTCCATCTCTGAGCTTCTTCGTCAGATTGAACCATCATTCGCGCGAGCCCGTCGATGATTGCGCCATTTAAGTGACTTAGCGTTTGAACAGTCAGCGGTCGTTCCACCTTTTGATAAGAGCTTTTGCAATTTGACTGGTCATCGTTCGAAGATTGTGTTTCTGATGCCAAGTGGTCGTCTCTAGGTGCCAGCGGCTTTTCGGCATCCTGATTCTGGGTGTCATTTAAGAATTTCGCACTATCCCACGACACACGCCTCTCCTTCTTTTTCCGCTGTGTCTGTGTAAAAGACCCATCGAGATGTTCATTTCTGCCGCGATGTTTTTGCGGGCGATGCTTCAATGCCGGCGGCGATGGTATGTTGACCGATCCGTCAGTCTCAAGATGCGAATTGTAAGAGAGCTTTCGGCTTGGCCTCAAGTCTGGCCGCGACTTTCCCTCTTTGATTGTGCGCGGACTTTGTTGATGCTGGTCTGTCTCGATCAGGGATATTCGTCTCACTTGATGCTCGGGTTTCGATTCAACTCGGGCGACTCGTCTATTCGCATCTCGTGACGAAGGAGTATGGGGAGGAGCCCCCGGTGACTTATTTTGCATGCTTGCACGCCGCCTTGCGCACGTAGATCCCATAGTAGTATTTGTATGTTCGCAACCCTCGCGTTTGGGTGACCGAGCGTGTTGCTTACCCAAACGATCTGCATCTGAATCCAGCACGTCTGGTGACCGCCGTAGAGGGAGCCATTCAACCATTCGGAGCGAGAGAGTATCAAACAGGTTCTGCGTAAAGGACTTCGGGTCTTTCATTCGTTGTGTCGCGGATTCGTCGTCAACTGGCGCGGGCTCATTTTGCTGTCGCGATTCCATATACGACCCGGGCCCTATTCCGATGTCGTCAGAGGGCTTCGCAGACGCTGCATCTTGATTGAGCAAGGCCCTGTTTGCCGACAGATCCCCAGCTGTTCTCCGACTCGATGCCGATGATGGACTTCGTGCTTCGGTACGGTCGGTCAATGCTCCGCGGCCTGACCGTCTCGATGAACGCAGATGATCGTGAGACGACAGCTCCGACGGGACGCGCTGGGAGTTACGGCAGAGACCGCTCTCCGGATTGTCCAAGCTAGCCAAGTAGCAGGCCAGGGTCCGGGCACTTAGCTCAGTGTAACGGCGATACGGCCCTTCAGATACCCTTCGCCTGTAACTCGCGCAGGTCGGAGTGCGGCAGGCTGGATCTTGACATCCATGGAGGAGCTGGTTTTTGTATCTTTAAATCAAAACTCAATTAGCCGTGACCCACGCCTCACATCGTCGGGTTTTAGGTGGTTTCGTGTGACACACTCACTTTCGGACTAGAAGGTTGAACTGGCGTCGTCGCTCCTCCCTATACCACAATAGCACTTGCGCCGGATCGGACACATCGATGGTGTTCTGAACAACGATATCTGGCGCGTTTGAAGGAAGCTTTGACCGATGGAACTGAGACCGGTCGACGCCAGAGCTCACTGAAGCTCCGCGGAGCCTAGTCATCTTCGCGGACTGAGGAGCATACCTGAGCGGTGACGGTCAGGATAGAGCCGTTCCTATCGTACGTATAAGAAGCGGAAAAATATGGTTGAAAGCAAAATGGTTGCGGTTGGGATCGTGAACAGCGTATGTGACGGCCAGCTGTTCCTCCGCCAAGCTGATATCATCGCCAGAGAGGCATCCTAGCCTCAGGCGCCAAACCCCATGATTGCAGATGACTAAAACGTCTGGAACATTGATGATCCAGAGATGTCAAGCCTAAACCGGAATAGGGCAGCCTTGTATTCAATTAACTTAGTCGGGCTTAGGTTAGAGCGTCACGTGCCTTTAACGTCATCGCCACTGTCCAAAATTACAGCCTTAAAGCGGCAAGGCGAGGATTTTGTGCGGTTCGAATGGAACTTTATCGGAGGTGATTATTGATTATCAATAGTTTCTTCGACCAGCACCCATCAAGTGAGATCAGGAACGCTTACTGATCGCCTGGCACCCTTTGGTTGCCTCTCATTTCCTGTCTCTTGCCTTCCCTTTATCTTCATCAGGACCTGACTCACTCTTCACTTCATCGTGCTCGAGTTTTCGCATCGACTTGTACCCCGCTCGAATTTCTTCCCACAACGAGTAGTGGCAATCAACCACCGCATCACTTTTTTGTTTGATAGCCTTATTCTTTCATCGATCACTTCAGCAACTTTCAAGATGTCTTCTCTTCCTTATACTTGCAATACCTGCTTGGTTGCGTTCCGGAGCAGCGATGCTCAAAGGGATCACATGCGCACGGATTGGCAGTAGGTTTCCCGGAAGCCCATGTCACTTCTGTCAAGTTACTAATATCAATAGTTTATATAACATGAAGCGCCGTGTTGCCTCTCTGCCTCCAGTATCCCAGGAAATCTTCAATGAAAAAGTCCTTGCCGCCAAAGCCACTTCGACCGCCGCTGCCGCCAAGGCGTCCTTCGAGAAGTCCTGCCTCGCTTGCCAGAAGACATTCTACAGTGAGAACTCGTATCAGAACCACGTGAAGAGCTCCAAGCACAAGGCCCGCGAGGCGCGGATGAGCAAAGACCTTGCAGACGATTCGTCATCCGTCTTGAGCTCCACCTTCTCTCTGGGCGAACCGATCAACAAGTCTCAGGAAGGCGACTCGGAAGTCGCCAAGGTTGCCGACAATCTCAAGACATCGACGATCGAGGAAGAGGATGAGGATGAGGAGGAGCTCGAGGAGGACGGGTCTGAATACTCGCCTTCCCGCTGTCTGTTCTGTAGCCACAAGGCTTCGGACCTTCAGGAGAACACAGAGCACATGCGCAAGAGCCACGGCATGTTCATCCCCGAGAAAGACTACCTCGTCAACCTCGAGGGTCTGATCCACTACCTCTACCGGAAAATCAACGAGAACAGCGAATGCCTCTACTGCCATGCCATCCGAAACAGCCCCGCCGGCATTCGTACTCACATGCGGGACAAGGGCCATTGCATGATCGCTTTCGAGACCGAGGAGGAGCAGATCGAGATTGGCCAGTACTACGACTTCCGCAGCACATACTCCGATGACGAGGCCGGGTCAGTAACCAGCGAGACACCAGAGGACGGCGGAGTCAAGGTAACCGGCTCGGACGTCGACGACGACGGATGGGAGACGGAAACCTCGGCCTCCTCCCTGGACGAGGACGAAGACGACGACGACTTCGATTCCCACAGAAAGGCACCCGTCGTGTACCAGACCGAATACGAACTGCACCTCCCCTCCGGCAAGAGCGTCGGCCACCGCTCTCTCGCCAAATACTACCGCCAGAACCTGCACAACTACCCATCGATGGAGGAGCGGATTGCCCGCCAACTCGCCATCGAAAACGGCGAAGTCGAGGAAGAGCGGCCCCGGGGCCGCAACCCCGCTCGCGCTCTTGTCACCCGTGCCAATGGCGGCCTGGGCATGATCGGCGCCACGGAGGATCAGAAACGAGTCGCTGTCATGTCGGAACGCAAGGACCGGACGCGCGCCATCCGGCAAGAACTCCGGTACAGAGACCGGGTCAATCGGGCTGCGAACAACCAGAAACACTTCCGGGTATGTACATCTTTCCTTGACCAGTCTAACAGGATGCTGACGTTGACTACTAGGACCCTCTTCTGCAATGATCACGTTATTGTCGGTCAATGGTTTGGTTTTTGTCAAGTCGATTACGGGAGTTAATTCAGGTGCATGCATATACATGGATGAGATGAGATGATCAAAATATCAAAAGTCGAATGCATATGACGAATTTCTGGATTTCGTAGTGCCATACAGGCGGTCTATCGTCTCTACAATCATTTCTTTATGATGGAGAAAATAGACAAGTCGATTAGACTGAAGGGTTACAGGCTATTTATGCATGGGATACGCTTCCCGAATGAAGGATTTCAAAACGAACACCGTTATCGTTCGCTCTTTTCCGTAGTCACGTACAGTATGCTCATACACAGGCGCTTACATCAAGGACTCGCTTGCACGATCGTCGCTCTGGCCGGCAGAGTGATGGAGAGGTGGAGAGGTGGAGAGGTAGAGAGGTGGAGAAGGAGGAAGAGGCGCCTTCCAATCGCGAAAAAGCTCACCGAGACAACAGGGGTGCTTCTTCGTCAGGCCGCCGGCCGTCCGAAGTTTTCGCGTGGGACTTGTGCTTGCGGCGGCGTTTCTTCTTTTTGTGCCCGTTAGGTTGTGTAGCAGGGGCGGATTGCTCTTCATCAAGGTCAATGAGCTGGCCGTCCTGACGAACGGGGAACTCGGCTTGCTTATTGGACGATCGTTCGTCATCATCGGAGGTGTTGCTGCTGGTGGTGTGGAGAATGACTTTGCGGATTCCGTTGACGTCGACGACCTGCTCGGTGATGCTGCCGCTGCGGGCGGGTCCCTTGTGCATGTAACTACTGCCTAGTCGGGCCCGTTCCTCAGGCCGGTTCCGCAGGTCAGACGATGTGGTGCTGGTGGCGATGCTCGTCCTCGACGGCGGTTTATCATCCTGCTCTTCGTGGACGGCTTCTGGAATGGTTAGTTCGAGGGCATCGTTATCCGAGGCTCGGTTGTTTATGGTGCCGTAGCCTAGCTTGACCGCGTGGACACCGTCTCGGGCGTCAATGCCAGATTGAAGGAGTCCAGCTCCTATGCCTCCGGCCAAGCCGGTAGATGTATTGTTCACGACCTGGGAGCCCGAGGTGCTGTGCCCGGAATCCATATCAGTGTGTCCCGATCGGCTGGGAGAGCCGCTTGCTCGCTTGATCTTCACGTTTTGGTAGCGAGTTTGACGAGGGCGGCTGGCCAGGTTGGACGGTCCAAGGTGCTTCAGATGTTCGCGTATCTCGTCAGTAGCCCCTCTGTGAGTGAGGAAACCATCAGTCGAGTCGGAATTCTTGTCCGAGGTCTGGAGGCGCAGATGGAAGCGTGGCGGAGGAGCTTCCACGGAGCTGCGACGCCGATCGACGGAGGGCATACGGGATTGGCCGTCGGTTTCCAGCAGAGGCCCGCGGACTCGAGAGCGAGCATGGGCGGCTCCTCGACAATGCGACCTTTCGGAACGCGAGACTTGGGAGCCGGAGCCATGCGCCTAATTGCCTTGTGTACATCAATGAAGACATCGGACTCGTCAATAATTTCCCTGCTCGCTCGTCAGTGTCATCTGGCTGGATAAGGGACAACGCAAAACCACATACTCGCCAATTAGCTCCTCGATCACGTCCTCCAAGGTGACCACTCCCAATGCACCACGATCCTCACCAGGATATTCGGAGACGAGAACCATGTGCGACTTGCCCTCCTGGAAGAAGTTGACAATGTCCAGACAGCTGGTTTCGGGGCGAGTTTCGGGAAGCGTCGCCAAAGCGAAATCTCGCACGCGCTTGCAATCCTCGGGATCATAGGTGATCAGCATCTTGACCAAGAGCATACCCACAAAGTTCATAGGGTTATCGGGGGCATGGATAGGAATTCGGGAGTATCCCTGGGACAGAATGAGATCCATAGTCGATTCGTCCAAGACGGTATCTGCGGACATGGTAAAGACATCTTCCATGGGCGTCATGATGCTTCCGACGGACTTTTCTTTTAGGTCCAGCACAGCGCTGATGATGGTGACTTCATCCGAGTTGAGCTGTTCTCCCGCCTCACCCAGAGTCTTGTGCAATGTCACCAGAGTCTTCAGACCAGCCTTCTTGTAAATTGTTCCATGATCTTCACCCAGTAGTCTGTCCAACAGCTTGGCCACGGGCCAAGCGACAGGAGACATGATGTACATAAGCGCTAGGACGCAGGGAGCCATCCAGGCCCCGATCGGGAGACCGTATCGGACACATATCGACTGAGGAACGATTTCACCAAAGATCACTGAGACATCGTTAACACGACGCCAATTGGAGGGGTACCAATCAAAAGGCGGGCGAAAATATTTACCGATGAGTACAGTGCTGCCCAAAACAGCAGGCCAGCCTCCTCCGAGCGATCGATCGAGGATGATGGGGAGAGTCTCGTTGGTGATGACGTTACTGAGCAGCAAAGTGACCAGAACCCAATGTTTTCCTTTCTTGAGGAGTCGAAGCACACTAGCGGCATTTCTGCGTTCGGATTTATCGCCTGACGATTTGATGACTTGCAGATAGACCTCATCCTATCGGATTGACGTGGAGGGTTAGTTTTAGCTCAAGCGACCGACACGTCAAGGCCCCGATCGGCAGGGATAACCAGAAAACATACCTGGCCCATCAAAGCAATGGTCAACCCAGCAAAGGCACCACCGCTCAGCACGAGCGCAGCGGCCACACCGAGATAGAGCCATAACCCTGGGTCATCGGCTGGTTTGGGGGCGAATTCATGGCCGCCCAAGACATGGTGTTGATTGCGAGAGACGACTGTAGGAGCGGCGGAGATGAGGGGTATATGGGCGGAAGCCAGAAGAAACAGTTTCGCTAAACCGAGGACAACGGGCCTGAAGGCCATGTAGCGGTTGGCCGAAGATATAGCCATCAGCAGTTGGTGAGGGAGTAGAAAAAGAGAAGTGAGTAGTAGCGCGGGCTACTGCAGTGACATATTTATGGCGAAAAACGATGGATTTAGTGTCTCTTTTCTCCTCTTTCTGGACTAGTTGGGGGACGAGACTCTGAGAGTCCCAAACCTAAGGCCTAAAGAGTTTCCGGGCCAAGCGGTAGACTACCTTATTCCGTTACTTAAGACTACGGTGGATGTCCCGATGACGTGCGGCCCTCTCTCGGCTGGTGGAGCTCCCAGCACGTCCTCATTCTTCAAGCTTTGGGGTATCTATTTTCCGTATCAGATCGACTGAAATGATGCTATCTACCTAGCTAGTCTTCTGTTTCAGTCATATCTAAAGAGGTAGAATCTCTTGTCGATGGGCTTGATCCTGCAAACGAACAGCAGCAAGGAGTTTCCCACTTTCCACCCTGTTCTTGAGCCTTTTCTCTTTTTTCTTTTTTACTTCTTTTTTTATTTAGCAACTAGACCTTATTGGGTTTAGTGCCTCGGGCTTGGATTTGTATTACTCCAGAAACGGACTGGTTGCGAGACATTGATACCCAATCAAATGCTTAGCCGAATGCATGAGATTGTACTAACCACTAAGGGTTAGCATTTGGCCACAGCTTCCATTTCCGATTCTCCAAGCAATAACAGCACCAAGTTCTAGGTATCTACTCAATCTACTATGAAGAATAAAGAAGAATAGCGAAGAAGGATAACTGGACCTACTCGCTAGAGCTTAACAGCCTCTGTATCTTCGTCGAAGTTCGGTTCAATTGCTCATCCAGCTGTGGTAGCATGTATTCAGTCAGATCAGCGTCGACAGACAGCATGGTGCAATAAACTTGCCTATTTTCAAGAATAGAGAGACTACAGTCCATTGGAGAAACAAGGACAATATCCTCTGTCCATGATCGACAATTGAATCTCCCTGGTCATCTTGGATCATATCAAAGATGGAGCGCATAACAACCAGGTATAAGTGCCTCCCCGTTAGGGACGAATTCTACTCTCTTTTACCATCTGATCTACTGGTTTCTGTGCTCAGCTTTGGACGACTCGTGGAACAGTTGTCCTTAATATCCTTGAGCGATGCTAGTGCTGTTCCAATGCCTCGGTCGATCTGGATTGCCATAGTTAATCTGCTGCGAAGATGCAAGTAGTGGAAATAAACATAAAGGAACGGGAATAGAAGATGTAGTACTGAGCAGAGAAAACCAAGATAAAGTAAAGGAGATGCGTTTTCAAGGACAAAAGGCAACTGATCTGTCGTTGCAAATGTGAATGCTGATCATTGAGCTGTATATGAGTTGCCCCATGAGTGGTCCTCTCGGCTTTCCATGCCCTTTCGAATTGACGGACTATGGAGTGGCTGGAGTTTACTGGAAGTAAGGTACCCAATAGTTGACATGCTGAAGACATCGGTCTTGTTACATGTCCTACTGTCCCAGAAGTGCTGGGAGTCTATCCTCTTACATGTTCCTGGAAAACTTACTGTGGGCTGCTGCGTCTCTCCACAATAGTTATGACCATGGCTAACATCAGACTTCGAATGACAGCTTGACACCTCGACGATCTGATCCCCTCTCATAAAGACATCACTTTCTCTGGACCTGTAATCACCATAACCAAAGGAAATGATCTCGAGATGGAGATACCACCATGACCTACCGTAGTGACATAGCAGGAAGCTCTCACCACCAAGGCCAGATGCTTCCAGCACCTCATGATGATGCCAGTCCCTTCTCTGCACTCTGATATTCACTTCTTGTAGCCTGTATCTCGTCCAGACTGACGTAGGTTCCGGATCCTGCCCCCCAGCAGACGTGTTATATTCACTCTGTGCCCGTTTCCGGCCCGGTTCTGCTGCTGGCTTCCCAGCTTCACCTCCCCAAAGACTCGCTTGACATGATAACATTCACTTGATCTCGCTTACCTGTTGCTGAAGCAGGTTTGGTGATTCTTGCCACTCGTTTTGTTGTGTTTCCCCTGCCTCCTGCTCACTGTTTCTCTCTCTTCTTCTGCTCTCTCTCTCTCTCCTGCTTCTCTCCTTCTTCTTCTCTGCGAAAGCTTCTCTGCGAAAGCATCTCTACCATCTTCCAATCTCCTAAAGCGATCATCAAGAAAGTACCAACTCTTCAAACAAGATATCTTCGTCTCAAAGCATCTCATCAGATTATCGTTCCAGGAACCTCAATCATCTCTTGTGTTCTCCTCAAATCGACTCATCAAGAAGCCACCAAGTGCTTCTCTTCTCTCGACAACATTCCAAAAGACAGGAACCCAGTGTTGACCAATTCTTTTTTCCCCTCCACCACCTCCCAAGCAACATGACTTCTCACGTCGAGATGTACTTCCTGTACGGAGAAGCCTACGACGAAACCGCCCCAGTCACAAGGGCAGAGGCCTGGGTCCGTCAGTTCGCTTACGCGGACTTGACGACCGGCGCCGCGCTTTCCTTTGCGCTTGTCACTCTCCTGGGGGTCATGGTTTTGTTTTGGGAGGATCTCGCTCCCTGGATCTCGGCCGTTGCGAAGAGACTCGTCTCACCGATCCTTGCCGTGGTTGCCGCAGCCAGTCCGCTCGTTATGCAGCTGGTTAGCGTTCGCTCTCGTCAGGAGCTCGGCACCATCGTGCAGGATTGGGTCAAGCAGCCGATTGTCGACTGTCGCCTCGTCCGACTCGTCTCCACCGTTGTCAGCTGGTGGTTTCCCTCCAAACAACCCCTGACAACAGTCTGCCGGCTAGCCGGTTCATTTGTCTGCGGTATGACCGCGTACGTGTGGCTCTTCTTCCCTCTTTGGCAGTTCCTGTCTGGCTTTGCCGACGGTCTGCTGACTGAGACGAAGGAGATGTCCCTGTACTGCATGGGCATCCACGGACGGTGGACCATCGCTAGTCAGCTTACCTGGCGTCAGTGGGGGAAGGTCGCCTTCTGCAACGGTGAGGAGACCGGACTCGAGCTGCGCGCGACAATCGAGGACGATTGGCAACTGCCACGTCTCTTCGACCTCGACGGCGAGATCCACCACCTCCGTATCCTTGCTTTCGCGGTTGCCAGTGTCTCGCTCGCCATCACGGCGGCGTGGTCGTTCCGCGCTCTCTCCAAGACCTCCTTGTTCGCGCGTGTCGTCGTTGTTTTCCAGCAGCCCTCGTCTCCGGGCCAGAGAGCGGACCAGGTCGCCGGCAGCGAGACACAGCTTCCTGGGTCGTCCATCAACAAGCGGCAGGATGATTTGATGAACCTGATCAGCAGGTATGAAGGCATCCTTTCCGAGAAGGAACGTCTCCTGTCCGCCACGACCCAGAAGCTTAGGGCGACCGAGCAACGGATGGAGGATGGCTGGGTTCAAGCCAACCGGCTGGCTGCCGTCCAAGTCAAACGCGCCGAGGAAACTCGCCCCCGTGAGTCGACCGACGTTGCCCTGTTGCGATTGCGACGCAAGCTCGCGGAAACGGAGGCGCAGCTCAGCCTGGCCCGGGGTAGAGCGAGAGCGGTGGAGGATGATGCCACTGCGAGAGTGCGGTCCCTCTGCAACCAAATGGCCGAGCTGGAACAGCAGCTGCAGGCCCAGAGGGAACAGGCGGGGGACATTTCCCTGGGCGAAGTCGATTCGCTCAGAGCCGAACTCCAAGTTCGGAATGACCAGCTCGTCGCCATTGAGCACCGCCTGGCCACCGCAGAGGCCAGAGAGCGCGACTCTCGTGGCCGGGCAAACGATGCCGAAGCCGAGCGTCGCCAACTCGCCGATCGCGTCCACAAGCTCGATGCTCAAGCCCAGGAACTCACTGCCCAGAACGAGGTGCTCCAGGCCTTGTGCGACACCCTGTCGCAGGAGTGTGGTTCTCTGGCGGCAATCCAGCAGGAGCGCGATGACGCGTTCAGGCTGGCATCCGCCCTGCAGCACGAGCTCGTGTCGACAAGAGCGACGGCGGAGATCGCATTTAGGGAATCCCAGGAGTCCCTCGCTCAGACTCGCGCAGCCGAATCAAACCTCCGACAATCCATGCAGGAACTCAGGCACGCCTGCGACTTGACTCTCGCGCAGGAACATGCGGCCAGTGCTCGGGCTCAGGCTCGGGCGTCCGAACTTGAGGCGGAGGTCGAAGACCTCCAAACCAAGGTCGGGCTGGCCATGAGGGACGCACAGAGGGCCCAGGAGAGGGCGGTGTCTGCCGAGAGGACCATCGGGATCCTCCAGACCCGCCTGACCAGGCATGAGGACGCTGCCCGGGGCGCGTTGCAAGAGATCCCCAAGCGCCACATTGGCAACTTGGGGTCCATCTCCACCGCCCTGGCCGAGAGCGAGGTGAAGGTTGCCCAGCAGCAGGCCCTAATCAACGACCTCGGGCGCCAAGTCGAGCAGCTCAAGCTGCAGGGACCGTCTGGCCCGACCGACAAGGCTGTCCAGGAGGACATTCAGAAGCTGCGGGCTGCCCTTGATAGGGTACGGAGAGAGCGGACGGAGGACCAACTCCGTTGGGACAAGAGAACGCGTGAGCTGGAGGAGGACAACCGAAAGCTGCGCATCTCGCTGTCGAACGCAGAGGCAGCGTCGGCCCGCCGTCCGGGCGGTCGCCGGCCTCCTACTCTCCCCTGATTTCCTACAGGTGTGCTAGTTCAGCCCATCTGGACCGGCCGGGGAGTTCCCGTCTCGACGGGGCTTTCAAGGCAACGGGCCGGTGGACCCCTGAGCAGAGTCCCTGGATCGGGGCCCTATTATCCTTCCCTAAATGTCGACGTTTCGGCTCGGTATCCTCGCAGTGGCATAAAGTAAACGGGGGCAGCGCGTGTTGCGGAACGTGGGTGGGCTAGGGGTCCTTGATGGACACGCACACGGCGCTTGCCAGGGATAGGGGGGCGGTGGAGGAAGGAAATTGCCTTCGGGCCGGGGACTTGAATTCAGGGATGGATTATGGGGATGGACTTTGGGCTGGTGAGGCGGGCGTGTGTTGGTGGGCGGGCTAGGGTCCTTGATGGACAAACACACGTCCCGCGGAGTGAAGGGAATCATCGGAGTCGGCGCGAGTCTTGATCATGGCCAGGAGTGATTTTGAAGCGTCCGTTTTTCTGTGCTGTTGGCGTTCTGGTGTTGGTCTTTCACATGACAAATGAATGAACCGCTCAGTTGCAACTGAGTGATGATTGAATGAGTATGATTTGACCTCGTCATAGACTTGATGCCGTAATCGTTCCCAGTTCGTACTGTGATTTGCAGTCGTTGATCAATCTTGGCTGATAATGATCGACTCGGAAGATCACCTCCAGCCCTATGGCCACAGCATTTTAATTTTCACTGGTCGTGACTTGTCCTTTGAGGTTCATGTTCAGAATCTTCATGACGAGGTGCTCCATATTCATCCACTCGCCCTGTAGACCCTACTGTTTCATCTTCCCCACTCGAATCCACATTCTCCATACTACGGATGGAGTATGGTGGGTTCAACTATCGCTTAGGAGAAGGGTCCATATCCGTTTCGTTTTTCAGTATTTGTGTGCAATCGCATGAAACACATGGACTGAGTATACAGAGTATATGGTCAAGTCTCTTAGCTACTAGTTAGACCACAGAAATGTTATCAAGCTCCATCCATTCCAGCGGAAAAAGATTAAATGCTAGAATGCCAAGCAGCGGGCGTTTCCTTATCCAAGGCTTTGTTGATTATGTACGGTACATTTTGTGGAGACGTGGATATTGTCTATCTATTGGATATAGCATGTCTTGCAATGGTACTCAGTACCTTACTCTGTGTTGACTCTGAGTGCCTCCTGATAACTATTGGCGGTTGACGGACTGTCATGGTGAGACCCAGAACTCATGTACAGTTTGTTTGTGTTGAGACAGATGCATTCTTCTCAGCACGGATGTACATACTCTGTGTGTGGACTGTGGAGAGAACTGCTCCTCCATGGGTCAGGAACGTCTAGCGCCCGAATTGTTTCAGCTTGAAAGGGGAGTTTTGTTCCCAGAGTTTGTTTCCATTAGCTGATTTGTTAGTTTATTGGGTGATGACTTGAGAAACCGAGGGGACAGAGTAGATAGACGGAGGACTAGGGAAAATATGGTTTGGCCCGTCAATAACGGTTCCTTCATCCTCGTCTTCATTGTTCTTCTTCATCCACCCATCCATTCATTCTTTGTCCATTTCAGCTTCTTCATCTGCTGAACCCCTCCATTCCTTATTGCATCATCTTCTTCTCAGCTTTCGTCAGTAGTCAATCGTCAGCGTCCATTCCTTCCAAATTCCAGTTCCAGCCTCGTGTATCTCTATCCCCACAATCCGCACATTGACACAGACACGCGCCCTGACCCCTATCTTGGCAGAGGGATCCATCGCGATTACTCCCACTGATACGAAGTAGAATACCTTCAGTCGCTCCTTTGTGTCTCATCTGTATTGTGCATCGAATTCGAAATCAATGGTGAATGGTTATTGTGCGATTGATCCGCTGCGCTTGTTGATCCCCCGTCCCTGAAACAGGTCCTTTGGCGAGCGCTTTGCGACCGTCCAAGGGCCATGCGCCTGGGGATCTTGTAGCCGCCGATCGGAATCGATCACCTCGAACTCTGTCGCTCTTTGTCCTGGGCTCTCGCTCGAAGTTTCAACCAAATTTTTCGACCATATTGCTCTCTGTCTCTCGTTTCTGGAATCGCTGTGGTGCGATTGCGACTGTGCGCGGCTGGCCCGAGCAGGTCGATTCAGTGACACCTCTACGTCGCTAGGCGTAACTCACCATTCTTTGTGAAACCCGTCGTCTTCGACTTCGTCCTCGTCTTTGTCTTTCGGTGTCTGTTTCTACCAGGACAGGTATACGTACAAAAATGCCTTGCTGCGGTGATCGCGAAAAGGGTCCTGTGTCAAGGGAGGAGAAATGGGACTCGGTGGTAAGTGAAACAGGGGCGCGGTCACTGACAATTGCAAAGGGTGTCGCTAATTCTCTGCTGGCAGAATCTGGACGACTTCAAGTCCGAATCGTGTCTAACGCCCTTCTCTTACTTTCTGGTATATGTCTTTCTTTTGGTATCCCTCGCGGTGTATGGCGTCGACACCTTCACGGCAGTCAATCTGCTGGCGTTCTCTCGATGGGCTGGATCAATTGAACCGGCTATTCCCTTTACAGTGTCGCGATGGATCTTTGCAGTTTGCATCATTATCTCTTTCGTCCTGTTGTTTCTTCGGTGGCTTCATGCGATTCGCGCGATGCGATCCGGGAGCATTGCCCGAAGTTACTTGGACCCTCTGGCTGCGCGGGTCCAGAGTATCCGCATGGGGAGACGTGGTCGCGGCTGGAGACGCTTCTTGGTCTTTGCGGAGTTAACGAAGAGTAAGAAGGGCGCAGAGTATGTGGCTTTGTTTGCGTACTTTTCTTTCGAGAGTAAGTCCATCCCGCCGTGTCTAGTACTTGCGGTATCAACTGACGTGCCATTCTAGGTTGGATGAATACAGTATTCGCAGATGGCCCCCGCCAAGTTGTCAATGCCATCACTTTGTACTCCGTCATGAAAATGGACCTTCTTCCCGGTGGTGAACACTCGGTGGACGACGACAAAGCAGGCATCATACAGTTTTTTGAGAACTTCAAGATCTTAGCCGAGGACAACAACCAGAGAACCGTGGTCCTGTGTGGTATGCTCTTCACGCTCGTGATCTGGGTACTGTCGATCCTCAAACTGGCATCTGCCGTGATCCTCTACCTCATCTTCCTGTTCCACCATATCCCCTCCGAGGATGGTTCTCTAAAGGTGTATTGCCGTCGCAAAATCAACACCCGGCTCATGCGCGTCGTTCGCCGGAAGGTGGACAAGGCTTTGGCCAAGAGCACCCTGGATCGCGCGCCGACTCAACCCAACCTCGCCCTTGACCGGAAACCGACCCTACCTATGGTGGTTGACCTGAATGCGGAGGACAAGGCACCGACCGTCACGACTCTCTCGCGTTCTACGACTCAAACGACGCTGCCACCGTATACTTCGCGCCAGGAACGGCGGCACCGGAGCGGAATCCAACTCTTCCTACCCTCCCCGACGTATCATGGACGGAGAAACCGGCCTTAAGCCGAACGGTGACTCAATCATCGGCGCATTCGGAATTCACATCGTACTCTGGGGCTACAGCGATCTCCGGCTACAGCCCTCTTGATCGCGGGTCTTCACCTGCACCGCCTGTTCCTCCTGTCCCCAGCAGCGTGCCGATGCCTGGAGCGCGATCTTACACACCTGTATCACGGCCGCCGACAACCCGCCCAACGCGTACACCGGCGCCGCCGTCCACCACCACCAACCCACCAAGCCGTATGCCGACGCCGATGAACCGGGGCGACTATGAGGAAGCGCCACGCCGTTACCCCGACCCCTACAGTACCGATGCAACTTACGATGAAAACTATGGTACATATCAGTCGTATAATGCAGCCCCCGACCCTTACTCACGCTCTTTGACGCGTGGAGCTGCTGTCTCGCCTGGCGAGGACTATCCAACTCGGACGCTATCTCCTCAGAGTCACAGAGGAACACCCCAGCCACCATCCAACCCACAGCCTGGCTCGTACGGGATGGACTATCCAACTCGGACATTATCTCCTCAAAGTCACAGGGGAACGCCCCAACCACCACCCAACCCACAACCTAGCTATCCCGTACGAGCATACACTCCAGGCAACGCTGGGCCGGCTCGACCTCCGCTGGCCGTTGATACGGCTGCAAGTTATGCCGAAAGAACATACACCCCAGTCTCTCAGAGAGCCACCCCCCGACCGCAGCAGCAGAGCCCACAACAGCAAGGAGGCTATGTTGCATTTGATCCGTCCTCAATGACCCGGAGCCACCCAGACGCCGGCGTTCGCCCATCAAATTCTCCTGTTTATCATGCTTATGGCGGACCAGGCAGTGCTACGTCGCCCAACGGGCCTAGCAACCGAGCACCGCCTGTACGAGCCTACACACCGCAAGGCTACAATTCTCAACCGCGGCCCTATCGACCAGACTACTCCTGATTGTGTAGCATGGGGTAATCCATGTACAAAACGATTAGTTGTGAAGCAGCTAGGTTTATGATATGTTACGACTTCCAGACGAGCAGGTTTCTTCTGTGATTGATTGATGACTGGATCAGCGGACTTTGTTACTTTATGACGGGCGGCTTCAGGTCGCTGTAAATACCCTCTGGATCTCATTAGATCTATTTTTTCTTGTTTCGATACCTTCTTCGGGAACATATCATGGATTGACGCTGCTTTACTCTCGGGCCATGGCGGAGGTATTTCGAGCACAAAATAGATAACCACAGCCTAGACATGATGGCATTGACATAACAAGTCATTACACCTCTTATTCTAATTGTAGGACTTGCGCGAAATGCCAGCAGAAACAAATAGGCAGTTCGACTAATCATGTGAATCAAAATTGACCATTCGACCACTCGATATGGGCTGGGGTAAAGCAAATGATTCCTTTATCTGCGCGTCTGAATACGTATACGCGTAAATCATAGTCTTATAACATCAATATGCAGTTGGAACGTCTTTCTAAGCGTCAAAATCTACAGCTTTTGTTCATCTTATCAAGTACCTACTTGCTATATGCCAGTGATCCTGCTTTTGCGCCGGCGAACCCAGCGGCATGATGCTAGAGCCAGAAGACGAAGACTGACGCGGTATTCGTCACTCTGTTCTCTCTGTTCTAATGATTCTTTGTAGGTACTAACTTATGATCAATGCAGAGAACTATGATCGCAAGTTCGTTCCACCAATCCATCAATTTCTGGATATCGAGTGCTGGCCATGAAGGGGTATAAGAGTGGACTGGACATCTTTGTCGTCTTTCGGGTAACGCAGGGTGATTTAGTGTATGGCTTACTTCTGTATCTACCAGAACACAACTCTAGGGGAACATGAGCCTGAGATGGATACAAAGTACTTGTAGTTATTGAGCTTAAACATATTTCGTTACACATCCTGCTCGTAGATCAGAGAAAAGCAACAAACTGCGGGCCGAGTTGACAAGCGACCATGCCAAAAGCAGCAAACTAACCACAAAAGGAAATCCATGGCCCTTGCTTACATCCACCTTAGCCTACTCTGTGTGGTGTAGTTAGTTAGTTACCTATGTGTCAAGTGTCATCAAGAACTCCACGTCACTGTTTAGGGTACATTTTGTTCCTGAGTACCTCTAGCACAGACAGAATGGGACTAGATCCTCACTGAGGCTACACACGACCGGTATTCGCCCGCTTTACCTAACGTCGTGGATGCGCATCGCCGTCGCCGTCGCTCCCTGCAATGGTTCCTCATCGGCGCTCGTCTTCCTCCGACCACGACCCTTCGCGTCTTGATATCCATCCGCCTTCGAGTTCCTCTGTTGATTCGGGGGATTTGCAACGAGAAAATGGCACGGAGGGCGGTGGAGTGCGTGAGTTGTATGGGGACGGGAATACCGACTTGCCGCGACCGGAGACGCCTCCAAGCGAGACGAGAGACCGGGATCCATCCACGAACGGGGATGAATCGCAAACTTTGCGGCGGCAGAGGACGAAATCTGTATCTCAAGAAACGAACAGGAGTGGCGAGACTACGGACGATACTACTACAGCGAATGGTCCTGTGGATAACCAGGAGGAAGCTCACAACGGTTACGCCGAGCTGAAAGTCGGGCAGTTTCCCCCACACCAGGCTCTGGGGCTTGTTTTTGAACATACCGATAATGGTGATGATGCCCACCGGACATCGCTGGTCGATGTGCTTCAAGGGGCCGAGGCCGGCGCCGCGCTGAGTGGCTGGTCAGGGAAGACGGCGTCCTCGAAGGGGCCGGATGTGGATCAAGAGCGAGAGAAGGTTCTGAAGCTATCCCCGGCGAAGATCCAGGAGCTCACGTCGTCGCCGCAGTCGATACCGTATCGTCCTGTGGGTTCGGAGACAGAGCAAGGTCGACGCGTGTTGTCGGATGGCATACATACCACAGGTGCAGATTCGGACGCGGGCGAGTCGCGAGTTCACGCTGGCCCTATCGCTAGAGATTTCCAGCCAGAGGATGCATTGGGGCTGGGAATCTCCGCCGCATCGAAACATTCCGTGTCCAACGGTCGTACGAGGCCGCATGCCTCGAGGACAGTCTCGACTCCGACCTCATCGAGGCGACCGACACTACCGGGGACCAACGAACGGCTGGCGCAGACGTGGGCGTCCCGGTCCAAACCGGAACGCCCGGGGATCGGTATGGGGAACGGTCGCTTGGAGCAGGAATCCAAGCGCCAACTCAGCCCTTCGCCGGTCATCACCGAGCCTGCCTTGCCCTCTCCCATGCCGCCGTCCATCCCGCTTCCTCCGCTGTCGGTGCCGACGTACCTGCAATTGGAGCTTTCGTCTGGCCGACCCTCACCCTTGTATATCCATCGCTCCGTCACGAATGATTTCCCGTATGAGTCGTCGCGCGTCAAACTCGAGCGCTTGTCGAGTTTTCTGAGACTGCCGCCGGCCCTGGAGCGGGTGCTCTGGTTTGGAATTCTGGCGTGCCTGGACGCGTGGCTGTATTCCTTCACGATCCTTCCCCTGCGATTTTGCAAGGCTCTGTATATTCTATTGGAATCCTGGCTCGTCAACCTGGGCATGGAGTCTCGTTTTGTCTCAGACTTTGTCATCAAGGGAACTGGGAGAGTCTGGCGGAGGCAGAAGAAATCAGCCCACGTCGCAGAGGCTGAACGTAGACCTCGAGGTACATCTGCAGAGCGAGAACCAAGGACCAGGTCCGGGGAATCACGGCGACGGCACCGTGCCGATACACACAAGCACCACCATCGCCGGCAAAAGTCCATCCCCTCTGCTCTTCTGCCCGACGACAAAGCCGACATCCTCAAGGGACTGCTCATGATTGCTACATGCTGTGTTCTGATGTACTTTGACGCCAGTCGAATGTACCACTGGATTCGCGGCCAGGCGGCTATTAAACTGTATGTGATCTACAATGTGCTGGAGGTCAGTGACCGGCTGTTGGCCGCCATTGGACAAGACGTGCTCGAATGTCTCTTCTCGCGCGAGGCACTAGAGCGTCGCCCGGACGGACGCAGCAAGGTATTTCGGCCGTTTGGCCTCTTTTTGCTGGCCTTGGCTTATACGGTGCTTCACGCCACGGCATTGTTCTACCAAGTCATGACCCTGAATGTGGCGGTCAACTCGTACTCGAACGCGCTGATCACGCTTTTGCTTTCGAACCAGTTTGTCGAGATCAAGTCGACGGTCTTTAAGAAGTTTGAAAAGGAGAACTTGTTCCAGCTCACGTGTGCCGATGTGGTGGAGAGATTCCAGCTCTGGCTGATGCTCACGATTATCGCCTCGCGCAATATTGTAGAAACCGGAGCATTCAACTTTGTTGGCACGTTGAGCTCCAGTCTGAGTAGCCGGTCGACCAGCACCAACAGCACGCCTCTGTCGACCCCTCCCAGGTCCTCATCCTCTATTCTTCCGCAGTCTTTCACCTTCTTTCCGTCGTCACTTATCTCCTCTTTTAGCCAAGTCAATTCCTTCCTGCCAACGTTGGCACAGGTGCTGGGTCCGTTCTTGGTTGTGCTCGGATCGGAGATGTTGGTGGACTGGCTCAAGCATGCATACATCAACAAGTTCAACAACACCCGGCCGGCCATCTACGGCCGCTTTTTGGATGTCCTGGCCAAGGACTACTATACCAATGCGTTTGGCGACCAGAACCTCACGAAGCGTCTGGGCCTCCCCGTGATCCCATTGTCTTGCCTCTTTTTCCGGGTCTCTGTCCAGACGTATCAGATGTTCCTTGCCGCCCTGCTTCCGCACCAGCCTTCGTCGACGGCCGTTGAGTCGACCTCCCTCGCCTCGATTCACAGCCACTACGTGCCATCGCCGATCCCGTCCGCGCCCCCGCTGACTTTACGTACTATCCTCCCTGCCTCGGCCGCGCACGCCAGCGCTTTCTTCCGGACGGTGTTGGCCAACGCGATGCCTTCGCCCGCACAATCGGTGTACATTTTCACCATTGTCCTGATTCTGACGGCGTTTATCCTCCTGTTGATTCTAAAGTTGCTTCTCGGCATGCTTCTGCTCGCGTACTCCCGCTCGCGGTACAAGGCAATGAAGGCCCGGGAGGCGGAGCAGTCGCACAAGACGGAAAACGGAAGCGCCACGGGCACTGGGCCTCGGGGACGCGAGTTTGCGATCGAGGGCAGCCGTCGCGTGGGCGGATGGGGTCGGTCGAGGTGAACGACGACAAGCGGCGATGGATCTACGCGGATGACCCGGAGGGACTGCGCCGGTTGAAGGCGCGGGAGGAGAGAGACAAGGAGAAGGCCGCGAAGGAGGGCGAGGCGTCGATGGACCATGTGCATCGCTACGAGATGGTGGCCAAGCGAATATGGTAGATAGATTTAAAAGAATTTATTTCATTATCATAAATCATGACGGGTCATCAATGTCAGCGGCAGTGTCCAACGCATTATTTACATGACTGTACAACACCACGACCTGGCCTGCACCGGCTTCCTCGCCACCAAAACATACAGATTCACCAACGGCAAAGCAGACGTACAATGCCGCCCAAATTCCTCAACCAGCCGCTCCGAGCGCTCAATGGCTTTCTTCTCGTCAACCACTTCACCTGACTTGACCATCGCATGCGGCATCAGCGCCCTCAGCACCCGCATCAGCCACGTCCGCGCCGGCTCCCGCAGATGCGGCTTGTCCGCCGTGCTGTTAGCGTACAGCCTTGCGTCCACGAACCCCGTCTGTGCAGCCAGCTGGTGAAGGTACTGTGGCGCATTCCCACACAGCCCGAGTTTCTCAACCGCGTCGACGACAATCTGCCTCATTTCCATGTCGATGGGGGTAGGATCGTCCGTGCTGAAGGCGGTGGTGTCGCAGTCGTCCCATTGGAGGTAGCCACCTGGTTCTGTCCGCGCCTTAGTCAAAGAGGACCTACAGGGGAGAAGAGAAGAGAAGAGAAGGGAAGGTGCAATACTCACTCAGAAGATCGTACAGATTGCGAACCGCCCGCGGATAATCCACCTCCCTCATGGCGCCGACGAGCAGCCGTACGTGCACGAGATCGTACCGTGCCCAATGCTCTTTCGGGAATGGCTGCAGGATATCCTGCACGGTGAGCTGGATCTTGTGCCGGTGGGCCTTTAGCGAGCCGAAGGGGAACTGTGCGGGGAGATGTCGAATCCGTGAAGGGAGAGGTTGTGGCGGGGGTGACGGTTATGGAGGGTGCTTGCGGCGTCGACGAGCCAGATCCTGTCATTGTCACTTGTCAGTTATTCATGTCTCCGGTCATTGGTGATTGGGATGCAGATGGGACAGCGTACCCTGTTCCTGTGGCTACGTCTGCTATGGAGCGGATGTTTGCCGTAGGGATGGAGGGATGGATGGGTGTGCCGCCGATGACGTCCACGAGGAAGGCATGTTGCGCGTTGAGACTATAGACGTTAGCAATCAGCAGTCTATATGAGCTGTAGGATGCGATGTACCGCTTTGATTCCTCAGGATCACGGCCTAGGAGGTAAGCTGCGTCAGATGGGGAGGCCATATTGTTACATATCAATGATATCAACGGGAGACACAGAATGGATAGATATGAGAAAAGAAAGACTATGAAGTCTATCCACTGCAGATCATACCATCATATAGAGTACTCTAGAAGAAAGAAAGCAGTGAATTGACACGCCATGAACCCTAAAATAACGGAGATATCCATAACGCAGATAGATATTCACATTCACATTCACATTCACAAATCAAGCACATCCCCCCATGTAGCATACATACTCCGATATCATCACATCATATCATATGCTCACGGCCGGCCACGCCACTGCACTCCACACAACAAACGTACTTCTGGGCTTCTTGGCCCCATTCTTGACATGATAGAACAGTGGACCAGGACTTAGGATATTCCCGGATGCAGGAAGCTGGAGAGGGAAACTCCCACGAGCCTGGGCTGCGGGACCTCGGGATCAGCCCAGGGATTAATATCATCATTATTATTCTCTAGTCAGTAGTCTATTGGTTTCTAGTCGAGTCTGGAGACCCGACAGAGGGAAAAAAAGTACAAGACCAAGACCAGACCAGACCCAGAGGGGACAATGCCCAGTGGCAAGATGTCAGTCAGTCAGTCGTTTGGGAATCCATTCGCTCACGGTTCAAATTGAATGGATCCTTGCATCCTGCTGTAAGCACTAACCACAGGAAATAGTTAGTAGACTACCTAGTTACTTCTCCATGAGTTGTCTCTGGTTCGCCCCTGTCTGACCGTTGTCCTAAATGCGAACAGACAAATGCAGATGTTCCAGAAGCCAGAGTGCCAGACCGCTGGGTGGATAGATTGTTGAGTAGGATCCACATGCCTGCACACTGCACTGCTGTCGTCCAATTTGGTTTGATATGATTTGGAATTACGGAGGTGTGGTGCAAAACTCATTAGCTGCTAGTAATCTTGGCATTTCCACTTACATAGCCATACACTAAAATTACTATAGAGATCTATACTCATTCCAAAACAATGGTTTTTAACTTCTCTATCTATCAACTCTTGGCCAAAAAAAGAAATTTGAAGCTATACAGAACCCCCTTTTCTCTCTCTAAGATGAATTCAGCACGTTCTTCCCCTACTATTCATATTTTCAACCTGCCTGCCTCCTCAAAGCCCTCCTCGAAGCCCTCGAAGCCATCAAAGATGCGTGGATCTTATCATCCAGTCACTGTACGCGTGCAGGCCCTGACTTTGGCCTACTGTGGTGTTGATATCAAGCATATTGAGGCTACAACTGGCATGCCTCGCCAGACAATTCAATACTGGATTAAGAAAGCCAGGGAACGCGGCTACAATCCAGAGATAGATCCATGCATCTTACCAGTTTACGTCGAAGATGGCAAGCGTACGGGACGTCCAAAGGAGATTACTGAAGCAACTGAACAAGCTATTCTTGAATCTATTAGCAAGGATCGAAATGGGCGTGAGAAATCTTCTGAAATTCTAGCATTTGAAGCTGGTATCTCTTATTCTTCTGTTTTACGCATTCTTAAGCGGCATGGCTATAAAGCAGTCAAACAAACTACAAAACCAGGCCTTACTGATGAGATGAAGCAGAAAAGATTACAGTTTTGCCTTGCCCATAAAGACTGGACCCTCGAAGACTGGAAAAACGTGATATGGACTGATGAAACCTCTGTTTCTCTTGGACAACGGCGTGGAGCAATCCATGTTTGGCGTACAAAAGATAAGAAAAATAATCCCACGGTTATACAGCAGCATTGGAAGGGGACTTCTGATTTTATGGTTTGGGGAGCATTTTCTTATGATAAGAAGGGTCCTCTTCATATCTGGGCTCCAGAAACAGCTCAAGATAAGAAGCGTGCTGAGCAAGAGATTACTCTTTTAAATCAACAGCTTGAGCCTATCCGGCAGGCAGAATGGGAGCTTAATACTAGTATGGCGCGTTTAAAACTTCGGAATGGAAGAGCACCTGGCCGTGCACCTATCTGGAAGTGGAATAAGAAGAATGGCTTACTCTCTCGGGATTCAAAGGGAGGTGTTGACTGGTACAGATACTATAAGGTAGTATTCTCTTTCTCTATGGTTTCTACTAAGAATTTAAGAACTAATAGCTTTCTTTACTGTCTTTATAGGAAGTCCTTCTCCCTAAGCTTATTCCTTTTGCTCAAGAATGTGCAATCGAACGACCAAACACAATTGTCCTTGAAGATGGAGCTCCAGCTCACCGTCATCAATTCCAGCAGACTATATACAATATCAAGGGGGTCCAGAAGATCATGGATTGGCCAGGGAACTCCCCTGATCTTAATGCTATTGAGCCAGCCTGGCCATGGCTCAAACGGCGTACAACTTCTCGAGGGGCACCCCGCGATAAGAAGACAGGGAAGGAGGCATGGATAAAGGCATGGAATGATCTTCCACAGGAGCATATTCAGTGGTGGATTGAGCGTCTTATACGCCATATCGAGGTTATCATTGAGTTGGAAGGGGTAATGAATATCAAGAGGGCCGAACTGGCAAAGATAATCGTGATTGGAAGGGCCATCGAGCAAAGGGTACTATCTCTTATAGACAAGATATTGGAGATCTAGCCTGGGAAGATATTGCTGTTTGAATAGCTTCAATATTTGATTCTTAGGAGTTGGAATTAATCGAAGTTAGCTACCATATAAATTACTATGTAAGGCTGCTCGGTCTTATTACCCTGCCAAGCTTACTAGCGGCTAATGAGTTTTGCACCACACCTCCGTATTAATCATTAGAATGGTCTGTTCCGGCAGAGAAGGTGGCAGAAATCCCCGAACATGAATCCAATCCTCCTGATAATACGAATTAGGGACTACCCGCTTAGAAACCATCATCCATCGTCTAATGTTTATCAATGCCTGAAAGTAAAATCCCCTCATCCTCATCACTTTGTACCTATTCCAACTTATCAAAGCAGTTAGGAAATAATACATTCTGCAGATTGATTCTTCAAAGCTAATATAATAGTCCATACACGCGGACACCCACCATTGGCTGTTCTTCCTGCCCAGAAGGTAACCCGGGCCCTTGGGGACAGGCTGACGCCCGTCAGTATCCACTTGCATTCGTGGATTCGGGGACATCCATGCACGCGTGCGTAGGTGGAGTTTATCCGTTCTTCAAGGTTCGCTGACCTGGTTGCTGGGGTCTGGGCGTGGTGCCCTCGGGCTTTGCTCTCGGTATCTGACTACTCAGTATGTGTTAGTAAACTAACTAACTGAATGTGCAACAGTTGCAAGTGTGTACCGGGCCACCGGCACAGTCCGCGTATTCGGAGTGACGAGCAGAGTCTGTGCGTGCGCTAAGCGAGCTGATTGTCATTTGCGGTTGCGTTTGCATTTGGGTTTACTCTTGAAGATCAGAGGGGAAGTTTGCTTTTAGTTGAAACTTTTACTGTAGATTGTGGAGGGGAGAGCTGCCTGGTTTAGGAAACTAGACGAGGGGCCACTCAGGCTGCTGAATTGTCTACATTGTCTTGCAAATATCCGAGTGCAAAAGGTCTATTGATGACGGAAGCTAACTGGGAAGGTGGCGCCTCGGCAACCGCGAAAACACATACTGGAAGATCTCCCGGCTCTTGTACAGATTCTCCACCCGCAACCGCTCATTGTACAGATGCGCGTTGTCGCTCGCCTGCCCACAGGGTAGATTGGCCGCCGGCGCTGAGAACTCCTTTTCCAAGAACCGGATCGTGGGGATCGATCCGCCCTCGCGGATGAAGATCGGCTGGACGGTTGAACGGGTAGCGACTGGGTCCATGGTAGTGGCTGCAGGCTTCTCGGCGGGCGAAGAGTCCCCGCTTGCGTCTGGGGAAACGATCACGCCCGATTTGCTCGTCAGCGTGGACGAGGTGGGCACCGTCCTGCTGAGGGCGGAGGAGCGCTGACGGGCCTTGCTCTTGCCTGCCGACGAGGTCGTCGTCGACGTGATGATGCGGTCGATGTGCGACGCCAGGCTGTCCGAGGAGTCGGTGCGCGCGAGGCCCGGCGTGTCCTTGCCCTTGGAAACACGCTGCAGCGGCGGATACTGATGTTTCTGGCTGGTCTGGTCCCGGCTCCACGCCGCAGTGATTGCTTCCGAGAGGGTCGCAAAGATCTCGTTGTCCGGATCGCCTAGCCAGGGATCCGACTTGCCTGTGATTTCGACCGTGAGGTCGTTCTGCGACTCCAGCTTGTCGAATTGCTCCTGCGCGTACATGGTGAGGTTGGCGGCTACCTCGTCGGCCTCTTGATTCGGGACGACTCGGATCGAGAGACTGGCTTTGGCTTTGCGCGAGATGGTCGTCGTCGCGGCCTTGCTGCTTCCAGGCACCTCGACCGAATGGATGGTGAGAGACGGCTCCCGCCACCGGTGCATCAACGAGTTGATGAGCGCGTCGCGGTCGGTGATTTCAGGGTGCTGCGGGAGCAGGATCCGTGCCACATCCGCGAATCGCTGCTTTTCCGCCTCCGTCAAGGGAAGGACCAGGTCATGGAAGCCTGGGATATTGACCCGCCCTTTCGGCCCCACCAAGCTGGCCAGCAGCATCGACAGATCCTTCAACGGCTCATCGAGCAATGCGCTTCCGTCTATACCGCTGTGCAGATCCGGGTGGTCGCTAGTGACGATCAGATTGGCATGCACCACCCCCCGCAGGCCGTACGTCAAACAGGGGTTGTAGTCGTCCAGCCAGTAACTGTTGGCCAGTAGAATCCAATCAACCGGTCCAATTTCCGGCTTGTGTTGCCGGACGGTCTCGTGAAATCCTTGGGACCCGGACTCCTCCTCGCCCTCGATAAGGAAAACAACGTCACATGGAAGCGCCTTTTGCCGGGCAAGATCTGCTGCCGCATACAATGCAGCCAGGATAGGTCCTTTGTTATCCGAAACTCCTCGGCCGTATAAAAAGCCATCGATAGACGCCAGCTGGTACGGATCCGTGTTCCACTTCGTTCGGTTGGCATCCGCACCCACAACATCGTAGTGGCCGTAGAACAGAAGAGTTTTGTCGACTTTATCCGGGGAGTTGGCGCTGAATCGTGCGTACACAATCGGATTCGTGTCTTGTCCAGTAGGCAGGAGTTTCGTCTTCGCCCCCAAGTAGATGCAGTGTCGTCGGAGGAATGCCGCTCCCTGGTTGCACTCTCCGGCGAATTTCGGGCTGGCCGAAACTGTTTTGAAGGTGACGAATCTAGCAAGGCAGTTGACCATTTCGTCTGCACTCAATATAAGCATCGTGCTTAGTCAAATATTCTAGAGGCTTACCATTATTGATCGGTGCCTGCTCATCCTGCTTGCTAGACACCTCCGTCAAATCCCAGATGCCCACCGTATTGTCATTGCCTCCACTGGCGTAGATGAGTCGGTCCTTGAATCGACCAGCTGCAGACGCCAGCATCGTTCCCCGTGAGCAATCCAGCTGCCCACTTCTTCAAATCGAGAATTAAATTTCTAGCCAACAAGGTCAGACACGGGTCCACACATCAGTAAAAGACAGGAGCATACCTTGATGACTCCATTAGAGTCACCACAAACCACCAATCCCTGAACGATATCGACTGCCCATAGGTCACCCGTATGTCCGGTGATGCGTTTCACCAGCTGCCGAGAGTCCAAATTCCAAATGTTTAGGGCACCCCAGAAAGACCACAGTAGAGAAACGATCCATCGACGGCCAGCGCAAGAACCGGATCCCTGTTCTCGAGCGCTGCCATTTCGGACGGCGCCTCGTCCTGGTCCAATCGCCACAACTTGACCACGCCGTCGCCGGCGCCCGTCACAAGCACCTCCTCCGTAGGCGATGATTCAAGCAGGCCTCGGACAAGAAGCATCGTGTAGATGTATCCATGATGCGAGAAGAGCTTGTGATGGTCGCGCTTGAAGGTCAGCACTTGGCCTCCTTGGATGACTGCCCGTACGCCATCAGCACCCGCGTCCGGCCGGGGTGCGCGTGACCCGTCGGGCCCCCGGGAATCGAAGAACCGGTGCGTGCGCTTCGACAGATGAGCGGCGGACTGATTAGTCGAGACTGCATCTGTTTTGGAGAGGTCGCACCACTAGAAATTGTCAGTGCTGGGTCTCTGAGTATCAATTATAAGCCTAACCTGGATGCTGGTGTTTTGACCTCCGCAGTAGATCGTCTTTAGACTAGACGAGTATGCCACGGAGAAGATATCGCCCACGTCGTGGTGAGAGTGGATCGAATATAGTCGATCAAAAGTCCTCGTGGACCAGATCTAGCAAAGTCAACAAGCTGAAAACTTCGAGCAGACGCACAAGCATACATTTATGACGGAATCTCCACCACTGGAGAAGAGAAGGTCGCCGTCCTCGGACAGATAAAGACCCAGGACACTTTCTTGATGAGCGTGGACAGAGAGCACGAGGTCATATGTCTCGAGAGACCATGCCTATACCGGATTGAGTATATGCCTACCAAGGTTGAGGAGTTAGAAGACTTACCACAATATCTCCTCCTTGTAACCCAGCAAAAACACATTCATCATCTATGACCAGAGCCAGTACTGATCGACTTGCCTGTACTCGATGTCCGATACCACATTCTGGTTGGGTGTTTAGAAGATCAGGGCCATCGTCGAGGACCTGCTGAGCCAAAGGCTGATAGTCCGGCCCGGGAATAGTGCGATCATAATATCCCACTGAGGGATCGGGTTTCCCCTGTACTGCGCTGTTCATCGCTAAGACACGATGAACCAGAGAGTCTTAGCCAGTCTTTCTTTCTATGGATTGGATGCTGTGGCTTTGGCTGGGAAGAAGTGATGGTCTGCTTCGGTGCCACGTGATGCTCTCTTGCAGTAGTTGATGAGTCACCTCAAGAACTACACCCGTAGATACATATAATCGAGTTAACTAAATGATGAGAAAATAACAATAGAAGCAAAAAAAAGAGGTATCAATGATATCGCTCCTTGAATTGAGCGCGCAGTCAACGAAACTCCGGGGAATTCTTTTGCTTCTTTTCTGCGGTGATGTCGTGATTCAAGGTGTGGCGGTGCAGTTAGAAGCAATGAAAGCATCAAAACGCAGCGAAACAGCCAGCCATATCCCCCTGAGCAATGGAAGCACTTCATTGTGACATACCTCGAAGGCGCTCTCGGTTCTTCTGACAACATGACTGTCTGCATTAGATGGTCAGTTTTGGAAATATTACTTCTGTTTATTATCCAGCCTGCTGCTAGTACTGCAGATGCTCAATACGAGGCAGTACTGACCTAGGTTCCCATAGAAGACGGGTTATCAAAGCATTCGTCCTGCATTGAGACATATTCCATCAGGTTCTAATCTGCAGACTTCAGGGGATAAATCAAACAATCAGTAACACAGGGAAGATGAAGTAGGCAGATGCAGCATTTATACCCATCAGAATCCTGAGATCAAGGGAACACAAAGATATCGTAAGACAAGGGGAGAATGATGAATTGACAAGAGACAAGGAATGAGCGAAAGAGTCACAGACACATTGACTTATCTACCCCTAGCTGAGATATGAACAAGATACTGTAAGTACATGAGTTCCCTGCCGGTTGATACGGTGTAGCTCTCCATCATCCTTCCTTTTTGCTTAAGGCTTCTTGCATGCGACGGGGCGATCGGTTTCACCATTTCTCTATTGTCCGAACTCAGCCATGACGTTTCTTCTGCCACGTGCCTTACAGAAGCATCCAACAGGATCCAGAGATGGAAGACAGGTTGTCTTTCTCTTGTTTACTCCGTGCTTTTTCTAATCAAGATGGAATGAGTTGGATGGATGCATGGGCTAAATTACACGTATTGTAAGACTACACCAGGGAGACTACGTAATGAACGGCAGTGCATCAGCCACAGTGGCGGTGACACCTCTCACCAATCAGAATCCCCAGCATCACCGCTACTCTCTTGAGGTATTGGCATGTGCCTCATTAACCACATCAAGGATCTTCTCAAACAACAATAAACCATGGATAGTAGATCAGTCTCACCAGGCTGACAGAAGTACCTCCTGATAGCCATAAACAGCACTGTCTTTATCTCGGAGGATATGCCGTTGTGCCCAACCAACTCTACTGGCCCGAGTACAGTAGTGCCGCCAACGATCATGGATGGTGATGCAGCCGAGCAACCCCGATCGTGTTGTGCCAGCAAATCGCCGTCCCCACGAATCTTCTAAATCGGCGTGGCTTAATGGCTAGTCCTGCTGCCTTTGCAACCCAAGCGGAAACCAGCAAGCACTAACCTCCTACATGGAGGCTCACCTTTCCAAGGCCTCAAAGGTGATTTGACTCCAGTGCCTTGGAAAATCCAGGCTGTACTGCTCCGCCAGCTATATCACACCCGGGATCACATCCTGTTCGCTGCTTTGCTCTTATTTAGGCGCCGAATCTTGCTACAAGTTACAACTGTCAACCATCCCAGCCTCTCCATTTCTTTATTTCATTCATACTTCCAACATCCGAGCTGTTCGTGGTCGTGCGCCCTGACTCAGTGGAGAAATCGTATATTTGTTGGTCAGGATCTTTCTCTACCAAGCAGGTACCTTCTTAGCTGCTTTTAAGATTTCAATCTCAGCTGAGAATTCCTATTTTGAATCAGGCTCCAGTTTTCTTTGTTCCTTTTTCGCCTCCCAGGTCTCTGACTGTGCTCGTTGATTATCTGGATATTTTCAAGGAATCTTATCGTGTTCTTTGAGTTTTCCCTGGCGGAGAATACTAGGAATAAGGGGAAAAGCCCCGGTTCCCCACCCGCCCCGACACATCCAGGCTCCATATCTATACCTGTCTAAGGTGCTCTTCACCGCTTGATCTCGGAGCCACCGCCAAACTGCGATCAAATTTATATGAATCACTCGTCTATGCTGATGGACCTTGATGATTGACAGCTGTGGACTTTATCCTCGACGACAAAGTTACTCGTGGCCGTTGGTTACTGTCCGACCTAGCACCATTTACCCGTCAGTATGCCTCCGTTAGGCGAGACGATCGCCGTGATTGACAAGTCCGGCAAGGTAGTGAGCACGGTAGGTACTTGGCACTTTTTTGCCGTCGTCTCCAGCAGATATAACTTGATCTGACCACTGCGCAATAGAGTAAACACCTCTTCGGGGTCTTTACGCAGGCCAAAAATGCATATCGCGAACGCAAAGCTCAAATACAATCGGAGCGCAACGCCAAGATTGCCGAAAGGGAAGCTCTGAGGGCCTTGCAAAACTATCACATCGATGATGTGCCGTCAGTCGCTCCCTCTCGCAGAAGCAGGAGCACACATTCGCGACACCCTCGACACCGTCGCGCCCCTTCGCACTATGAACAGGACCTGCACTCGGTAGCCTCGCACACGGAGTCCTACTACGCCAGTCCACCGGACATGGTCCGACGTCATACGCATCATGATCTCACTAGAGAACTTGAGCCGCGACCCAGGACAGGTCGTTCCAAATCAGAAGCTCATGTCGACATGGACTTGGCATACGGCGAGTTTCATCCATCGGCCCTGGTCAGGGCTCCACCCTCACAGCAGCAGCAGCAGCAGCAGCAGCAGCAGCAACAACTCCAAAGGATCGAGGACCCTGAACTCAGTGGTTTGGTCGGTCGCGCCCAATGGCTTCTCGAGGAAGCCAACTGTGTGCACCACAGTGCAACTGCCACGATTGCTCACCTTCAGAAGAACCCGGACGCCATGGCCGCCGTCGCGCTGACCTTGGCTGAAATCAGCAACTTGGCCACGAAAATGGCGCCCGCTGCACTGGCCAGCCTTAGGTCGGCCGCCCCCACCATTTTTGCCTTGCTAGCCAGTCCACAATTCTTGATCGCTGCCGGTGTCGGTCTCGGTGTCACGATCGTCATGTTCGGCGGGTACAAGATCATCAAAAAGATCCAGTCTGCCGGCAACGAAGTTATCCGGGGACCGGCGGAGGACGACGGAGAGTCCGTGATCGTGGAAGACATGATTGAATTCGATACCGATTGTCTTAGCGGAGTCGAGATGTGGCGGCGTGGTGTCGCTGACGCGGAAGCAGGTAGTCTCGGCACATCTGTCGATGGTGAATTCATCACCCCGACTGCGGCCGCTATGTCTGGTATCGACATCACCACTGCACGTATGATGCGAGACCCTCGATTCAAGTTCCACGAAGACGAGTCCGTTGCTTCATCCCGCCGTTCCCGTCGCTCGCGGGCCCCGAGGGGCAGCTCTCGGTACCATCAATCTGAGTATGACGCCAGAGCGGAGTCGTATGCGGGCTCGAAAGCACCATCCTTAACTCCCTCGCGGACGCACACAAAGATCTTCTCCAAGGCACCCTCCAAAGCTCCCTCACAGGCCCCGTCAAGGGTCCCGTCCAAAGGGGAATCGCGTCATTCCGACAAGGACAGAAAGCCCAAGGAGAAGAAAAAGCGGTCCAGCCGTCTGCGGCTGATGTTTACAGCCTGAGCACTTCATCTCGCATATGGTATTAGCTAGCCATTGTATATGTGTACAGCATGATACGACCTACCAAGACATGGCTATTCATAGCGAGGCCAAGTCCATCATTGACCTCCTTTTTTCTTCTTTCTTCTTTGCTCTTTTCTACGTTCTCTTCGAACCATCTCCATCTTTCATTTGCAACCAGGACAATCCTGGCGAAGAATGATGTATATAGTTTCTCTGCATATTTTCCGGCGTTGGGATGGGTGTCTCATCACTCCTTGAATGGTTATTCAGCACCGCGGTTTCCTTCCTGGCAGAGCACTTCACTGCGAAGATTGCACATACAAAGGCATTCGAGATTTAGTCCATGGGTTAGACTAGATCCGCCATCATCTGCATCGCACTCATCATCATGTTGTCATTTACGAAGCGCATGAATACAGATCAAACGAAGACATGAATAATGTGATTTGGATTTTCCCTTTTTCTGCATGTATCATTACCCATCAGCAATCAACCAAACACGGGAAGTATACTACACGGTCTATCTCATCCCGCCGCAGCATACGCAAACGACTCGCACCAGAATCCTTCGTCGGACCTTAAAGGCCCAATTAATTGCCGAGTCATGCAGCGGGAAGAGTCCGAGTCCGTATGTGGGAAGATGAGCGAAAGTTTCCTATCCTGCATCTTACAAACGGTGTCAAAATTATTGATACGCAGATGGTGTCGAATAAAGTAGAATTCAAGAAGCAAGCTGTTCATAACTGGCATGCTAGGCCGCATCTCACAGTCTAGATTGAGAGATAACATATCATATTGGTATACGGAGTAGCAAGAGATGACTTCTCGGCGCAATCGGCACTGCACAAGCCATCCTTTTGCCGTGCCCTAGATAGTAGCAACTCATCCGCAAACAGCCAAACACTTCTACATACAGCAGTATACTGAGACTCGGAGGCCTCCGAAACAAGATCACGGAAGCGCAGACCAGACGCAAGGAAACATCTAGATAGTAAATGCGAACCTGGCTTGTGCTGAGACTTTCCTCCGCGGAAGAAAGACCACGGAGGAAAGTCTGGGGAAAGAGTGTTGTACGTTGCTCGGCAGATGCGGGCACGTCGCAGAGCCGGGCCACAGCCAAAAAGCGGTTCACCCGGCATTGCTGCCGAGCGGGTTTGGGGGGGATTTGCGCAAAGAGCCACATTTATTGCGATGCTTCTTGATTATTTGCTAAGCCGGTTGGCATAGCATGGCACTTCGTGTATGTAGTTTGCATGTGTAACTTGATAGTCAATGATATTGGTGATGTGATGATTGGAAACGGCAATGTTCGCATGGAAATCCCCCGAGCCGAGCCCCGCATACCCCCTAGGCCTGGTTGACGTTTTGAAGTCTCCTTGTATTATTGCAGCAGCTGGAGCGACGAGGATCGGAGATAATAATAACGTTTCGTTTATTGGGAAATGACAAGTTCCTTTTGTGCTCGCGGGGCTGTGGGGAAGTCGAGGGCCCCTTTGAGACTGAAATACTTGCCGTCTCTCCCCCGTCGAGAGTATCTAGATATATTCTTTCGTTCATCCACGCTGGTGCTTTGTCGTGTTCCATAATATAGGTACTCGGTGGCGAAGTGTATTGTCGGCTTCCGCTGTACTGTCTCTTCACTAGGTATGATTGTACCACGGGCAAAGACACCTCTCGAGGTGGTTATTGTTGGGTAGGTCTTATGCTGTACTGCATTCTATACTCCAGCTAACTGTTTCAGTGCCGGTATGCTACGTGATATAAATACCCTACCGTAGGCTAACTGGTAATAGGCATTGGGGGTATGGCTGCTGCATTGGCATTAGGCCAACGAGGACATCATGTCATTGTTCTCGAATCAGCCCCAAAGGTATGCATCAAAGCGGCTTGAGACATGGACATAGAAGTTTGACTGACTCCTATCAGCTCATGGAAGTCGGAGCCGGTATCCAAGGCTCCCCGAACATGTTGACGCTGTTTGACAGTGCGTGGAATCCCTTTGCATCTCAATGAAAGACAAGAGCAACTAATGTGCTTCAGGATGGGGAGTCTCTCCCTTAATACACGCCAAGGACGTCGCCTTGGAATACATCCACGTCCGACGATGGCAGGACGGCAGTCTGCTGGGAACCATGCCTGTCAACAAGACATATGGCCAACAAGTAGTTATCCACCGTGCAGACCTCCACAATGCGCTGATCGAAAAGGCCATGGCACTGGAGAACGTCCAAGTACGGGTCAACTCGACCGTCACCCGCGTCCGGTTCGATCCTCCAGCCGTGACCCTCGCCGACGGCAGCGTGGTGCAAGCGGACATCGTCCTCGCAGCAGACGGGATCAAATCCAGCATTCGGGATCAGCTGCTAGGCAAAGATGCCACCAAGGCCATTCCCACCGGAGACGCAGCGTACAGAATCATGCTCCCACGGAGCGCAATGGAGAACGATCCCGAGCTGAAGCAGCTCATCGACGAGCCGCAAGCCACGCGCTGGATCGGTCCCTACCGCCATATCATCGCCTACCCCGTCCGCAACCACCAGCTATACAACATCGTCCTGCTCCACCCGGACCGCACCGATGTCGAAGAGTCATGGACAACCAGGGGCTCGAAGCAGATGATGGTCGATGACTATCGCGGCTGGGACAGCCGAGTAACGAAGCTCATCGACCTGGTCAAGGACAACGAAGTCCTCGAGTGGAAGCTCTGCCAGCACCCGCCTCTAAAGACGTGGATCAAGGGCCGCGTGGCCTTGCTCGGCGATGCCTGCCATCCAATGCTGTAAGCGGATCGCAGCCAATCACGACGGTAAATCTCTCTAACGCGCAGAGCAGTCCATACATCGGCCAAGGTGCCGCCCAAGCAGTCGAAGACGCCGCCGCGCTGGGCGTCCTCCTATCCACCATCTCGTCTCGCAGCGAAATCCCCCTTGCCCTGGCGGCATACGAAAAGTCGCGCAAACACCGCGCAGAGACCGTACAGCAGTCCGGCACCGTCAACCGCGCGACACTGCATCTCCCCGACGGGCCGGAACAGCAAGCCCGCGACGACCAGTTCCGCGCGTCGATGAATGGGGCATCGAATCCCGATAAATGGGCTGATCTGGAGACGCAGAAATTCCTCTGGGGCTGGGATGCAGAGAAGGTGGCTCTGGAGACTTGGGAAGGTGAATTACCTATTTAATTAAAGCTGGTTGTGTGATCGAGGGAGCTAACGATGATTTTGTTTGTATTTGGTAGAGCTTCGAGGGTACCGTCTGACAGCCATGCGACATCATTTGTGATGGGGTAGTAGCAGGTTTAAACCCTTTTGATTCTTTCCCTGGCGCGTTAAGCAGGTTTGGTCATTGCTTTATTTTTCTTGCAGAATCATTTCTATAGTAGAGTTGGTGTACATATACTTTTTCTAGTTTGGGTTCTAGCTTACTGAACTGACAATCTATGGGTTCTACACACAACTCGTGGCACATTCTTTATGAACAGATATATGAATGTCTATCTTGGTTACTTGAAGGGAATTTATATCTTCTGGAGTTTCTTCCTCAGGTAGGGACCAGCACCGCGCCGCGAGAAGCCCCATCGGATCTGATTAGCCATCGAGATCTCCACATTCAGCTCGTCGGCCCAAGCCCACACCAATCCTGGGTTCTTCTGGAAGCCACGTCCAACCAGCACAAGGTCCAGCCCGTCCTTTTCCAACAAGGAATTAGCCATGCGTGCGCTATCGATCATGCCCACCGACGCCACTGCTAGTTTGTCCCCGACGGCGTTCTTGACAGCAATGGCAAAGGGTGCTTGGAAGCCTGGCTTCGCGTGGATATGCTGCTCCGAATGAGTGCCGCCGCTGCTCACGTCAAGCACGTCAACGTATCCAGTTTCTGCCAGTATCTTTGCAAATCGGACAGTGTCCACACCTCGCCAGCTGGGCTTGTGCGGCTGGGCCTCCTCGAGCCAATCGGTGGCGGAGACCCGCAGGAAGACAGGCATATCCTTGGGCACGTTTTCCCGGGTGAGTTTGGCGATCTCCAAGCTGAGCCGGATGCGGTTCTCGAAACTGCCTCCATACTCGTCTGTTCTCGTGTTGGCCGCAGGTGAGAGGAAGGACATTAGAAGGTAGCCATGCGCATTGTGGATCTCGATAAAGTCCGCCCCGGCCTTGACGGCCCGTTTTACAGCAGCCACCCAGGCGGTCTTCAGATCCTCGATATCCTGCTTCGTCATCTCTTTCGGCACGGGGTTCTTGTCGGTGAAGGGCACATTTGTCGGGCCCTTGACGCGGTCTGGCCAGCCACCCATCTTCTCGGAGGCGGTATCGTTGGCCGAGAGCCATGGCGCGACGGTGCTGGCCTTGCGGCCTGCGTGTGCGATCTGCACGCCGATAAGCTGGTTCTGGCTGTGGACGAATTCGATCACGCGGCTCAATGGCTCAATCTGCGAGTCTTTCCATAGGCCCAGGTCTTGGGGTGTGATCCTCCCTTCCGGTTCGACTGCTGTTGCCTCGACCATTAAGAATCCTGGCCCTCGCTGGGCAATTCCTCCCAGATGTGCCATATGCCAGGGAGTCATGTGTCCATCGTCGGCTGAATATTGGCATAGCGGCGATAGCTACCATATCACTCATGTAAGCGGCTTTTTCCAATTGTAAGGGCCCGCATAGACGGCTGGGAGGAATTGCCTGGACTGGTACTCACACCAATGCGGTTGTGAAAGGTCAGACCCCGCACCGAAAGGGGCTGAAAGAGCTTGGGAGGTGCCGATCCATCAGACTGAGGATTTGCAGCTGTGCCTGCAGGCGGTTCTTGCGCCGGAGTAAAATAAGAGATACCCGGGGCGCGCTTGTTCTCGATATCAGGCACTGCAGGTCGCGACATGGTGTCTATGAATGTTCTATACGTAAGTGCAATATCAACACAGCTTGAGGGAGAATGAAGAACAAGAAGGCATGCAAAGGGTAGAAAATACGAGACTAAAAAGGTCAGTGCAACTGGGGGTGATTGGAAATCGCCTTGCGCTAGGTATTGCGGACCGATGATGTAACACTATTTCCGGTGTTTGTGCCGAGGCCTTGCAGTCGCAGTAGAACGGGCTCTATCTCTGAGGGAGGGAAAGCGATAAAGCTTCGAAGAGCTTCCGTGAGATGATCAAAGAGTTGCATCTTTCTGACTGATACTTCCTGCTTCAACTTCCCTCCTCCATTGGTCCATCGCGGCGATGTCCCTAGATAGTACCTGTATGGTTCGGCACTTGTTTCCTTCCATATGTTATCGAGACTAGAGCATCAGCGGCTATCCTTGGTCACTCCAAATGGATCGATTTTATAATCATCAACGTTCATTTTTCTAACATTCATGTCGCTGTGACAGGTCATTTTATGCAGGCGCATCCCATCCCGTCACGGAGGATAGCGGTTTCTTCTCGCTCAGCTCGTTCAGCTCGCTCAGGCTTAGACCACAGGATTGTCTATTCTCGATTGAGTCTCCATCAACTCATGCCATCAATCTCAATACACTCCAGCTTCTCGACGATACTCTTTGACACTCTTCGAAGATCTTCCAAGACTGGAGTTTCTACCGTTCTATCCGGCAATGATCGACGCCCCGCTCTTATCTTATCGGGAGCAGCGACTTCGGCGGTGCCAAGTGCCCTAGTCCCAAACAGGCAATGCCCCAGACCGCCAGGTACAGAGGGACGTCTCCCGCCAAAACTTTTTTTCCAGCACTGGAGGGAATGACTCAATCCACTGTTTAAATACCCCCCACAAGCTCCATTCCCTCTCCAATTGTTCCTTCTCCTGTTCCTGATTTCCTTACCCATCAATTGCTACAATCACACACATCAACCATGTCGAAAGGAAAGGTCTGCGTCGCCTTCAGCGGTGGTCTCGACACCAGTGTCATCTGTAATTGCCCCACACTTTCCACCTGGAGTGTTTTGGGGCCCGTGCTGACCGCTGATTCCAGTGAAATGGCTCATTGACGAGGGCTACGAGGTTGTTGCTTTCAGTAAGCGGATTCGGACTTTGGACAACGTGGAGAGCATGACTGACTTTTTCAATAGCTGCCGATGTTGGCCAGGAAGGTAATTCATCATCAATGCGAGATTCGAATTGGGATGGTCTTGAGGTTCTGACTCATCGCTCGTCCAGAGGACTTTGACGCTATCCGGGAGAAGGCCCTGAAGCTCGGTGCCGTCAAGTGCGAGATTGCCGACCTCCGCCGTATGTATACTCAAGATATTTGCCTGGATGTTTACAATGGAATCTGATAGCAATGTAGGGGAGTTCATTGAGCAGCTTTGCTTCCCCGCCATTGCTTGCAACGCTATCTACGAGAACGTCTACCTTCTGGGTATGTGATTAGTGCCAAAAGAAAACGGTCTTGATGCTAATCTCCTTTGAAGGAACTTCTCTGGCCCGTCCCGTCATTGCTCGTGCTCAGATCGAGGTCGCCAAGGTTGGTTCCCGTGCCTTATTTACTCTTCTAGAATCGCACATTGACCAGGATCGTACAGAGGGAAGGATGCTTCGCTGTTTCCCACGGTTGCACCGGCAAGGGTAACGACCAGGTCCGTTTCGAGCTTGCCTTCTACGCCCTTCAGCCCGATATCAAGGTCATTGCCCCCTGGCGTGACCCTGCTTTCTACAACCGCTTCGCCGGTCGCAACGACCTCCTCTCCTATGCCGCCGAGAAGGGCATCCCCGTGACCTCCACCAAGTCCAAGCCCTGGTCTATGGACGAGAACCTGGCCCACTGCTCCTACGAGGCCGGCATCCTCGAGGATCCCGACGTCACTCCCCCCTCCGACATGTGGAAGCTCACCCAGGACCCTCTCACCGCCCCTGACCAGCCCGAGGATTTCACCGTTCACTTCGAGAAGGGTATCCCCGTCAAGCTGGAATACACTGAGGGTGGCCAGAAGAAGGTCGCTACCGACGCTGTCGACCTGTTCCTGACCGCCAACGCTATTGCTCGCCGCAACGGTGTTGGCCGTATCGACATTGTCGAGAACCGTTTCATCGGTATCAAGTCTCGTGGTTGCTACGAGACCCCTGGTCTCACCTGCCTGCGCGCTGCTCACATGTGAGTTACCCCCAGTCTGTCATTTTCCGGCTGTCTCTAATCCCGACCACAGTGATCTGGAAGGTCTGGTTCTGGACCGGGAGGTCCGTGCTCTGCGTGACCAGTTCGTCACCTTCAACTACTCCAAGGTTCGTTTTCTACCAGATCGAATTACTTTGTAGGGCAGACTGCTAACAGCGCCTCAGCTCCTCTACAACGGTCTCTACTTCTCCCCCGAGCGCGAGTTCCTCGAGGCTTCTATCACTGCTTCTCAGAAGACCGTCAACGGACAGGTCCGTTGCCGCGCCTACAAGGGCAGCGTCTCCATTCTCGGCCGTTCCTCCGAGACCGAGAAGCTGTACGACATGTCCGAGTCCAGCATGGACGAGATCGGCGACTTTGCTCCCACCGAGACCACCGGCTTCATTGGCGTGTCCGCTATCCGTCTGAAGAAGTACGGCCAGATGAAGCAGGCCAACGGCGAGAAGATGTAAAGCATGTGTTTGAGCATAATTTAGGATGGGCTGCTTGCGGCCTTGAGTCTTTTTCGGGTATCTTGTTTTATATTATACATCTATTTAGCACTTGACGTGTAACGGAATACAAAAGAAATGAATGATCACCCCCTGAACCATCATCACGGGCATGCCGTGTGTCATAATCCGTCGTCACTGATCATAGTGTCGTTCCATACCGCGCAAACTCCCTTCGAATTTGATGGCAACAGTAATCCCGGGTCATTTAGCTTCCCCAGATTCTGTAGCCAGTTGAGAGCGACCTTTAGCATGACACCATCCCAATTACCCACGGCTATGTCACGAATAGCCTGTACATGTGTCTCTCCAGCACACAGAACAAGCTCAGTGTCAGTCTGACTCGACGAACCGAGCAACTCCCCAAACTCCCGGATATCGTCCACATAAACTTCGTCCGTACCCGCGAGAAGCAAAACCTTCTTAGCAGGAACAGATCCCCAAAAGTCCTTCGTCCCCGCCAGCGGAGTCGCCCAAACCTCCTCCTTCACAGGCTCCCAGTGCGAATTGAACATCTCCATCAACGCCTTACTAACAATATCCTTATCAGCGTTATACGTATAGCTCGCAGCGGAGCACTCATTCGCACAGCGGGGACTGATACAGAGCGCCGCGCGGAGCTGCTGCTGCTGGTGGTGATCCCGGCCCTCAAAAACAGGCCGAACAAGCGGATGCGGGTCCCGCAGATGCGCCAGAACCGCCAGCGCAAGGTTCCCGCCCGCCGAGTCGCCCGCTATCGTGATCTCCGCGGCATCATGGTCCTGCAGCAGGTACCGCAGCGCGGCGGCCGCCTGCGCCAGTTGGCCCGGGTACTTGAGTTCCGGCGCAAGGGTGTACTCGAGCAGGACGCATTTCGCGGTTAGTCTTTGGGCGGCTGCGCGCGCGAACTTGAAGTGGCCGGTGGATAGGGGGTGATGTACCCCCCGCCGTGGAAATAAAGTAGCACGTTGTCGTTCCCGTTCCCGCTGCCGCTGGGGCTGGGGCTGGGGATGCGGCTGCGCGCCGTGGGGTCACAGTCGATGAAGTGCAGGGTTGCGCGGGGGAAGGCGCTGCCTGCGTCTAGTTCGATGGTCTCATGGCGGAGACTGTATGCTTTACAGAGTGAGGCGATGGTGCTTCCTGATGGGCGTTGGAGAGCGCGTGCTTGAGGGAGCGGGAGCGTCTCGGCTATGCGGGCGGTGTTTCTCATCCAGATTGTTCTGAAGGAGGCGGAGTCTTTGTTGTAGAGGAGGTCCCGGGCGATGCTGAAGATGAGACGGGGGAGGGAGACGAGGACCCTTGTGAGTAGTTGGAGTCTTTGGAGCAGGGTGAGCCGCGGCGGGATATGACTTTTTGCTCCGGGGCCGGCATTTGTGTAACGGCGTATGTGTATTACTCGAGCAATGATTATCAGTGTTTTATTGCATATTTATTTATGAGCTAGCCGTAGAAGAGAGTCATCTCTGCCGTTTTTGGCAAGATGGATGGTGATATTGATGGACGAACTTTTTGAGAGAGAGAATCACGTGCCTGCATCAGCATCATGCGAATGAATCAGGCTGATTTTATGCTTCTTCATAACTCATCCATGGAGACGCAATAACAATATGACAATCTGGATTGCCAAGGTGTCAAGCTCGCAAGCCAGATGATCTAGTGAAATAGCTTACTCCAATTGAAAGGCTGCCTAAAATGATGACAGTCATTAGTTGCATTCCGTGTCCATTAAGAAGCCAGGTTGGCCCACCACGATGACGATAACCGAGTCGGGTAGATCGATTCATCCGACTATCTTTGCACTCACCACTCCGTCATTACAACATCGCAAAAGATTCAGAATCAAACGCAAGACAAACAGGATGCTCGATGTCCCTGTCTAAAAGCCAGGGATGAAATGCAGTTTATCAGACCCCCCATCAACAATCTGATATTTCGCAACCTCTGAAGCTTCTAGTTGAGAGCTACTATTCGCAGTCTTGCGAATAGCGACCAAGGTTTGACCTCTGGCCGAAATATTTGGCGTGTCGAACGCAAGGACATAAGCATTCTGGGCGAGCTTTTCAGGGCAGAGTGCTAGCGACCTCTTTTGATACCCTGAATTAATCCCTTGACGGAATCAGGCAACAGTATACTCCTAATCGATATCCGATACTCGCAAACAGCCCAGGCTGGTATTTCTTCATTGTGAACTTCCCTCACCATGTTGTCGTACGGTCTCTGTCATAAGGTCTCTCCATCGCCTATTCAAGATGATGGTCAAGATCCCATGGCCGGCCATTTACCTTGCCATTGTAGCCTCCGTCTACGTGAGACCTCAATATACGATTTTCAACTCACCAATGGCAACATTCGTTGTGCTGTCTCTGGCTGTTACTTTGCTTCAGGATCGTCTATGCCCTCGTCCTGTACCCTAGGTTCTTCACTCCTATAAAGCACATTCTGTTAAAAAAAGTATATAGAGCCCTACACTGATAGGAATCATGTCCGGACAACCTTTTAGCCTAGTGGTTTATATTTCAATACATTCCCACACCTCCGGTAAGATTCCTTCATTGCGCGGACTGAACAGGTTCTAAACCTATCACAACAGGCCTGGTCATGGCTTATTGGAAATACGAGCTCATATCTCATCGAATCGCCGTTCGAAGAGATGATAGAATGGACGCACAGAGTGCCCAACGACGGATTAATTCGTTACTATATCGTCGGCAACCTCGAGCGTGTATTGTTGGAGCAGGAACGGAGAATAGGCTTATGTAAGCTGCCTGCCCAGATGGGAGGTGGTTTCCAAACTGACTACCCGACAACTGATTCTTCCTGTATCTTAACCAATTCAACACACACACAAGAGATAGTCGAATTCATCAATTTCTTCCCTTTTTAACTCGTCCGTCGCATTTTGGTGACCAGTGCCGGGCCGGCAGATTCCTGGCGTTTCAACAAGTATCAAGAGAACTAGGTGGCTTGCAGATCCCGAGGTCGCGACCGAGGGGCAGATCTGCAAGGTAGCACCGTATTGCCGCTTCGCTTAGGCAAGCACGTGACGCACGTCCCACAATAACAACAACATTTCCCGAAATTCCCCCATCGCCCAATTTTCTCCACCTGCAGCTTACGAACGGCTAAGCCACACATTCTCCTCATTCTCCACTCACATCCGATTCGCTTATTCTGACTTTCTTCTGAGACTACTGTCATCTAAATGGCGGAAATCAATGTGGCCCTACTAGTCAACCCAGCGGCCCCAGCCACGCCCAAGGGAAAGACCATAGGAAGAAAGACTACACCCTCGCCAGAAGCCCTCTCAGCGTCCAAGAGCATAATCTTGGGTATATTTCCATCTACCGACAATGTGGTTCGCATTCAAGATTCTCCAGTCCTTGCACGTTACGGTCAAATCTTCCCGTCAGGGCAGGCGTTAATTGGTAAGTTACCCAGTTTGTGTTGTTTATAAGAACATACTAACTATACCTAGAACGGAGATTCCCAATAAACACATCACACGCCCATCCTGATCCCCCGGTCTGGGAAGCACAGATACCAGAAGCACCTCCGGTTAGACACCTCATCTTGCCGTTCAATCTGAAAGGCGACCGAGGAGCGTTTTTTAATGAGGACAACCGCAAGGTCCTCCGGAATCTTTTCCCTGGAACGAAAGGTCTAGTATTCGGTGTCTATTATTTGATTTTCTGGGTCGATCACCTACCGCCACAGCCTTGGCCAATCACCGTCGCGGGAATCCGGCCCTACTTCACTATCGATCCCAATGACGATGGTCCTATCCCTCCGGTCAAAAGGACCAGCAAGTCTCGGATGAGAATTGCGGACGACATAAATGCAAAAAATCGCTCTGGGGCTCTTGTCGACGAGGCATTTCAGTTGGTCAAGACGTTTTTCTCAGAGGCACACATCTTCATTACGGAGATACAGTACTGGGGTAATCTTTTTGTCATTGTTCTCCTTGACGAGTCTGTCGATCTAACTAAAATTCCCCGTTGGATTGCGAAATGCCCATGCTACTATCTGTACGAGAGCGAAATGGGAAGACCAGCGTTTGGAAAATTCGCCGCCAAGAGGAACAGAGATCCCTCCATTGATGTTGTGGATAACAGCGAATACGATCTGTTACGTCCAGGGATAATGCTCAGTTCTGGAAGGGACGCTGAAACTCAAACAGAATTTCTCACGTCGTCCGGTGTCCTCGTCAAGGATGAGATCGGACTTGAATACATGACCGTTGCTTCCCATGGATTCCCTCATGGTGACAAAGTCTTCCATCCGTCGGCCACGGGAAGGGAAGTTGGCCAGGTTATCATGGAAATAACCCACACGGATGTTGCGCTAGTGAGACTGCATAGTCAGTTTTCTTTTGAGAATGAGACCTTCGAGAGCACAATCGATGGCGCAGGTCCGGTCCAATTGAGTGGCTTCAAGCCGTCTCGAGATATGGAGATTGGTGACAATATCTATATGAACAATCCTTTCTCTGGTTATTCAGAAGGCATATGTGGTCCCGCCTCCGAATGTTGCGTGCCCAGTGATGACCCGAATGTGCCGAGTCTAGACTGGGTTAGGACACGGTGGATGTATATGGGCCAAGGGTACCAAGACAAACTAGAAGACGGCGTTTGCGGATCGGCCATTTGGGACGATGACGGGTCCGTTATAGGTTTCTTTCGTTATGCTCCCTCATCGGGCCACTTCACAGACTGGTGCGTCTCCATCGCGTCGGAGAACTTCATATCCAAAGGCTTCACTGTTACCAGTTCAGTCCGCAGCAACACAGCATGATGTTTTGTCGCGCTATTACTTTTCTCTTTGCTATTCAATTACATGGTTATTGGCTAGAGTGCTATCGGATAGGGATTTGCAAAGGCTGAGCTGGCCTGTCTTGTTGCTGCCACTGTGGGACGGTTCCAGATGGAACTGAAGGACCCCGATGCGAAGCTTGAAGTGAGACTCGGCCACGGTTGCTCCAAAGGATGGCGTGCTGGCTAGATTTACCCCGGTGGAGGGGGTGGTAAAGTTCATACATCGGTATGCCGGGCCAGGGGCCCTAGGCTGCTGGCCTGGCTCCGTCCGGTGACGGCGCCCCCGAAACCCTTGCAGGCCCGGGAATCTGCGACATCCGAATGAGTTGGTGGCTATCTACGAGGCGGATCGGGCTTGTACGGGCACCTAGACAGGCGTGGAGACATCTACAGAGGGAAGAAAGGTAGCAGGCACTCACTGATTTCGGCCCCGGCCAAGATGGATCTACGAGGGAAATAAGGTAGCTGGCACTCTGTGATTTCGGCCGGGGCCGAAACGGGGGCAGGTATGAGGGAATCTACAGGGGTTCAGCCTAATCTAGGTGCCCAACAGAGATAGAAATATTTATGTACGCCGACGGCGTCAGTCTGCAAAGACGGCCATCGGTTAGATAGTCGCTGCTCGCTAGGAGCCTCCGACATGGCCCAGCTCGGTGCCGAAACGGAGTAAGGAATCAATCAATCAATCAATCAATCAATCGGTAAAGTTCATACTGTATTGATTACATGTCTAGCTATAATCAACCAGTTACTGGTATTCCTCCCTGAAAACCATTACCCTCTCAACCTCCTTCCCAGTAGCATCCTCCTCCACCCAAGCTCGCCACATCCCCCCGCAATTGAAATCAAACACCACCTTGCCCCGACTTAAGCCCTTCTTCTGCTCCCCGAGCAAACCGGCACCAGTAGCATCGAGCACCGTCTCGGCCTCGATCCCAATGATGCCCCCGTCACCTTCCCCAGTCTTGCCCCATCTCCGGCCTGCGGAACGCTGAAGTTCTCCATCCGGGCCGGCAACCGCACTAACAGCTTCCGCGAGAGATCGAGGAACGGATGCCTGGGAGTATCGAAGCATAGCACAGACGCTGCGAGCCGCCGCAACGCGCAGGAAGGAGTCCCCGTTTCCGGTCCCTGAGAGCGCAACGGCTCGTCGTCTGACGCGCCGTGGCAAGCGTTCCTGCTCGAGGAGCGCCTGCTTCTCGGAGCTGTGTTCTAGACTGGGTAAGCGCGTATCCGGCCACAGCAACCTGTTCACAACCGGCGGGATACACTCGGCTACCATCCGCATAATGGTCGCAGCAGTTCCAGAAGAAGCATCCTCTGCATCGCGCGGGTTTAGCGAGGACCGGTATACCATACCCCGCCCTGGGCCTCGCGGGGCAGCTCCTCCCACGCCTCAGCCCAAAACCCCGCCCCCAGCGTCGGCGTATCCCCAATCCGGCCCGGAAGCTTATTCGTCAGCCCGCCCGTACTCGTCGCAACCGCCAGATTCCCCCACCGGTCGAGACACACACACCCGACCGTCCCCTGGCTCATGGAAACGGGCTCCGCCTCACCCTTCAGCCCGCGCCGATGTTCCTCCCACCGCCTCTTGGTCCAGAACCACGCGTCCGGCTTGAACTCGAGCCCCCACGCCCGAGCGAGTTCCTCCACGTACGGCGCCATGAGCTGCGAATGCATATTCCCGCCGTCACCGTTCGGGTCCCCGTTGGCGTTGTGGCCTGTTCGGAGGAGACACTCTCTCGCGAGCTGGATCGGGTGCCGGACATTTCTTAGCCCCATCACGCCTGCGCCCCGTTTGATGGAGCCGGCTATCTCGTCGTCGGTGGTCTTGTTGACGGTTGTGACCATCACGGAGGCTTCCATTTCGATTGTCCCTGCTGAGGTGAACACGCTGCCGCGCCCGCAGTTGAAGAGCTCGTCATCTTCCAGCAATGAGACGGCGTGGACGGCTGCGTCTAGGGCGCTGGCGCCGCCGTTCAGGAGATCCTTCGTTGAGCGGAGGTAGGAGAGGAGAGAGGCATGGTATTGAGCGTAGAGGTCCGGTGGGAGTCTCGAGCGCTGGATATTGCCTGCGCCGCCGTGGATAATGAGGGCAGGCTTGAACGTCGCTGGAATAGAGTCGCGCATGGTCGATTGTTTCGGTGCTCGAGGCTCATGAGAGGGGTTGATTGGACCTGGCTGCTTGACGAATCTGGGTAGCTTCGGGTAATAAACCCCACGATGCAGAGATGCTCAGACAAATGAAAACTTCACCAACCAGATAGGTTCTTTGTTTGAGGAAACCTGCAATCGAGATGAGGAGGTTGTTGTGTCATGCGCTAATCGGCGGCCGAACACCGTAGCCTGCCTTACCCCTCTGCAAAAGTAAGGTTCCCTCCACCATCCCCAAACCTGGGAGTGATTCTGGCCACGCCAGCTGCGAAAGATAAGATAGGACAATCAATGTGTGTTGAGAAGTCAGATTTAGACCTGTTTATCTGCATGTTAATGTACAAGAAGTGGATGTGTCCAACAAATCCCAGGGACCTGTGCAGAGAGCTCTTCTTTTCGCCTCCGAGCTAAGCAATAGAAAACACAAGGATTGCAGAAGTGTACAATCCATCATCGCCGGCAAATCCAGTGCTCAGAGACAGTCAAAAGTTGGACTAGAAGCACAATACGAAAGCAAAAAAATCTCTATGCCATGCCTCGTTGAAGATGAAATGACCAGACCCAACACCTGAGAAGAGAGATACGTAATAATATAGGACATAGATGGGAATTCGGCTCACAGCGGAGGAAGAATTGTAGCTGCAATGGTAAGACATTAGGTGATTTATGCGATGGCCTTTTCGCCAGACGGAGGAGGGGGAGGGAGCTATTAACCATCGACGTCAGCCACAATCGTAACAAAAACAAAAAGCGAGACTCCATACCTCTAGTTTTGTGTTGTCCGCCATCATCCTCTGGAACCCAATACCAACACCCTCAATGACGGCCAGGAAAACAGCGCACATGATGGCAGAGTTCCTAGCGGCCTTGACACCACCACGAACAGCCAGAGAGCCACCAGTGAAGAAACCAGCAATGACTGCAGAGAAAAACTCGGTTAGATTCCAATTGTGCCGCATCGCCGCAGTTATCATGTAGAATGAGTGAGTTAACGTACTAGCATTGTAAGGATCCTCCTTCTTCCGGATACCCTTGATCGCGCAGTCGAACGTCGAGAACAGACCACCCCAGACACCAAAGTTACCACCGAGGACGGGCGCTCGAGCCTTGATGGCTGTGATGGCACCTATCCGTCGCTCGCCGTAGGGGCTGTTTCTGAAACCCTTCACACCGTGCCAAACCGCACCACCGATAGCCTAAGTCAACGAATCGGATTAGTTCTCATGTCTTCGCGATGGAGTACTTGAGTTATCACGCAGTGGAGACGTACACCCATGCAAAAAGCACCACCGAAATCGCTCAGGGCGACCCAGGGACAGGGATCTCTCGAGTGATCCATTGTGAAATAGGAAGCAAGGAAATAGAAGAGCGAAGAAAAAGGCTGAGATCGAATGTATCAAGTAGCCAGACGTCTCAATAGATTACTTCGACTGAGTAATCTCGATGGTCCGGTGAAGCGTCACTCCGTCAAAAGCCGCCGTCGACTGTTCGGAGGGAGTCGTGGTGGGGGACGATTGATAGTCTATGTAGGTCGACGGCAATATAAAACGGTTAGATATTGCTTCGAAGTAGTGGGAACAGCAGTTGAAGAGCTGCTTATATGGCTGGGGACGAAAAGTGGACAATGGAGAAGGTTTGCGGAGCGCAACAGGTTCTTTTGGCTTTTTTTCGCCAGGAAAACGTGACTTTTCGGACTGGGAGCAAGGTCACGTGCAGATAACCCGGGGCAGCCCGACTGCTGCAAAAGGGAAAACGCTAACTGGCTTTGCCACTCCGTCATATTTTCTACGCGCCTTTTGCGTCAAGGTTTTCACAGCTGCGGCAAATGATGAGTTTGTTTAATCATGCAGGGGTGGGCTAAGCAGAGAGAAGTTTTCATTGCAGCCAAAGTGCCTTTATTTGGCATATCCGAATTATGCGAATCCTATAGAAATTCATCTACCAGCAATTGGGGGTATAGATCAACAAGAGAATATGTACAAGATTGTCAGCGATAAAAAGGCTTAAGAAGGTAGATTCCATATGAAATTCAAGGCGCCGCCTTCATATGCTGGGAATTGCCCCCACTGCTAATACTGAACGGCGCCATGGATGGGTCGAATGGAAGAGATAGCCAGTCATCAGCAGCGATGTCATTCAATGACGGTGTAAACCCCATATCTGACATATTCTGGGGAACTGGAGCATTCATTATCAGTGGGGCAGTCTCGTCACTTGTGGCACTTGCGTATGATGGAGGCACCATTGAGTGCCGTGTCGTTGACCCGCGCTGTCTTTTGACACTCTTACATGAGGCGACTAAATTTCGTCGCAAGCGCGATACATGAGTCTCCAGCAAAGTAGCGTAGCGTGTGCTTAGGTGTATGTCGTCCAAGGCATTTGATCTCAACGCTTGTATTGTTCTTTCTAGGACATCCAGCGACTCACGGAGTTTTGCTTGACGCGTTCCCAAGCTGAGTGCTTTCATTAGGAATATGGATGCGCTTGTGATCCTGACGAATATTCGAACTGGCGAGAACCGTAGTGCCCCAATGTCAGCAAGCTGTGTGACCTTTTCCAGTATCTGGCAGCATCCATCTATGACTTCTTGGATGTATTCGTAGTCAATGGGGTCGATGTTCATGGGACGAACTTCCTCATCTGCGTTTCCATCTGCGATCGCACGTTCAACTACAGCCTGCATTCCAACAGAGTGCGTATAGACGCGGACAAAGTGATATTCGATGAAAATATCGTCATAGAAAGGTCTGTCATGCACTTCAGTTAAGTCAGCTGTATTCTTCAAGAAACCAGAAAGAAACCGCTCAACATCTCGATGTATGATGACTTACATTGCGGCTGAAGATATCGCTCCTTCCACTTGTCAAGTAGTGGACGAAAGTGGTCCAGGAGGTCAATATACCGTCCACTCTGAAGTTGCTGTCGTGCGAAAGCAACAGAAGGGAAGAACATGTCCGTGACAGATTTGGCGAGTTTCGTCAGGTCCATCCAGGAGTCCATGAATGTGAGCCATTCTTCCCCATATTGGCTTAATTCTCTAGATGTCTGTCGATTGAGGATGGAATGGCTCAAGCCTTGCGGCATGAGCGATACGCATCCTATCCGCCACGCTAACTGATTGACATATACGTACAACAACCGTTGCGCCCTCTGGCGTCGCAAGCGCATCTGATCCTTTGTCATGAACCGTTCGTAGGCGACAAAAGCATCGCGTGTTTTATCTCCGGTCTCGTAGATGCCCAACTCATGCGCGAGAGATAATGCGGAACCCAGAAGCATCCATGACATCTGGTCGGATCGTTTAGCTGGTTCACTCATGTCTTTTGCCCATCGCTTTGCTGACGAGTTGGTACCGTCATCTCCGTATTCTGTGGACTCCAGATCTATGGTGACCAGGTCGGAATCCCATCCATCACTTTCTGGGGGAAAGTGGAGTGAGCGTGGATGCCAGTCAGACATGAGCAGAAGCGCTTCTATTGTGCCTATGTTCCGAATCTTCGGCTGCGAAGCAAGCTCTTGCCCAAAGATGAGTCTCGTCACCAGCTGCTGGCAGTGTTGCCAGAGTCTGTGATGAATAAAGAAATTCCGCGACTGGCCGCCAGCACCAGGGAGTACATGGTATCGGGACGATATCATCAAGATTGTACAGCAGAGAACAGGGTCTTGTGCGATCAACCAACGGTGGTTCTTATGATCGGCATAGAAATCTGTCAATACTGGAGATAGTATAGACATGTTTTTGAAAAAGCTATGATCATCCTGTCGTCAGCAGAAGTCTACATTGAGTTTGTACAAAGGTTACGAACAGATCAATAAACGTAACAGCTTCTCTAGCTGTGAACCATCCCATCCTGACGAATCGACATGCCTCCCAAGCACTCAAGACGTCCTTCGATACATGAGAGAGGTCGACCGGACGCATGGCCTTTTTCAAGACTGCCGGAGGAACCGTGAGTTCTATTTGCCTCAAGGAACCTTCACAAGTGATCGGATGACCTGCTCGATGCTGCTCATTTTCAGCCATAGAGTCCGATTCTATCACACTGTCTTCCTGACTTTGTGCATTGGCTGCCTCAAAAAGAATGTTGAGGGCATCATTCCCGCTAGAAACGACAGTGCGCATCATTGAGTTGGCCAGATTCGATGTAGATTGAGTCCTGTGTGATCGGGCATCATTATCGTATGACTGATGTGAGCTGTCTGCCGCATCTGCACGACTGGCGCCATGGCTTACAGGACTAAGGCCCTGAGCAGGCGCTGGCACGGTCGCTTCACCTGTAGCAACTATGTTGTGCGGGGCAACGCTGGTCAACCTGAGCTGTGTCGAAGGAGATGCAGCTTCATCTTCTGATCGCCCTGTATCTTAGCCGTGAGTTTGAGTCTGAAATATCGCGACGTCTATAGAGACGTAAGCTGCGTGATGACCCTGGCCCACTACTAACCTCGCTTCTTCACCCGCTCCCAGGCCCGCTTCTCGTCGAACAGACACGGCTTCTGTTCCCTGCGACATTTCGCACAAGGAGGACCAAGAGGGAGTCCATCCGGACCCGTCCCCAGATCACACTTAGCCTTCCGTTGCCGGCAGGATATACAGGCCTTGTAGGTCCGTTGATAAGTTCGGTCGGGATGGTTTCCGTGTCGGGAGAGTCTCCGGATTTCCATGACTAGGTAAAGTACCAGCTTATTAGTGTGACCAATCACATCATGGTAATTAAGTCAATGTGTAATGCGGTAGACAATGCTGCTAGGAACGCGCGGTAGGAAGATTTGAAAACTGGGCCTTCGGATTGGGTAGGCTGAAAATGGGACATTGCATCGAGATGGAAAAAGGAACAGAATGCGGGAATTTCGAAATAGCCGTCAGTTTCCGCCCGCGGAGCAATGAAATATCCGGCAATGCATCTTCAAACAAACAACCATCAACGATGGTGCAAATTCTAGGATGAGATTATTGTTCCTAAGCAAAATTGAAGACTGACAGAGGCACCTCAAGCTTATTTTTACGCATATTCAGGTGATTTTATTTCGATGTGGGCCACTTGTCACAATGCACGGCCACTACCTAAGTTTTCCGAGGCATATCTACCTAGTTCCTGTACCTCTAGTCCTTGATTACGCATTTACGTACGACCTAAGTTTAGAATGATATATTGTTATATTTCAAGAACAGAAAGACTGAAGTCTTCATATCCGCATATACTCCACGAGTGCATGTCTGAGTAACTTTATAGTGGGAACATTTGCTAGCGGAACCATCTCCATCTCGAGGATGTCCTTGTCATACAACGCAGTGCTAGTGATACCAAGCGAGACACCCAACAGTCCTCTTTCTCAATAGCTCAGCAGCTCCAACGGATCTACATTACTGTTTCAGTCCGAATAGAGCAAAGGTCAGACGTCGAATAACCTCGGAAATGAGCGGAAATTCGAACGCTCAGGTTCGGATGTTATAGCGGCGGAAGTATTCCGCTTGGGGACACTAATCCATGCAACCCCAAGGCCATTATTGGAAGCAATCACGCGTGTTCATCTAGTCAGAGGACACCAGGAGGGATATATTCCACTCCGCACTATGTCATCATATCATGTAGGATAACTAATACAAAGTAACCGTGTCTTATGTAAAGCATATGCATAGAATAGCGTTGTTTATACCCTATGTAATGTCCTCCGCACCTCCGCATGTTAAACGATCAGGAAACATATATGTAAGTTCATTGCCTTTGACCTGCCCAAGTACTACTCCTCTCATAATCCAAAGTTCACATCATCTTCTGCATCCACAGTCAGCATGGCGGACTCAACATCCCCCAAAGTCACTCTATACACCTATTTCCGCTCCTCCTGCTCAGCCAGACTTCGCATCGCCCTCAACCTGAAATCCATCCCTTACACCCCAATAGCCGTCAACCTCCTCAAAGGCGAGCAATCCTCCCCAGAAAACACTGCGCTCAATCCCTCGGGCACAGTCCCCACCCTGATCGTGGAACATCCCCCCAAAGACCCCGTGACCATCACGCAATCCCTCGCAGCACTCGAGTACCTCGAAGAAATCACCCCAGCCTCATCTCATGCCCTCCTCCCGCCAGCTTCCAACCCAGAGGCCCGCGCAGTCGTCCGCACCCTGGTGGACATCATGTCCTGCGACGTCCAGCCCGTCACCAACCTCCGGATTCTGAAGCGGGTGGCCCCCTTCGGCGTCGACCGGGCCGCGTGGTCGAAAGATCTGATCGAGGATGGTTTCCGCGCGTACGAGGCCATCGCGGCGAAGAGCGCGGGGCTTTTCAGTGTGGGCGATAGCATTACCATGGCGGATGTGTGTCTGCTTCCTGCGGTGTGGGGTGCTGAGAGGGCGGGGGTGAAGGTGGAGGAGTTTCCTACCATCTATCGGGTTGCACAGCGGTTGGAGGAGGAAGATGCGATGAAGAGGGCGCATTGGAGGACGCAGCCTGATACGCCGGAGGAGTTTCGAGTGATTTCGTCATGAGAAGAGATGGTTGTTTGAGATGTTGGGACAAAGCTTCGTTTGGAATGAATATCAACTATTCAGCGCGCTGGACTACTCGATATAGTTGTGATGGTCTCAAGATGAGGAAAAGGTCTATCTCAATTTCATACTCATAGCTAGCTCATGAAGCATCCTTTTGGGGATTAAATAAAATAAAGATGAAAAGACCTGGTCATCTACAGCTTAGAACTCCAACTTGAGGGCTGGAAGAATTGTGCCAACACAGTCACCAAACCCGACGTAGTTTCCTTCCGTGCCCGCCATGCCGCGCAGAACGACAGTGTCTCCATCCTCCAAGAACAATCGCTCGGAGCCATCAGCCAGCTTCAGAGGGTTCTTGCCGTTGGTCTGCTCGAGGAGACTGCCCTGAGACTTATCCTCCTTGCCAGAAATGGTACCACTGCCAAGCAGGTCGCCGGTGTTCATGTTGCAACCTGTGATGGTGTGGTGCGCCAGCATCTGAGGGAACGAGTACAGCAAGTTGTTGGCGTTGGTGCGAGAGATCAAAGTGGGCTTTCCACCAGCGTTGGTTATCTCAACCTCGAGAGGGATGTCGTAGGCATTAAGTTCGCGCTTCTCGCGCAGGTAGGGCAGTAGCGATTCGCGGTTGCCTGGCTCCAGACCGGTGGTGCGGAAGGGCTCCAAAGCGTCGAGTAAGACCACCCAGGGTGTGATGGTGGTGGCAAAGTTCTTCGCGTTGAAGGGCCCAAGAGGAACATACTCCCAAGCCTGAATATCACGGGCCGACCAGTCGTTCATCAATACGACGCCGAAAATATGGTCCTCGGCCTCATCAATAGAAACTGGATGGCCCAGCTCATTTCTCTTGCTGACAAAAGCGGCAAGTTCCAATTCGATATCCAATCTCTTGCATGGGGAAAAGGTCGGCACCTTGGGGTTAGCGGCGGGGTTGGCTAGGATTTGGCCATTGGGACGGCGGATAGGAGTGCCCGAAGTCACGACTGAAGAGGCACGGCCGTGATATCCAACAGGGAGATGCTTATAATTGGGCTGCAGAGCGTTATCAGGACCGCGAAACAGCACACCAATGTTGTAAGCATGGTTGAGCCCCGCGTAGAAGTCGGTGTAGTCGCCAATGTGCATGGGAAGATGGTTGGTCACTTCTGACAAGGGCAAAAGCGCCTCCTTCTGCAAGGAGGAATTGTCCTTGAGAATCTGGGCGAATGGCGTATCGGCACGGAAGATGCACTGGATATATTCACGCACTTGACGGTGCACGGGACGGCCGAGCGCTGCAAACGCGTTAAGAGTTGGCTGGCTGAATACGCTGAGATGGGGCTGGATGACGGGGAGCTGCGAGAAACCGCCCGACGAGGCGAACGCGCTCAGGTTGAGCGCATAGTCACCGATCGCAACTGCGGCCACAGGAGAGGTGACCTTTGCAGAGGAGATGATGCCAAATGGAATATTCGCCAGAGAAAAGGGCGAGTTCTTGGGAATCTGAAGCCACGAAGCCATTGTGATGAAGACGGTAGAAATGGGTATCAACGGGGAGAACAAAGAGATCAGACAATCTTCAAAATGGCCTGCTCAAGATTATCCAGAGCGAGGCAACGATATTAAAAATAAATCATTTTCAATTCTGTCTGCCCCTCCTCATACCTGGAACTCCTATTGATCCCCTCCATGGACGATTCCGTGGGGACAGAGCGACACTGCGGAAACAACCCGCGTCGTCCGCTTATTGCCGGCTGTTGTTGACGTCTTCCCCCTCAGTCACCAATTCCGCTGTTCTGCCCACCCCCGCAGCCTAGATGGGCCATCACCTCACAGCTTGCGGACGAGAATGTCCGCGATCATGGCCGCGGCTGGTCTTGACGGCTTCTTGCATTTTCGTGCTCACGAAGTATTCGGCTCTTAAGAAGGCCCGCTAGTCCCTCTCAGTTGGACCTGATCGTAGTGTACATTCCTCTCACGTGTCTGTAAATTTGCAGATATCCGACATCATGCCTGTCACACAGTTCTCACACCCCGATCCCTATTCATACCAGACTGGCTTCGACTCCTATCATGAGTATGGGTGAAATCTTTTGCGTTGAATTCTCGGAGCTGACTGAGCCTCTAGGACGGAAGCCGTCGGAGGCGCCCTCCCGGTAGGGCAGAACTCCCCTCAGAAAGCACCCTACGGACTTTACGCTGAGAAGCTGTCTGGGACCGCTTTCACTGCTCCGAGGCATGAGAACAAGCAAACCTGGGTCTACAGAGTCCTCCCTGCGGCTGCGCATGAGAACTTCAAGGCCGAAGATGCCGACTCCTATCACACCAGCATGACCACAGAGACGCACAAGCTGCATCATATCCCCAACCAGCTAAGATGGGATCCATTTGACTTGGATGAGACGGTGGACTGGGTCCACGGTCTGCATCTTGTAGCTGGCGCCGGAGACCCCACGTTAAAGCACGGTCTGGGTATCATTTTGTATGCTGCTGGGAAGGATATGGGAAAGGAGGCCTTTTACTCGGCGGATGGTGACTTTTTGATTGTCCCTCAGCATGGTGTGTTGGACATCCAGACAGAGCTGGGAAGACTCATGGTTCGCCCTAAGGAGATTTGCGTGATTCCTCGTGGTGTCAGGTATGTCATTTCTTGTCCCTCCACACTACCATCAATAGCATGGATGACTGACGGTGGTATAGATACCGTGTCACCCTTCCAGCGGGTCCCGTAAGAGGATACATTTGCGAACTTTACCAAGGCCACTACCAGCTACCGGAGCTGGGGCCCATTGGTTCTAACTGTCTTGCCAATGCGCGCGACTTCCAAGCCCCTGTCGCGTCTTTCGAGGATGAGGAAGAACCAACCGAGTGGCGGCTTTACAGCAAGTTCAACAACACCCTCTTTTCCGCACGCCAGGACCACACTCCCTTTGACGTCGTCGCCTGGCACGGCAACTATTACCCTTACAAGTACGACCTTGGTCGTTTCAACACCATCGGCTCCATTTCCTTTGATCACCCCGACCCCTCAATCTTCACCGTCCTTACTGGACCATCAGACCATGCGGGTACCGCTATTGCGGACTTCGTCATCTTCCCGCCTCGCTGGCTGGTCGCAGAGAACACTTTCCGTCCTCCATGGTATCACCGGAACACCATGTCCGAATTCATGGGGCTGATCTGCGGCAATTACGATGCGAAGACGGGCGGCGGTTTCCAGCCTGCAGGCGCCAGCTTACACAACGTCATGAGTGCTCATGGTCCCGACGCGGACGCTTTCGAGGGCGCCAGCAATGCTGAGCTGAAACCCCAGAAGGTTGGCGATGGAAGCATGGCATTCATGTTTGAGAGGTATGTAGTGATATAAGCTACATTGAAAGATTCGGATACTGACCGTCTATTTAGCTGTCTCATGGTTGGCGTATCCGAATGGGGACTCAAAACCTGCCAGAAAGTGCAGGAACAATACAACGAGCACAGCTGGCGTCCACTGAAGAGGCACTTCAAGAACCCTAACAAGCCCTAGTAGGAGATAAACCTTACGTGGTGTCGATATTGTGTTTCTTTTAAAATTGACTATATACCATCTGTCTTTCTATGATTAGCCAGCGCAACTCCCGCTAGATCTAATGAAATGCTATTTTAAAGCACTTGTCGGTAATCCTTAAACTCTACTAGATCGAAGATGCTATGAATCACCAAACAACTCTATCCATGTCACAGAGCCCAAACTGAATCATGAATTACGACGTCGGAATACAGATCATGGTATATTTACAAAATGCATTATAGAATTCCAGTCATCAAATAGCCCCCTCAACCTCCTTCCTCAACGCCTCCTTAACAATCGCCCCACACATCTTCGCATACGGATTCGTCTGCACAGCCAACTGCTGGGCAACCTTATTCCCATACCTCCCTCCAAAGAAGAAATCCCTGCTCGCCATCTCCTCAAGTTGATCGGGCCCCATATCCCGCAACTTATCCGGCCCACCTACCATCTCATTACCGTTTTCATTCTTCTTCAACCTCGCAGCCTTGAGCAACAGATACCCACGATGCGTATGCGAGTCCGCCAAGATGCGCGCCTGAACCGTTGAAACCGGATCGGCAGGCGACCTGGGCGTGCAGAGCGAGATCGCCTTCCCTAGATCGGAGAAGAGGCGCGAGGCTGGTTCAGTGCTACCCGGGGCGAAAATAGCTTCGTCTGGGTCTGTGGATGTCTCTGCCGTCTTTTCGATGTGTAGGCGGAGGGCCTGGGCTCTGTTCACGTAGGCGGATGGGTAAGTCGGGTGCTCGATGATTAGGGCATCGAGGTCGCTGAGAGCAGAGGTGATGGTGTCCACCGAGACGCTCTCGGATTGGAGGTTGCGGATAATGCCCAGCTCGCGGGCTTTTAGAGACTCGTGGTCGCTCGCTGAGATGTGGAGGTATTCTGGGAATGGGGAGAGTGATGGGTCGATTGTGACGGCTGAGGAAGGGGATGATTCGGCGTCGAAGAGTGCTTGTAGAACTGCAGAGTCGTTGGATGTCAGGGACGGCCGACTGGGTTGGATTGTAGTGCCTGAGGCCATCTTGTTTGGTGTTTTGATATCGCAGCTGAAGAAATGGATGATTGCGGACCTGTGGTGGTGTCACGGATCGTTGTTCGACGAATAAAACAATTATTCCAAGAACTTGAGCATTGATCTGGAGACAGTCTTCGTCCTTGAGTATGAGCTCATCAAACTGATAATATAAATTATTTATCAATATGATCAGGATACTCCCGGCTCTTTGACGCTGTCCCATGTGATCGTCATCACGGCCGGATATTTCGTTCAAATACCCGCGCCCACCCGGGTATCTAAGCTAAATATCCGCCCGCCGCCGACTAGAGCCAAAAGATTCGTCCGTTTGGTTGAGGCGAACATCGTGAATGGGTCTCGTGCCTATTGATGCCATCATGATTAAGCACGGAAGCTTCAAAGAACGTTACACACTGGGGGATGTGGCTTTATCCGTGCCCGGATGTTTGGTTCACCTTATAAGAGATATGGCTCGTCCGGTCATGACCATGGTCCAAGTCGACAGGCGAAATCGAGATTCAACAGCCTCTCGATTAGCTCTTATATCGCAGGCTAATCTCTTACTTGTCAAGAGCAACTTATCATCTCTTCATACTTTGACTTCAACATGGCTCCGTCGGCTATCTCTACGAGTCCTCCACCAACCGACCGGGTTTCCTCAAGCCTTGCCAGCTACAGAGGCTATGACCATGTGCACTGGTACGTAGGCAACGCAAAGCAAGCTGCCTCATACTACATTACCCGCATGGGCTTCAAGCGCGTCGCCTACCGCGGTCTCGAGACAGGATGCCGCAGCGTCTGCTCCCACGTCATCCGCAACGGCGACATCACCTTCATCCTCACTTCGCCTCTCCGGTCTCTGGATCAGATCGACCGTTTCCCGCCTGAAGAGCAGGAACTGCTCAAGGAGATCCATGCTCATCTCGAGAAGCACGGTGATGGGGTAAAGGACGTTGCTTTTGAGGTCGACTCGGTGGACTCCGTCTTTTATGCCGCGACGAACAACGGTGCCAAGGTTGTTTCTCAACCCCGGACCCTTGAGGATGCCGACGGCCAGGTGCGAGTGGCAACTATCCAGACTTATGGCGAGACCACGCACACTTTGCTGGAGAGGGGCTCGTACCACGGTGCTTTCCTGCCAGGATATCGCGTAGAAACTGGAGCAGAGGACCCGATCTCTCAGTTGCTGCCTGGTGTGCACTTGAACCGGATTGACCACTGTGTCGGAAACCAGGATTGGGATGAAATGGACAAAGTTTGCGAGTAGTAAGTGGCCTGCTTTAGCCACAGTAGCCGTGGTACTGACTGTTAGCAGCTACGAGAAGACTCTCGGCTTCCATCGTTTCTGGTCTGTTGATGACAAGCAAATCTGCACGTGAGTGTTAATTGTCAACAAGATATTCCAGCAGGAGACTGACGCAGCTTCCAGGGAATACTCCGCTCTCAAGAGTATTGTGATGGCCTCGCCGAACGAGGTGGTGAAGATGCCCATCAACGAACCCGCCAAGGGCAAGAAGCAGTCCCAGATCGAAGAATACGTCGACTTCTACAACGGCGCAGGCGTTCAACACATTGCTCTTCTCACCGACGACATCATCCGAGACATTACCAACCTCAAGGCTCGCGGTGTTGAATTCATCAAGGTCCCAGACACATACTACGAAGACATAAAGGTGCGGCTGAAGAAAGCTGGCCTGACTCTCCATGAGGACTTCGAGACAATTCGCAGCCTGGACATCCTCATTGACTTTGATGAGGGCGGATATCTACTGCAGCTGTTTACCAAGGTATGTCACTTTCCCGTCGGGCAAGTAGCTGTAGTCAGTTTCGCTAATAGAGAACAGCATTTGATGGATCGTCCCACCGTCTTCATTGAAATCATCCAGAGACACAACTTCTCCGGCTTTGGCGCCGGCAACTTCAAATCGCTCTTTGAGGCCATTGAACGGGAACAGGCCCTCCGTGGCAACCTTGTATAGGAATTTCTGGTTTTTTTTTCTGCTCATTCGCATCGTTTGATCTCTGTTGGATACCAGGCATGTAGCTTTGCATTGTACGTAGCGTTTGTTCTAAAATGAATCAGGCTTTGGTTTCTTTCAGTATTGGACAAACATGCAATAATCCTTCTTGCATTCCTTTCCCGCTGTCGTTTGTAGACCATTCCATTCAGTCCTCTTCACCGACAGATATGTCCAAGGGATTATTCACTGCCAGACTGAGAGACCCAAAATCATTCACCGCTGGTATAACCCCTTTTCAACATATAAGGCCAGGAGCTTTCCTCCCATGAATCTGTTCTTGAGTCGTCCTGCCATCAGCTAGACGAAGAACAGCATGGAGGACCTGTGGTATCATTGTGGCTTCCATTCACGAACGAACATGGTTTCCGATGAGAGCTTCGCTGACCTTCGGGGTGTCAGAACTGGTTATGCACAATCAAGTCGCATCTAGCAGAATGCCATCACTTCGCCAGTGATTCCTCTTCTTTTGTCACACAGGTCCACGATCGCGAAGGGGCGTTTCTAATTTCCATACACGGTATCAGCCTTCGCATCAGCTCCGCAGGATACATGGACTGTTCTTCCACAGCAGGAAGACCAAAGTGATCCAGGCAGCAGTTGCCACCAGGCCATATTGAGACATCACTGCAAGCCTCACACGGATCTGAGACGGTTGGTTGGATATCAAAAAGCACCTGTTCTCCCACACCTGAAGAATCGGTCACTGTCATTAAATGAACCATTTTCTGTCAGCACGCTCTAACTGTTACTTGAACTTCTAGTCGTCTTATGAGGACTAACATTGATCGTGTGAGCCTGTTGAGGACTTTGTTGCGTTTCGATTATCCCGATTCTCCTACCATGGTTGTCAAAATGCCCGATCGCGAGGGCGCTGTAGCTGCGGCACGTAAAGAGGCTCCTTTCGTGCTGACGGAATCCCAAGGGTCCCTCGCGATCCTGTTGGAGCGAGTTCAAGATGTTGACTGGGCCTCGAAGAACGATGTCGATCTGACGAGGAGGTCAAGAGCTAGTCCCGCCAAAACGCTGTGTTGCTTCAGACTCGCGGTATTGAGACGGCCAATCGTGTGCAGCACGTGTATAACTTGTGTGAAGCGTTTGTGGACGTTTAGAAAGTGCATTTCCGCCCCAGGGGTTGTCATTAACGACCAGCGTCGTTCCATCATTGCAGGAGCCTGTGCCAATTGTGTCTGGCGCGGTAAGGGAGCGCAATGCTCCTTTTACGTCGGCGAAAACGAGGGCTGGGATCAGGAGTTCGATAAGTACGTATTTCTTCTTTTCCGAATTGTCTTCATTCCCGGCTGATTTGAACAGGAGATACACATGATATTCTCGTCGTGGCATTAAAGTTCGCCTGGGCTATCTTGATGGAGCTGAGGGCAAGGGCAAAATCACACTCAAGCTTCAGCATGTCCGTCTACAGGGTCGACGAGAATCGGGTTGTCCTCTGAAGGACCTCGCTCGAGACATCAGGCCCAGGTGCGCTCTCTGTTCAACAGGATCAGGAGTTTGCGCGTCCTGGGCCTTGAACCATGCTCTCCCTATAGTTGGAAATGCGAAGCATTGCTCGTTGGCACTTCGAAAATTTGGATGTTCTGGTGTCCGTATTTGTGAGAAAACAGTCCCAACTATTAGGGCTATCACCACACGGAAGTAACCGAAGACCCTTGTCTAGCTTTTGAGCTAGCCCGGCGTGAAACAGCTGATCCTGAGGGACCATTTCACCGGAAATGAGATGAGGACTCCTGGCTGCTTTGTCAAGAGCTGTCACCACTAATTGCTCGCCCACAAAAGGATGCCATGACATCTGCTGCGGGATACTTCGATATCGCATCCTGTAGAATTCGACCGATTCTCACTTCCTCGCATCATCACCATGGCCTACCAACCAAGTAGGCAAAACCACCAGGTCCGATTGAGCCTAAACCTGCCAGGTGAACGTACCGACTTCAATTTGGGCCTTGAATCCCAAAAAGAATTCCACATCACTGGAAACGAGAGAGGGCTCCAAGAACGATATGTCCAACATGTGAGCATCATGCTGGGACCAATCTTCGACAGTTAATTTAATGACATGGCATTGCTGTTTTACACACTTATCAATTCCTAATGCCATCCTGTATCCAAAATGGTTGACGGAATGGATATCAAAGGACTATCAATACCTAAATATGCCTGCAAGTCTTGCACAGTGGCTAATGTAGTGGTCTATGAGGGACATGTCACCCTATCTCCAGTTAAGCAACGTGGAGAATGTACCTTTATTGATATTGGAGGAGGATATTAGGATATGCCTGACAATCTTGTCTCTGGCGCATGCTATTGGATGCTCATAACAGATTGAGTATGTATCTCAAAGATTGGCAATGACACAACCACGTGCTAACGTCAGGTAGACAGCCATGGCAATGCTCTCGGACTCTTGGAAAGACCCATCCGGATAACCCACCCCGTCTCCCGGAAGTTGAGATAGTCGCAGTCCCTCGCAACGTCAATCCCAGTTCCAAGCAATCCACGACATCGAAAGTACGCGTCTGATTGGGCTGGCCCAGTCTCTGTATATCTTGGGCTCGCAGTTGCGAGACGGACAGCTTGCTTTGAGGGAGCGACCAATTAGACCGTAGCAGCAGCGAGGGATATTTGGTGAAGCTATACCTGATCCATGCCATCGATTCAACACGATTACCCGATTGGGAGATGGATATAGCTTCAACAGCTACAGATTTTGTATGCAGCTTTGCCTACCGGCTCAGCTGGGGGTGGGAGGGGTGAGGGTGTATTGAAAGGTCGAGAGCAAGTTTGTATGGCACTCAGGTATGTAAGCCACTCTGCTCAGTTCCAAGATATGCGGCTTTCCGTTCACACCAATTGCTTTCAGTTCAACCCTTCCGTATCCAAGGATTTGCACGTTCGTTGCACCGAAACGCGCATACTCGTCTTCCACCGGCTCGTAGGTGAGAAATCGAGTTCGATTGTTGCAGAGATTGATATCTGCTGTCAAATCAACTATCCAACTATCTCACAGCTCATACGTATTGCTTCCCGGGGAAAACACTGCCGAATCGCTGCGAATGATGCTCATTGCGGTACGGGGTGCTGCTTCCTGATTCTGATTGGCTCGTCTAATTGCTGATTCCATTGCATATCGCAGCTTCGAGTTTCGCTTAAGCTTCTTAAATCGTTCCACGATATCTGCATTCGGCTTCCATCCATTCGGCCTCATTGATTTGATCAAATATGGACACTTATTGAACCTGTGCTTCTCTCCGCAGGGACAGTCTTCTGGGCCACGCTTAGGCCGTTCGCCATTCTGATTAGCCGAATCAGAATTCTGTTGATCAGAGGTTTGTCCCTTGAAGGTGGCAAACGCCCTCTTCTGTTCTTTCTGGCTAAGGGATTGCCAATGTTTATGGAAATTATGAATCTCGTCGAACGCGTCCAGGGATCTGTCCTTCATCAGTTTGTTTAATCTGATCTCGGCATATATTTGATCTAGCCCCCTCAGCGCTGTAAGGAAGGTTCTGGTTCCATATTCTCCAGTGAAGCTGATCAATCCAAGGCGGTTGCAATCACTTAGCACGTCTTCCCATTCGCCTAGCCAGCTCTCAACGTTCTGATTGGCTGGTTTCAATAGGAGTCGGTTATATCTTGCCAGAACGCGCGATATCTGATCTTCCTTCTTTGGTTCCAGCTTAGCCTTCAGCTTCCAATACCTCTCCATGACGTGCGATATCTGATCTTCCTTCTTTGGTTCCAGCTTAGCCTTCAGCTTCCAATACCTCTCAATGGCAAAATCTGATTCGCTGGTTAGCCGTCTAAGGTGTCTCTGCGCTACCGTCTGCTCTATCTCTCGCCAGATAGCTCGTAGGCCATTCTCTGCCTTCTCCCATTCCTTATATTGTCTCTTCCAGCGGCTGACTTGACGATCATATAAGGTTTTCGGATCGAGATCTGCTCCAGCTGATCGTCTCGCTTGTTGATCTGACGCTGTTGATTGGCTCACTTGTGTCGTCCGTTCATCTCCCTCAGCTGATCGTCTCGCTTGCTCTCGCGTATCTTGCGCAGCTTGATTGTTCGGTGCAGCGCTCTGATTGGTCACTTCGGGTTCCAAATCGTCAGGGTGAATCGGTTCCGCGGGGCGCGGTTTCTTCTTCAGCAAAATATCTAGTATTCCATAGCACATGGCCAGCCCTCTTATATGCGAGTCCCAAGCCAACCAATCATCGGGCGAATCTAGCACGATGGAGACTGGTTCGGCATAGTAATCCATGGCGGCTTCGACTCAGGGGTGACGGCGGTGTCGATATAACCTCAAATTCTGCCAAATCAGGCAAGTCAATTCCAATGAGATATCTCGTCCAATTGCATGAGATAGAGCTCTCCAATATGCAAGCCTAGAATAATAATCCCGAATCGATTCCGTGCGTCTCTTTAAGGGCAAGCCGGGCTCATAACTAACTGTTGAAAATCGCTAAGGCTAGTACCGTTCATGGATCACTAGTAATTTGTATGGCCAATTGAAAATCAATGAAGGTCTGATTCTTCTAAACGAATGACTATATAGCTCCTATTTATGCCTTTCGATAAGGGTCAGATTTGAAGGTATTCAAACGTTCGAATGCTATCGAATATTCTGCCAAGAGTGGCAGCGTAGAGTCAATTCTTATACCTTCCGAATCGGGCCAGCGGTAATACAGTTCAATACCACGCTGGAGTCTCGAGACTTTGAAGTCAAGTTGTCGGAACATCTTTATTTGAGGGTGCTACTGAGGCGTTAGGCCCACGACATTGACAAAGCACTGACAACATATTGATAGAGGCCTTTTTGGCCGGAGCATCAAGGGACTACATGGAATGAGCTGGGACTACGACTCACAGGCCAACCGTGGCTGCGTCACGTGCCGCCAAGGGCAAGCACGCTTGCAAGAAGGCATGTCGGGATTATATTCACCGTTCGATTCTTCCGTCGATCGCCGCGCTTGAAGACCTTGGTCGACGGCTCACCCCCCCGGCACACTCAGCAGCGAGCAAGACTCGGTCTTAGAGGGTCTGCCTGCTGGCAGACCGCCCGACCATTGTTCTGGGCTGGCAGCCTCGGTTAGATAGCTTCGTACCAGCCCATTCTCTCTCTTCTAGATGTCAAGCCATATTATCATCATCTTCCTTTCTCTTCAGCTTCATGACTTGGGGAGTTGTGAACGATTTGCCGTTGAAGACCATGTTCATGATGGGATTGCGGACGGAACTGCGTGCTGCGGCTGTGAGCCTGAAGCTCGCCTTTGAAGCTGCTGCCCCGGTTACTCCGCAGCGTGCGACGGCTGTATCGTCGACCCCGTCCGCCTCGGGTTCTTTCGCTGTTCGGCATGTTCTTTGCGTGCATTAGTTTTTGGAGGGCACGTAGGCCGGATGGGAGGCAGGCAGCGATTATAGGCCTTTCGAGTTTTGCATGTATCTAATGATCGCGGCTGCACCACAGTCTTATTTTTCCGCGTCTTTTACCTGTCTCAGGAGGTCAGCCCCCGGTTAGCTATTGGACTCTATCATACTAGCTCAAAATTCATCTTGGAGAGATGCTACTATATGATGTTGATGCAAGTCTATACGCTTGAATAAAATGCATTACTTCCAAAATGCTTTCGAAAGCGCAAGTAGACGATGACGTCCACAGCAAAATCCATCATTTCTTCGAGGAGCTCGAAGCACCTGGTTTTGTCGCTCCCAGACGTTTATACTTTCGCGGGTCTGAAGCTGGTCAGCGTAGGAATAAACCATCAAACAAATAGGAAGCGTACCCTTTCGGCTCATCAGGACCTTGTTCCTTGTACCCTTTCCTCCTTCCCAGAAACCGCTTCCTGCCTTTCCGACGAGGACTGCACGGCATATACCGCAGTTCTCGGGGCGGTAGACTTGTTCTCTTGAACAGAAACCACTAGAAGGGGGTCAGAAGGTGTTGGCTCCGAAGACAACGAGGTATGTACTTACCAAATCATGCGATTTGCATGTTCATTCGGATGATCTGTAGCTGCGTCATGGCACCTATATAAATCAGTCGGTATCATCATAAGGGAAATGCTGTGGCCAATGGCCATGGCAGTCTCGAGTAGCTATCCGGGGAAAGGCTGACGTACTTGTCACATGGAAAAACCTTTGCGCAACAGCTGAATCTGTTGAGAGAGTAAATAAATGAGAAGGCAGCTGAAAACTTGCAAGGGACGGTAATACCTGAACCACCGATAGCTTTTACCGTAGTGCATACATCGGCCTCGACGAGGTAGCTCCTGACCAGCGACTATACCAAGGGTCTCTTTTGGCTAAACATGTTCTAAGTAAGACTTTGTGACTTCGGCAACAAGATGTATTGCACGTACCTTCTTCCTCTGTGGAACACGATCACGAGAGGTGACTAGAGCAAGTTGTCAACACATGTTTGCCGAGGACAACGATTTTGTCACAACTCACATGCAGCAGATCCTACGATCAAGAACTTGACCTCGGGGATTTTGAAGACTGATGTCCAGTGGTTAGTCAACGCTCAAGATTTCACAGTCACTGTGCTTACCCATTTTGCGATGGCATTGACGGCAGGAAGCAGTTGCACTCTCGCCGCGAACTGCAACGACGCCAGGGCCGGGGAATGTGGTCGAGCATTCTGCGCAAGTCGGGATAAAGCTGCTATAGGGATGTTAAGAGGCGTTCGGCTCGGGGTTCGCAGACACTTAGTGGCTCCTACCTGGGAAGAAGGTCGACAACGGAACAGCCGTCCAAATCCAAATATCCCGCGCGGGTGGAGTGCGCATGCATCAGCTGTCTCCGAAAGCCTGGCAAGAGCGCAGGTTAGTATGTACGTTTTTTCAGGCTTTGGAATAAGATATTCTTACCAAGGCTCATTGTGTTGGTACACTTCTTGCACGTCTCGACTTTCGGAGCCAATACATCACTTTTATCCTTGACCTGCGGAATATTTCTCACGTCCAAGTGCTCTTTGCAACGATCACACTTGACTGTGATGTAGAGACCTACAAGCTCCAGGAGCTCAATGCCATACAGCTCCAGGTAGGGGAAGGAAAGGGCCACACCACGTTCAGCCGTCGGTGCCGGCATGTCAGGAACAGGAGCGCCGCCGTCCTCGTCGTCCCCATCGTCGTCTGGGAAGCCGTCTTCTGATGTCGAGAATTCTGAGACCTCGCTGCCCTCATCACTATCTCCTGCACTCCATTCTGGAGGACGTGGAATGACACGAATATGAGGTTTCTCCTCCACCTCAAGCATGGGATCGTTTGAGCCAGACGGTGCAGATTCCTCGAGCAGATCAACGGAGCTTGTGGTCGGTTCTTGCGTCGATTCCACTGCCGATTTCAAGGCGGTCGTCGCAAGAGTGTGCATATTGCTCGTCAAGTAGTTGATTTGGGACATCAGGTTAAGCTGAGCGTTTGTCTTCACCCACTGCGAGAAACCAACCTCTACAGACTGGGCTTCGGGACATCTTACACCCTGAAGCTCAATTGAACTGGGCTCGAGGGGGTATAGACGAGGCACCAGCAACTTTACTGTCTTGATTGGTCGGAGTGAAACAGGTAGGCGTTCCACTTTGGAGGGTTGCACAGGAATAACGTAGGACAATTCATCTCGAGACTTCTGAAATAGGGGCAATCTACCGAGCCGAGCCTCGATTTGTTTTGTTTCGACTGCCCTTCTTCGTTCTGCTTGGGCTTTTTCTTCTGTGGTATACACCCTAGACACATTGGTGACTGATGGTGTTGGCTTTGGAAGTGGCTTTCGTTCTGTTGCAGGCGTATCAGTGTGCGACATTCGTACCTGCTCTGGCGCTCGACGTTGTTGTACTTCCTTGCTGCCAACATTAGGGACGAACTTAAGAGTGGGTCCTCTTTCAGTGGTTGTAAGCAAGCGCTCCAGATGCCGATCGAGGCTGTTCATCCAACTCAACAGAGTTCCTCGGCCACCGATCCTCAATGTACTGTCGACAATATCATCAAAGCCTCTCTCCACATTGGCTTGGAAAGCTCTTTCCATGTCCGGATTAATTACTTTTAAGGTAGGTCTTCCCTGTCCGGGATAGGACAGCGGCACATGCAGAATGCATTGCAGCTTATCCAATTCAAATGGAAAATCGGGGTCAGAAGGAGCCATTCCAATCGTTAGGGATGTTCCTGAGCCGTCCGTAGTTTCCTTTGGACGAAACCTCCGTCTCAGCTGGTTGATCTGGAATTCCCTGGGGCTCGAGCTTTCGGCCTTAGAGGTTGGCCTTTGGCCGGCGTGGAAGCTCGGCTTGGCTCCTGCCCGAGGAACAGCCTTGACTTCCTTTGTGTCATTGATGGAGAGACTCTTAACATCGGTAGCTACACCTTGTAAAGATTTTTGGGAATCCTCAGCCTCATTGACTGAGCCGGCCTGCACTTGCGCCCCAGGCTGTGCACTCTTCCGTTTAGAATCAGCCAAATCGTGGATATACGGGCAAGCATCGCCGGCGCGACATCCTTGATGCAAGTTAGTACAGAATGTAAATGAACGGCAATGAAGGCGAGGTCAGCTGGTAAAGTCTTCTCTGAAGACAGTACCTTACAGAAACCTCGACGTGTCTTTCTTCGATCCCACAAGAAACTGTACCCCGAACGGCTAATACACGAGCCAATAACTCCAAGTACAGCTTCCAGGAGGAGAGGTACCAAACCCAAACATAACAAATAGTCACAGGCAACGAAGGCAGCAGGGAAAAAATAGGACAAGAACGAGACTTACCCTTTTGGGAAGTGAAGAAGCGGCATTTAGCCCTCTGCTTTAGGATTGACCGGTTGGGGACATCTGACAGGCTGGCTACTACTGTAGAATCTTGAGGCTGAGCAGTCGCCAGCTCAACGCCAGTGGCTGACGGTTGGCCTATGTCAAAATAAGAGTATCATAGTGAGCGCGTGATCAAAAAAGGTTGCGGGCCGCAGGGTCCGATTCACAGGAGGGAAAGGGGGCCAAGCAGCGCCTTCTGCGCCTGCTGATTTAATGAAAATACGGTCAGGATCTGCGTGGAGACGGATGTGGAACATTTGTACATCGACAGAGACCTAGGCCTGCTGAGCTTGCATAGAAAGAAAAAGCAAATCCTGCTGCGGGACCATTGATTTGCATGATAGGAGAGAGTCTTGCAGTCTGAGGTGCAGCCCTACTGTACTCGGTACAGGATATGAAAATAAAGAGTACTTACCATTGGTAGAAGATGCATGTCTGTTCAAGCTATCAGGTGCTCTAAGACCGCTAGTG